ATAGAATGCTTCCGTGGGAATTATGAGTCACGAAACAGCTGTGGCTCGTTGTAAAAAATAGACAGGACCGGGAATAAGCAAAACGCGAGGGGAAATGTAACGACGCGCGAAAGGATGCACGATGGTAAGAGTTGTTGAAGTATCTCGACTCTGAAGAGAAGGTTGTCGACGAGTTGTCGCACGACTCACAAGAGCTAATCGCTCTGACACATTTTTATGAATAAAGAAACGACGATATCGTTCCGCGATAATTTCTCCGCAGCTAAAGAGAGAGTGGAAAAGAGAAAGAAAAGAGAGAGGCCCAGATATATATATATATATATATATATATATACATATACATACACTTACTCGCGAGAGCCCAACAATCACGTCATTCAAGTCTGCCGATATCCAGAAAAGTTATAAATTTCCCTTTTATATCGTGACACAATCCGACTTTGTTCTCCGCGACAAGACAGTTTTCTCGTTCGACAACGAGTGCATCTCACATCGATATTTTATATCATTTTACATCGCAATCTTTTGTCTTAATAAATTTTAAAAAATTTTATAATTATATAAAATTTATAATAAGTTATTTTTACCATTTTACATTTCAGAATTAATAATTTTTTTATTTAAATCTCCATATAAGCTCGCATAATTTTATAATTTGATTTGGGTTAATTATGAAGGTTTTTCATTGCAAATATCAAAGGTAGAGAAAAATCACGATGTGCAGTATTTTTTACTTGATGACTTTTTCAGAACGGGACGTCCAATTACGAGCAATAGAATTAAAAATTATTAAGTTAATTTGTCGTTACTAAAGAATAATTTAATTGCATTTACGGAACAGCATGGTAATTCGTTATTACAAAATATTACGCCGTGAAATAATAGCGAAGCGGGGATTTAATTGAGCGGAATTGCATCGACGGCACGTGGGCGGCACGATTGGCGATAGAATTTCGCGCACAGGGTGTGCCGCCCTTTGCGAAAGGGCGCGCTAATTAAGGAGGATTGGTACTCTCTGTTCTGTCCAGGTCGAGGACACGTGCGCGACGTGTGACGCATTAACGGGTCGTCTTAAAGGCGAGCGAGCGAGCGTGTCAGTGTGCCGCGCGGCGCGGGTTGTGCAATCGCTCTCGGCGCATTGTCCGCGTCGTCCGCTCCGGAGCGGCGTATTGTCGAGAGTGCATTGTATCCAGCCGGCGATTTGCAAACTACTTTTGGTGCATTCCACGCCGCGCGGCGTGGCAACCCAATTCCAATCGCGCCAAAGCGGATTTTGTCCTTGGCTTGAAGCCTTTCCGATAATTACAGGATTCGATCTCTTTCCGGAACTGTCGCGTTTAGGTTGTTTATTCTACTCGCTCGTTTTGCTTCTCTCATCTTATTAATCTGTCACTCATTTTATTATTAATCTAATTGCTCATTCAGACACTAAACTTTTTTTCACCTTTTTATTTGTTAAAAAAGTTATACTTTTATTAATGCATGCTTTTTTATTTTAGTTATTTTAAAAATAGATTTTTTCTATTTTTAATTTATTTTTTTTTTTGTTTCTTTTTTTACTTTGTTTTTTATGTATCGTTTTAGCTATTCATTATTTGATTATTTTAAATTAATTAATTATCGTAAAAATAGCAGATTTTTCTATCTTTTCTCTCTTTTCTTTCCTTAATGCAATTCTTTCCATTATTGTGTTCTAAATACGACGCAAACATCCTTTCGATGTGCGCGTAATCAAATCATCGTGATTATATTTTGCTCTTCAAACGAGAAAATACCATGAGATGTACGGTTTTCCCTCGTTCGTCGAATAATGAATCGAATTGCGGCTCAGATGGCCCAGATTTGCGACATCGAGCCATTTATTCTCGTACGGACGTTGAATTCTTCATGACCGCCGGCACAAACGCGGCAGAGAGAGAGAGAGAGAGAGAGACGGAGGCGATAATTGACGCAAATGCCGAGCTCTTAGGCATAATATAATCCTAAGTTGCCGCGAATAAGGACGTAAATACGTCTCTTCCGCTTCCGCATCGTTGCCGACACTCTCGCTGAGCTCGTCGGCTCGGAAAATTCATAAGCGAAACGCTTTTACGAGCTCACGCTTGCGCGAATTTGTGACGCGTGTGTAATTCGCAACGCCTTTTCGCTTATCGAGCGAACTCAAAACAACCAGTCATTTCGATCGTTAAGTACTTTCGAGGTCGACTTTAAAGCGTAATACTTTACGAACTTTTAATGAACAGCGATGCAAATTATAAGAAGAAAGTTCAACGTTTTTCTTCATTGCTTGGAAATCTTTTTTTCATAAGAGATAGGAATTTGTTTACTTTCTTCTGCGGATTTACGGGACTATTACTTTCTTGAGAAGATGAATATGCTAGTTTTCATACAGATTTTAACATAATTAATTATATTAGTTAATTTTAGTTAGATCAATTATAATTTTTAATTATAAATATTAAAGGTAAGGAAAAAAATGAGATCATCGCACATTGAAATAATACATTACTTATGAATATATTTTTTATTTTCTACGCGATAATTCTTTTCTCCAGACAAATTTTTCTCTTCGTTTAAATTAATTTTGAATTCGATAATACTACATACACGCTGGAAAATCTCGTACAATCATAAACGATTAAAACGGCTGTTGATTGATTTTGTCCGCAATTAACGAGTTAAAGTGCGCGATCAATAGCCGACGAGCATCGGTGCGATAATTGCGCGATTAACAGAAGGCACCTTGCAATCGAATCGCGAGTCGTCGACGGCCTCATTAATATTAAAACGAGCAGCGGAAGAGAGAAAGAGGAAATCGTCCGTTGGAATTTTATGAGTGCGCTTATTATGCAGGCGATGAATGAACCTACATTCTGGTTACTTGAGCAATCTCTGTACTGCGGCGAGAGTCCTTTTAACACGCGCCAAACTGACGCCTCCTTCGAGGAGACGACATTTCCCATTCCTGTAATATAATTTTCTGTTTGGAACACATATTTTTGCGCAATATTTTAGTATAATTATTTGTTATCGCGTGTATTACTCATTCGTTGATGGAGAAGCAAATTACAGTATCCGAACAATTTTGATGCAGTATAATATAGCTTGGCGCGATATCGTGTATCAATATAGGCGTGTTAAATGTAGGTGTTAACCTATCATTTATCAACTTCGCTCGAGTACACTCACGTGTTTGTTCCCATTTAACAATTAACATGGCTTAGGCGTTCGATACATTCACGCATGCTGTGATGATCACGTTATTAAAAGACTAGTCTGGTAAATCTTCAAAGTACAAGGGTTGCATAATTCCCTCGTTAATTAACTCCAAAATTTAATTTAATCCGTAGTAGTATGAGGAATTTCACGCAAAAGCGCAGCTGTTTGAAGTAAATATTTTGTTAAAAATGCATCGTAAAATAGAGAGGAGAGATCGCGTAGATATTATATGCATAAAATTCATGCGTATTTGCATCTGTTTATTAAAAATGTTATAACAAGCGCACCTCGTTGTTAGATTTCTAGTTGGTAAAACTCTTGTCAAAGAAAATTCTTTAAAGAAAACTACGCTCATTACCGTCTGCCCTTTTTCCCACGACACTTGGCGCAAAAGAATCTCTGTTCAAAACGCGTGTCTTTCTTACTCGTTGGAAAACGGAGTGAGCACGTGCTGCGGCGTGAACATAACGCGGTCGTTAAGGTGAAAGTTCATTCGCCGGCGGATGACGATCGGGAGCAGCGGGACGGCGACTCAGTCGACGGAGACACGGAAGAAGATGAAAGAGTGTCGTGAACTAAGATTTTTTTTCCTTATGCCAGGCTCGAGAGGGGCTTAGATCGAGATAAAAGCGCCGTCGGAAAGCGTCGTGTGACGCTCGCGATGCATTTTCCGCGGAATCGATTTGATCGATTCACTACGACAACGATGACTCGGTGGTGGAGGTGCTGATGGTAGTGGTGGTGGTGAACCTCGCCGAGAGAGAGTATTGACCTACGGCAGGGGTTCCCAAGCCTGGGAACCGAAGTTGGGTCACGGGGGGATGCGCTTTGTGGGTCGCGAGTTCGCGAGTGAAAAGATAATAAGACGGCGATCGAAATTTCGAGCGAGGACTGGGAAAAAGAGTGTTGTATCTACCTCATTGTTTTAAGAAAAATATAAACCTTTGAAGCTCTTTTGTTTTAAAATATTTAGGGAAATTAAAGATTTTCATTTTAATGAAATCGCGGTGGTCTCCGAATATTTAAAATATTTTTAATCAATTTGGTATTTTTTGTACGGTTCTATAATTTTATCACTGCTTATTCGCTTTAAAGATATTGATTTATTGCAATTTATTTTATTTTGCAACTCTCTTTTTTTTGGACAAATTTTTAAAGGTATTATTCTAAACTGTTGTACAGCTGTCTTGTACACAGATCATATTAGATGATGAAAATTTAGTTACATAACTTAAGAGGTTGATTAAAATTCTGTAATTTACTAAAGTAATTATTTTAAAACCGTCAATTTTTTTTTTAAACCAGGATTTTTAATTATTCATGCTTTTCCTTCTATCACTTGAGTACTCGATTAAAATGTGTACAATTTTACTATTAGAAAATAATAAGTTACACTGTTTACATGTCCGACAGAAATCACAATTACCTCCGCCACGACAATAACGTTGAATTTTCGCGTTAAAAATACTACGTTTGAAACGCACTTGAAAACAACGACCGCGTAAAAATGCCGAATATGTATCATTCCTCTCCGGGTCATCTTTTACCGAGAAATGTAGCCGTGCGAAACCGGGTCGTCGTTTTTCCTCCTTTTTTTTCGCGTGTTATCCCGAAAGACGTGGCCATTCTCCGAAAGGCTCGTCACAGAGCGAGCTTTATATCCCCGGAATGACGCTGCATCGGGACGCTGCGGTCGGCTTGCACGGTGGACCGGTTTCTGCTGCTGCTGCTGCTGTTGCTGCTGCTGCTGCTGCTACATGCAGCATTCGGATCGTGTACGTTCCCAGAGTCACTTTGTGAACACGAGACAGATAAGGCGCTCAAGCGCCAGCAATATAAACTCGCCGTCGCGCACTCTCCTCTGGGAGTTCCAGTGCACTATGTCATCGTTTCTCGACGGCAAGCAAAACAATAACTATGAGCGACCGTGTTGTACAGAGTGGCTCTCGAAGTTGTTGTTCAGTCAGCCGTCTAGCGTGCGAATAGTACACACACATCGATAATTGAATCTAAATGTCAAACTCATGGACTGACGTAATTACACGTTAAGACAACTGACAATAACAGTCTCGTTAATGAGAGGTTCTTCAAGAGAAACGGATAATCCTTTATTTCTATTTAAGGAAAATTTACGATAACTTTGAGACTTTGATTGTTTTCTCTTTTTTTTTTAACATCCCTTAAACTCATGCAATGTTAATTGGTGCACAAAATTATGATCGACTCCTGTGATTATCAATTAATAAAACAATATATTTACATTTTCAAAAATATATTATACGTTTTGCATATAAGTTCTCGAAAACGAAATATCGTCCGCTTGAAAATATTCCGCGATGAATCTCACAAAGGGACTTTACGTCAGAGATTTATTCGGCGTGCCGCTGCAACAAAGCCACGCACTTTAAGCTACTGCACACTGCCACTCCATTTGCCGCTCCCGCCACCCTTCGCTTGTCCCTCGTGCATGCGTGAAATGCTTTTAAAGCGCAATCGTTCGTACATTGACTCGTATAACGACTGCGGTCGAACGTGGCGACAGATAAGCAAAGAATTTTCACGCCGAGAAGACGAGGATTTTTTTTTTCATTTGAATATAAAATTTTATACAAAAAATATTTAATATCTTGTAAATCTTGCGTCGATTTTTCGAATATTTCACTGCCTGAGATAATGATCATAAAATATTGAATTTAGGAGAGAGAAACGTAAATTTTATATTTTATTTTACGATATATACTTTAAAGTAAAGAAATCCGCCTTTGAGGCTGATACGTACTTATACGAAAGAGGGAAGGCAAAACTTTTCTGTTATTTGAAGCGCAGTGAGAAAGAAATAAGTTGCACAGAAAATTGCGAGAGAAAAAAAAACATTTCCATCATTTTGTTAATATTAAAAATATTATTGAAGGGTTGAATGTTTTCGCGCAGAGCGCAACTTTTTATCTTGTTTGATAATTATTCGATAGAAATTTAAAATAAACGGTAATCAAAGCTGTTGAAAGTGGTAATTCAAGTTTATTAGCATGATTCAACGTATTGACGTGACAGAGATGAATAAACGTCTTTATTCCGTCTTGACCTTACGCACGCCGCGGTTACGAGTCGCTGCGTATGCATTCGGATTATCTGATTCATTTGTATTCCATGATCGGCGTTCAAATGTAACGGAATACGTGGCGTACCACGATTTCCTGTACCCATTCCTCTTATATATCTTGACACTAAACGATCATCACTTAGTCCTCATGCAGTCAATCGCTTTTCCTAATCGCAGGAAAGAACTGGAATAACACTTGATGATATCCGAGCAGCAATTGAACTCAATGGGAATATTTGCCATGTAAAATGTTGAAATGTTTTACATGTCGAAAGAAATATTTTATTCTATTATAGTCAGATATTTATTTAATATATTAATATTGATTTAAATATTAATATATTAATATCAAATATAATCTTTGAATTAATTTTTTTAATGACAAAACATTTTCCGCAAATTAATTCATTAAACAAATTCTATTTTGTCTTGTCTTAAAGAATATTCGTCTCAGAGCTTTGTATCTTCACGAAAAGGATGTTTTTTCTACTGGACATTACGATAGGGTTTCTGTCTTCTGGATAACAGTTAGTGTTTAGCGTTCTAGCCACTTCCGGTCGGAAATGCATAAAGACGCTGCGGTAGCAGAAGCCGCGCGCGACCGTCGTTGGCTTTGCATGCAATATCGATCGCTCGTCTATGCGCGGCGCGGCGATGCGATATTATCGCGTAAGGTATTTTCGCGAGTTTTGCGCGTTTCGTACATGAGTGCGCGTTACAGTCGAAGTATCGCGCGGAATCGCCTGGTGTGTATTCATCGCTTATTGCGGAACAATCCAACTTTTCCTGCGAAATAAAATACATTTTAAACTGCGAAGTGTAGACGTGATACTTGCTCATTCGCTTCCAATTAGATTGAAATTTGAAAATTGAGGATAATCAGGTTGCAACGGATCTGTGAAATTAGTATATTGTTTTATTTTTGGTTTTTTGATATAAAAATTACAGAACTTTTTTTTATTTTTGTAAGGAACTGTAGAACTATGAAAAATGCTACTGGTACTGGTAGTTCTACAGTTATTAATTGTTTTTTTTTTTTATATTAATAGAATGTCGCTAACTTTACAGATCCGGTCGTAACTCGACATTTCTGAAATTTAGGCTAATTGAACAGAAAATGCATATATTAAATTCTCGCTCGGCCGCAAATATTCTCCTTCAAATTGAATATGATGCTTTTAATCTGACGCACTGAAATGTTGAACGGAATTCCAACTAGAAACTAAAGCGGTTAAACCGAATCTATTCTGCTTATGATAAAAATTGGCACAGTTTTCATTATACTTAAAAAAAATTACATTACGTACGTTTTTTAAATTAATTAAATTAATTTTATTAAAATTACCAACAGAAAAGAAACTATAAGAACCAAAACGCGGGTTTCGGGGCGCAAAGATATTGCAAATCAATACAGACGTCTGTATTGATTTGTAATATCTTTGCGTCTCGACATCTGCGCTTTGGCGCTTCCAACCTCTTTTCTGATTGATTTTTATGGTTATTATAAAACCATACACTATTTATTGAAATTAGACAAACGGGCTAAAATACTGTCGGTAATTTCTCTTCAGAAATTGAACATTGGCCCAGGGCCAAGTACCAAGGAGTTTAAATATTCAATACAGAACCGTGTATCTAATATACTTGTTTTTTTTTTGTACAGATTCAAGCGAAGCGCGAGTTATTCTTCAAAGGCGACGGCGCGGGAATAATCTCGCCACCGTCTGTGCCGTCGGTGCCACCGCCGCAGCCGCCGACGCAGGCACCAAACTCTCAAGTGAACAATTCGGCGACGAACGCCACGACGACCAGCAATCTTACATCGCCGAATGCGGCGCCGATATATTCGAGCGGCGCCGTCACGGGGCCCAATGCGAAAGCGCGGCTGCCGTCCGCGATTCCGAACGATGTCTTGGAGGACAGCAATAGACGCGAGTCCGCTCGTAACGCCGTCTCCGCGAAGGAAGACAGTAACAAAGAGACCAGCCTGCTGCACCATGCGCGACCCACGCCGCCCACCAAGCCCAAGGAGCTCGACGGCTACGTCGGCTTCGCAAATCTTCCCAACCAGGTGCACAGAAAGGCCGTGAAGAAGGGCTTCGAATTCACCCTCATGGTCGTCGGTCAGTAATAGCGCACTCTATAATAAATATAAGTTTATAAATCACAATGATATATAAAACTTTCGCGCGAGAAATGTTATTCTGTGCTTTTACGCAACAGAGTAAAAACACGTAACAGGAAATAGAAATGTACAATGTGATTTAAACTACTTTTTATTTTAAATTGTGAAACGCGGCTGCTAAGATTGTTCGAATAATGGCACTATTTTGGCGCGATATGAACAAATTAATTGTACAATTTACATTACTATAAATTGCCGCTTATATCAGTAGCGAAAGTGGGGGGTTGATTGTAATCAGGGACAGTTGCTGCACTGGGGAAATGAATCCGCCAGCAGTCATTCATGTTAGCAGGAGTTTATCTATGAAATATGTAAGCTGCGAATGTGTGTAAACATAAAGCTATGTCGAATCGATCAATACGATGTAATCTCCTGTGGAAGCGTATTTCTCGGATGCGCCGCGCGGAGTGCGGTTTATTGACGTCGGACCTGCTCGCGGCGAGAAACGCGATCCCGTTTCACGGAGGCTGGGCATTAAAATGCCCATTATGCAGCCGGCGGAGGAACAAACGGTCGTCTGTCTTGGCGCGAAAGCGCGAGGAGCTGGCCCGAGGCGAGGACAAAGGGAAAATTTCTACACGACGGTGAGCACTGATATTCCCATTTCGTCGGGAATATCATCTCGCGGAGCGAGATATACCATCTGCCGAGCACGTGCGAGTTCTTCTCGCTAGAGATTCTCCCTCGTTGCCTGGATCAAGGCTGTCGCCGAGATACAGCGGTTCTCACGCACGGGGATGGGTCCCCGGAGGGCCCCAAGCTCTCTCGCGGCACGATAGGTTCCGCCGGGTGGTTTCTCTCTACGCCGACCTTGTATTATTTATGCAAGCTTGATGGTATCGCGACGTGTGCACGAAGAGGACGTCAATTTGCGGCAATAACGCGTCGCGACTTTGCAGCTCCGCGATTGAAAAGCGTCGTAAATCGTTCGTTGCAGCCTGCGTTTTTGCCGCCTTGAAATTTATCATCTAATTGTAAGTTCCAGTTTCGTTAATTATGACCCGCAGGAGTGGCGTAATTAAAGGCTGATAAAAGGCGAGAATCTGGCGAATTTGTCCAACCACATTTCTGTCATAAAGCGTATTTTATAAAATAATGTAACGTATGATATAACGTAAATCGGACAGGCAGCGAAGAAGACACGTTAAGAATTCGACCGGAGATGTTCGACTGACTGTGAGAGACGTTAATAAAAGTGCTGACTGAACTTGACGACGACCAAACCGATGGTTTCGTGCGAACGCCAAGCAGGCACGCACGCGGGTGTAAAAGAGTGTCATTGGGTCTGAGGAAATTTGAGAGCGCGGTCTGCTGCGTGCGGAGGCTATTATTAGACCGCGTATAAACGGACCGCCGTTCCTCCGTAAATAGAGCAATTCAAGTGCCTACCCTTGGCTGAAGGTGTAGGCGCGGCTCTTCGTCTGGTTCAAGGTTCGCGCATTAAGAGGTCACGGTGCTCGTTCAAATTTCATTTCGCTACGTCTCCGAATTTATTTGACCGCGGATCCATTAGTAGACGTATAGCATTGCCGGTCGTAAATATTGGGGACCGAGATTAATGGTCGCTGTCTCGATGACGAGATATTAATGGCCGCGAAGTTATTTCGTCTTAGGATCATCGAGTTGAATTAAATTTCAGGAAAATAAATATTTGAAACAATATTTACCGCGTGAGAGAATGCAGTCGAAGAAACATTTCTTCATCAACTTTTTTTTACCGATCTATCTTTATTTCATTTCGCAAATATTTTGAGAGCTGCATTAAAAAAATTTTAGTAGCAATGGTGGAAACATATTATCGAGCAACTGCACCGGTTGTTAGAGCTAATCGCAGATAAGAATAAAAATATGGGATGAAATATGTATTTTCAAGTTACATTTATTTATCGAGAAATATTAATAATTGATATTAACTGATATTAAGTTACTAAAGTTGTCGTTTAAATTTTTACAGGTGAATCTGGACTTGGTAAATCCACCCTGATCAACTCTATGTTCCTGGCCGACATATACAGCGCCGAATATCCCGGACCCAGTCTCAGGATAAAGAAGACAGTTGCCGTGGAAACCTGTAAAGTGTTGCTGAAAGAGAATGGCGTCAATCTCACCCTCACGGTCGTCGATACCCCCGGTTTCGGTGACGCTGTCGACAACAGCAATTGGTAACTATACAAGCACAGAAATCCGAAAAGCTCACGATTAAATTCTGTCAAATCCACGTGCTTTCGTAATTCTAACGCATTATTGACATTTATCGCCAGTTGGGTACCAGTAATTGACTACATCGAGTCGAAGTACGAGGAGTTCCTTAACGCGGAGTCCCGCGTGACGAGACGGCAGATTCCAGACAGTCGAGTGCACTGCTGCCTCTATTTTGTCGCGCCCTCCGGCCATGGACTGAAGCCCCTTGACGTGGAGTTCATGCAGCGTCTTCACGACAAAGTTAACATCATACCTGTTATTGCCAAGGCGGATACCATGACGCCGGATGAATGCGCATATTTTAAGAAGCAGGTATGATCTGTTTTAATCTCGGATTTTGAAAAAAGGAAAAGAATGAAGGATATTTTATCTTTTTAAAATAAGTGAAAATACAAGTGAGGATTAAACATTGTTTTATTTTTTTTAATTCTCAAAAAATTTCTTTAAACTTCTAAAAGAATCGTAGCAAAATATATCACATAATAGTTAACGCTAAAATAATGAATTTTTTGCGTATATTTCCTGTTTTTGTAATTGTCATTTAATCGATATCGTATTTTAGATTCTGAACGAGATTGCGCAACACAAAATAAACATCTACGAGTTTCCGGAGGTTGATGAAGAAGACGACAAATCCAACAAATTAAGGGACAGAGTGCCGTTTGCAGTTGTGGGAGCAAATACTGTTGTTGATCACGATGGCAAAAAAGTGCGGGGCAGAAAATATCCGTGGGGAGTTGCGGAAGGTGTGTATAAGTTTGAATAAATTATCGATCAACTTTTCTGAATAAGAAAAACTTGAGTGAAAATTATTATTTGAAAATGTAAATAATTAAATTACAATCATGTTCAAAATTTACATTTTAAATATTTGCCTGTGATTTATTTTACTTCTATTTACATTTACTCTGCTTTTTTACATTTGGTGCACTTACGCTGCTTGTAGCACTATAAAATAAATAACGTTAGACAAAATTTCAAGCATCATATATCGAAGAAGTGTCGAAATATAATTCTTATATTTCTGTGCGTAGTCGAAAACTTGGCACACTGCGACTTCATAGCGCTCCGAAATATGGTGGTAAGGACGCACGTGCAGGACTTAAAAGACGTGACGAACAACGTGCATTACGAGAATTTCCGATGTCGCACCTTGGCCGGTCTGGGCATGGACGGCAAACCGACGAAGGCCTCGAATAAGTAAGTACATTTGTACCAATTGATGCGATTAAGTTGCAATTTCTTCTCCACACGTTTGATTTGTGAGAGATATTATGGGAAAGATGCTTAGAATATTTTTGTCGAGAAGTAGATGTACTTTACTCTATTGACATAGACAAATCGAGCATCGTGATTTGATTTAGCAGATTGATCGAAAGATTTAAATAAGAAGAATTGAATAAAATTGAAAAATTAGACTAAAGTCGATTATCCGCCTGAAATTAATTTGCTCGCTCCATCACTCGAGTTAAGTGATAAAACTGCAGCCCTGAAAACATGCGTCTTTTAATATAACAGCGATTTAGCTTCATATTGCGTAATATGATCCAATTTATTAATTCACCTGTCCCCAGATATAATATTAACATTGTCGCCGGATGTGATAAAAATGACGGGACGACTACTCTTTTCATTGGGTCCGGTCGGGGTCACGACGCTCGCTTTGTCTATTCGGAACACAAGCAAGGTTGTTTGTTTCGTTGAGTTTGATTTGTGAGCACGCAGTGTGTCTCGACGAGCACTCTACTGTGTATGCGATGATGAGATGATCGTTTATTTCGAGCTTCAGTATCACTAATACGACGCTGGTACTTGCAAATCGGTTGCGTGTACTGTCCGAAACGCTTGTATCAAATAATGTGTTTTCGTTTAATTGGTTTCTTCATTCGGAAGAATACAAAGAAAGGTTGTGCATGCAAACTATCGAAGGCCTCTCCCTCCCCCCCAGTGACACTCGCGTTCGAACTATCATAGCATATCTCGATCGCGAGCAAGATTTATATCCGTAGACTAGACACGAGAACGCTGTCGAGCGAGAGGGAGGGAACGAACCGACCCAAACCCTCGACAGCGTGTCGCCCGTGCGAATTTTAATGGTGAATTTCTTATTGGTCAGTTTGTGCCCTCCAGGAGTGATGAACAGTTTCATGATGGTGTGGTAAGTCCTTTAATAAGGCTCAAAAGGATGTACTATGGTTTTGTGTGCACAAGCCTTACGAGTTTTGAGACTTTCGCGAAACATTTCGATCTGAGAGGGCTCGCTGTGCGAAACATTGTAAAATCGAACGTATTGATAGAAAAAAAGTAATATTAAAAACATTACACGTCCTAAATCCGCCGATTGCAGCTAATTTAATAATTTGTGTTTTATTTGTGCGTTGGATTTTACAAAATTATCAAATTAATTATATTAAAATATTAAGTAAATCATTTAAAATATTTAATTCTCTTAATTTTGATTGTGTAATTTAATTTAATTAATTCAAAAGCATTATGCGGTTTCTCTCTACAGTATTTTTAGAATTACAAAATTAAATTGAATATTTCGATTTAATTTAAATATAAATTATAAATTTGATTAATATTGAGCGGTTATGTATGTACACAGTGAGCCCTCCGAAGAAATATTCGATGCAAATTATTGTACGCTATTTAGAAAGAGAACTTGTAAATTAGTTTTTCTACATTGAATGTAACACGATTTGCTTGCTGTCTTTATATTCACACTTATTTTTGCATTAGTATTTAGTAACGTAATAATAGTTTTTTTACGCACAAAGTTTTCTTATAAAGGGAAAGTGTATCTAGCTATGTTTTTTATAACGCCTGTAAATACATTCTGGCTTCATAGATTTTATTATAGTAACTTTTTACATATATAAGAGCCCTGATTTGCATCGCACATAAATAAAAAAAAAGAAAGAAATTGTAGTATGTAGAGAGAAAAAAGGAGAGAAACAAGTGTTAAAATATAAATTAAAAATTCTTATATTGCTTATATCTTTTTTAATACAAGTGAATAATGAAAGCAACGATATTTTCATTCATGTCAACAATCATTCCGCATGCATATGACGCTATGTAGCATAAAGCTTGCAATAAATTTCCGGAATGTAATTGTCTCCCATGGATATAGAGCAATGTTCTAATTGCCATGATAATAATCCGCGATAATAACGGTGGAAACCAATTATCGGTCATAATTCGCGTAACATCAATGCAAATCCGGGCTTTAGGCATTTAATCCTTAACTGATTACGTTGGTAAGCTTTTACATAAAAGCTCTCCGATGATAAGTCATATATTTTGCTCTTATTAGAGAAAATAGTTATTTGTTTATTACTTATATAAAATATATATTAAAACAGATTTTTTTTTTTATTATTTGTTAAAATTTGTACAGCCAGATGCGTGATTTTTCTATAATGATGCAATATCAGTTAAGAATTAAACATCTCTTATCTCTTTCTTTATTCTTTGCGGCACTGCGTAATTGTTATTAATATCACAACTTGAGTAGCTAATTTGAATGTCTCATCTTTCTTGACTAAAAATTTATCTCTTCGGAATTTAGAAAATCTAATTTTGAAATTTGTGCTGCGAAGAGTTAAAATCAAGTTTCACAAATGTGGTAGTGCTGATTAACAATTATTATTGATGGCGCCTAAATGTGTTATACACGTCACATACGTTAAATGTAATACCCCGTACTTATATTCCGAAGATCACATTTCACCGATTCGTACATTTATAATTTTGATGTCGAATCTTTATAGGAATCCGTTGGCGCAACTGGAAGAAGAGAAGCGCGAACACGATAACAAGATGAAGAAAATGGAAATGGAAATGGAACAAGTGTTCGAGATGAAGGTGAAGGAGAAAAGGCACAAATTGAAAGACTCCGAAGCGGATGTAAGTAAAGCACGTCAGTAATATCATTTTTCATTCATTTCAAAAATTGTTTCAAGATTTGTAAAAACTCGCTTAAATTTTCCTACCTGGAGATTTAGATATCATTAATTAAATCAATTAAAAAAAAAAGAAAAAATGATTTAGCAAGATTCAAGTAAAAAGATGGTTTGCAAACTTCAGTTTTCACTTGGCATTCAATAACTTTTTTTAGCTCTGCCGCAAAACACATCAACCGATTCTTGTATTATCTCATAATTTTTTATAAGTTTATCGTCTCATAAATTTTTTTACATTCGGCAATAAAAGCAAAGTTCGAAACATTAATACTAATAAAAAACGAAAAATAGTTACAAAGAAGACACGAACAAATGCGGCGCTCGTTGGAGCAGCAAGTGCGAGAACTGGAGGAGAAGAGACGAGCCTTCGAGGCAGAAAAAACCGCATGGGAGCAGCAGACCGGACACAGTATTGAAGAATTACGTAGACGCAGTTTAGAAGCAAATTCGAAAGAGTAAGTAGCCCATAATTCATAAAAAGAACAAAATTTTACGGTTTGATCGTTGATTTTTTACTGTTGCATTTTCACACATTTATTTCTTCGTTGTATCAAAGGGAATATATCGTTGTTTCTCGCACGAAATATTTTTGTTTTTGGAGAGATAGATTTTTTATTCAGCTTTATCTTGTTTTTTTTTGTTTTTTTTGTTTTTTTGTTTTTTTTTTTGTTTTGTTTTGTTATTAAAGAAAGACGCTAATGCGATTACGAACAATTAATGAAGTAGCTATATCGCTTGAAGCTTAGTTATTGGTGATTTAGTATGGCTCTTCGAATTATTTACATATCCGGTTTGATGGCGCAAAAATCACCCAATCTGGTGCAGCTTAATAGCTTTTTTGTACATTGCCTTTCACCACTACCGTATCTTTTTTTCCGGTTGTAGAGACTGTCGTCGAGATTGATATCAAATTTTCTCGCGAAAATTTCACGAATCTCATTCTGGAAGCTTAACATCCGTAATTAAAACTTGATGAATTGAGATTGTAACGCTTAAATCAGTAGTGTTCCGCTCTTTATGTGATTTCAAGTGGGCTTTAAAAAATTTCAATTTAAAGCTTTAATTAAGGAGCTGCAACATTTTTATGGGAGGAGTTAAACTTTTATTAAGTTTTGTAAAGGATTCATGGATAAAAAAAAGAGTACGATAGTGGGTAATTTTGCAATGTGGGCCTCACTCGCGCTGTATTTGGTAGTCGCTAATACGTGTTTAGATTTTGATGTGCAATTTTATAGTTGTCGTTCGCACCGCAATTCCATTCACGCTTGATATGTACGATCCTTTATACATCCCGATCACTTCACGAAGCTTGCACTAATAACCGTTAATCGAATATTCTTTACCGGCTCAATTAAAAGAAAAATTATCGTCGTCATCGAACTTCCTTTTTTATACTTTATATTCACGCGATATTATCCGCACATGTATATATCACATCTTCCATTCGCATTCTTTATAATGCATTTAGCGCTAAGTACGACTGTTTAATTCTAAGTCACAGTAAGATATTATATTATTAATTAATTAATTAATTAATAAGATTATTGTTGTGCAATACTTAAAAAATAATGCTAAACGTTTAGCGCTTGTTACTTTTTCTTATTTCTTAATCCAGAAACATGAGACCAACTTTCGTGTTGCTTGGATTAAAGTCATATTTTTAGCGCTAAATGCGAGTGACGTGCATCGCCGACGTTTTCAAAAAGTCCGAAATAAAAAATTCGTGCAAGGAACGTCGGCGATTCTGCAGGACACCGTTAGTGTCGAGCTAATCGCGCGAGAATATACGTAGACATAAGTTCGCAGTCACGTGTACAATTTTGTTTTTTCGCTACGAGCTTCCTTCTACGAATGTACATTCGCAAAAAAAAAAAAAAGCAGAAGCTCGAAATTTTGTCTCTCTTGTGTGTATACCATATCGGGATGTCCTCCTGATCTAGGACGGCATCGATGTCCTCCGAGGGATCTGGAGGCGGCGGTGGAGGTACGTTGAGAGGGTCCCGAGGGATAGGCAGCCTCCTTCGCCGTCACACCAGTTTCAAATCACCTCAAGACAGCCCCGCACAGATACAGCTTGTCATACAGCATCCTGAGCACCCCTAATAGAGACCGTTTCCCAGGTCGCACTCTCGCTTATGAGATTCGTGCTGAAGTCATTGCGCGGACTTCTTCTCGTGCTCAATCCTTATCTGGTTTTTTTTAAACAGTACTAAAATCACTTGACAAAGATCCCGTCGGATCGGTAAAAATACGAATCAAAATATCCTGATTTGTTATGTCCGGAGGCAATCAAAACAGTACTTTGCAAAAATATAGAAAAGACTCGCTTTTGTTCGAAAACTGTACAAACATCTTGACTGCCTGAATAAGGGTTGAGGGAAGTCTTTTCATTCTCTTGAGGGGTGTAAGTAGTGCCTATCTAAACAACACTAATTTATTATTTCAATATTAAGCTTAATAAATTTTACATTTGTGTCTTTAGTGACTGAAGACAGAAATCAGCAAAATTTTGTTATTTAAATTACTTTTTAATTGGTAGAGTTTTCATTTTTTCCCAAGTTATCAGCAAATTGCATAAAAATTGGTAAATTAATTTTTTTAAACTTTGCAAATATATTGTTTTTTTAATATTTGGTCTTTATACGAATGCAAAGTTCGATATTAAATGGATTTAGAGGTGTATCTGTACTCGTTGTCGTGATAGGCGGCACTTACTCAACCTCTACACGCGTATGCGTGCGCTCGTTTACTCGTTCGATACATATCGTAATCCAAAGCGACTGTATATTTCTAGCGAGAAGTTCATAAGTCACACGCCGTAAAAATACCGCGCACAACTAAGACGTGCGTTTACCAGCGCGCATCTAAACGTGATTCAATACATTTCTTCACTGTTTTATACTTGAACCGTCTCGTGTTCGCTTCACGCGTCTTACACAATAATTTCGTTACTCGACGAAGTAACTGCAACAAACATTGTCGTAATTGTGCACAAATGCGACACAAACTTAACGATAATCCAAGTGAAGGAAAATTGAGTATCGTGGAATAGTTAGGTGGAGCTACTTAATACTATAATTAACTTTTTACTGTTATAAAGCAGCTGTTTAATACCCGGAGCTTACCAGGTTAATCTTTTGATTGAAATGACAGTTTAAAGTCGTTAAAAATTAGCGATTACAACTTTAATTAATTTGAAGTGATTTTTTTAACAAAAATTTAAATCAGAATTTGATTATTTTATCAATATTCGATTAAAAGTTATAGGATAAAAATAGAAATCAACAAGTCGAAAACAAGTCTGAAAATTTTATCTTGTATTATCGTTAAGATGAATTCTATCTCAAACTTGTCTTACATTCATTCCAGCCGCGTTTTCGCGTTTTTTCGAAACAATTCTATCTCAGCGACTCAGATTTCTTTCCTACAAAATTACAACATGTCTGTCTCGCGTTACATGGTAAAGTTTCAAGCGCGATTCATCATACGAGCACGTCTCTTTACTCTTCATATTTACGTGAATTTCGTGCATTTTTTCCTTTACATTTTACTATAACGTATTCATTATAATACAAACGTGGAGTCTCGGCTTGCGCATTACGGTAAGTCGCGGTCGAAACACTTAGACGATAGTAAACGACGTATTAAGTATATATTAGCGATATGTACATTTAGCAACGTATTTTTGGCACGGACTTTGATAAAGTACGGAACAGTGTGTAACGGAGCGCAAAATTGTCACTCATTCTTGTGTAGCGACGTTTTTGTACTCAAAATCCAAAACGTGCGTTTAAAACACACGAAACGTATACATAGACACACGCACACTTTGATCCTTTACCGCATCGTGTGCCATAATTTTGTCCTGCTGCTTCCATTAATACTTTAATTATAATGTATCGTCGCTGGATACGTGGTTGCTATATTATATTTGTTACACTTATTCCCGATCATATTTACACATTCAAATCGAAAACACTATCTGTTTCGATGTCCTTGGACGTTAATATTAACGAAGGCAGACTTGCTGCAGCCTTATCGTTATCTATCAGGCAAACTATGCGCGTTTCACGTTTTTCCAACTTTACCTCGATATTTATTCTATAAAATAGTAAATTACGGTAAAGGTGAGTTGTCTAGTTTATCGAAAGCATAAAAATTGAAAAAGTAATATTGGAGAATTACTTTTTTTAAATTGAGCTTGTTTTAAAAAAATTTTTTTTGTAACAAAAAAAATAACAGAAAAATTATAAACAAATTTGACAATTAAATTCTGACGTAAAGAAATTTGACAATATATCTTTTATGTCTCGTTCATCCTTCTTTTCTCGAAACAAATGCCTTAATTGCAAAAGTCATGCGGTAAAGGGTTGATTTATATGAATCTCCACTTCGCAAGCCCGCGCGGTTTGTAAAATCAAGCTATTGTAAACTCTGAGCAAGCTGTCGACCCCACTCGTTCGACTTAAACATTTTTTTTGTTATACGATGCGTAATAACAACTGTTCAGAAATGCTCAAGCAAAATTAACTAAATAGCTCGCACAAGCATGATCAGGCGTTTCGATGAGATTCTCGAAATTGCGAAGGATCGATTCAAAAGAAAGAAATTAGCGACAGCTTGGTAGAGGATATAACCGCCTATTACTAATAATTACTCACAAACCAGATTATATATTGTTAATTTCACGATTGAATCTTTTTTCGCAAAATAAACGCAAATGCTTACCTAAAACAATTACTAACCGTTTTCAGTCTTTCGTATTGCGATTTTTTAGCTTATCTGTATTCAGAGCGAGGCAACGGGGGAAAATTGTGTCACGGGAGGGAATTGGAAAGGGAAAATAAACGGATAAGTACATCGTTAAAATACGAAAGCTCGCAGAAAATAGACACAGTTTTCTCTCGTCGCTTTTTATTCTGTACCACGGTTTTTTGCCATATGCGTACAATGTTTTACTGTTTCATCGCATATCGTCACTTCGAATCTGGCTTCTCACAATACCATTTCTAGCATTATTTCATAAATTGTGTTTCGACTTTTATAGAAATACAAAATTGCAAGAAAAATTCGCGTTAAAGTGGCGATATGTTGCCGTCTCGATGTGCATACATATTTACAAATTCGCTGATTATAAATGTAAAAATTTATCGGTTGCTTCGATGTTTCGTAAACGTTAGTAGATGTAAATATCGTGAGATATAAATATTTAACATATTTGTGTAACCACGATAATAACAAATACGATATGAAAATATGTTAAGAGCCGTTAAAAGAGATTGGAAATAATGGAATACGAAGCAAAAACATGAGGTGATTTTTTGATACATGAGATAAGCATGGTCGCGAGCAAAGGATGGGTTCAAAGCATGGTTTTAGCATGAATAGATTTTGTATACGCCAAAAGTTTAGTTTTGCATAACAATATGCAACCGGCAACGGTATACGTAATGATTTTGCATAACAGTATGTTATCTGCTGTCTATCGCATATCGCTTTAGACATTTCTGTCGACGCTTTCGAGTCAATTTTCTACATTTTTTACGTAAGCGTTCAAATAAACCGAAATTTTTCTTTATAAAGATAGGATAAAAAAAAGGAAAAAAATAATCGGAAGATAACGTTCGGTGTGCATCTCGAATTAGTGCTCGCGTGGCATGAAAGTCGATGATGCAGATTCTTCTGTTATTAGCGCGACGCAAGCGATAGGCGAGTACTTGATATAGAAATTCTCCTTTCAGGACTGTCGACGGTAAAGACAAGAAGAACAAGAAGAAAGGCCTCTTCTAATCGAATCGATCCGCAAGAAAGAAAGAAAGCGTGCAGGAACGACCCGATTCGGCCGCGATTATCGCGCTTCCGGCAACGCTGTTATCGATGACAAACACGAGTTAGGTGGTTACGATCGACGATAGACTAGATTTGTGCGCGATATAAAGATCCGCGATCGGAAAAGCCATCGGCTGGATTCTGTGAAACAGTATTCGCGGACGATGCATTCGTATTGATATTGAATTGTTGGATCTCTAGATGCAAGCAACTGCTAAAGAATCAGTTAGCTGAGAATGATTTCGCAGATTTTAATCGCACCTAAGAATCTGTCACGCTCTATGAAACTTGGAGATTTCGTGGAAACCAAAATTCATAGAACTAGATGTCTTCGAAGACAAGATCTGCTTGTCACGAATGATTCATGATTTATTAACAATCTGCGAAATCGCGGGATCCTATATCTAGGATTTCGGATATCAAGAGTCTTGAACCACAAGGATCTCTAATACGAAGGCCCATCAACAGAGACATCCGCAACAAATTCGATAAGGATCTCAGCGATCGATACTTCGCTTATCCGTTAATCTGCACAATCAATCAACTGAAGATCCACGACGCCTAATTTTCATACACTTGAAGATTAATTGATCCAAAAAATCCAAAATCTTAAATAGGTTGATTAGTTGCGACCAAGTTATGTTCTATCGGCATCCGGAAGTATTATCCTCGATGCGGAATATTCCGGGCTGCGTTTAGATTTACGTGGGTGTCTTGCGTCAGCGGGTAATCCCGTTTTATTCTCTTCACAATACGCGCTGCGTGCAAGTTGCGAACCGAAAGAGAGAAAGAGAGAGAAAAGGAAGATTCTCCTACGACAAGAGAGTGTGTCCGCCTGTGCTTTTTCGCGCTTCCTACTAGTATTCGAGGAAATGAAGAGTTAGGGAGGGAGAATAAAGGGGTACACAATCGTTCTTTCACGACGCTCACCATCGTTCAATCGCGACCGCCATTTACTTACGATACAATTGTACAAAAAGAAACATGTAGATGTAATTTTTTGGAGAACGTAACTTTCATACTTTTCTCGGCGCGAGTTAGCTCCGTTTAAACTTGTGTATCTTTTTGCGCAACGAGAGCGTCGCGTGTCCGCCGCTCTCCGCTAATCATGATTACGTCTGTGCCATCGTGCGGCCGACAGGAAGGATAGTCATCATATCAATATCTTGGAATTAAGGCAATCAAGTGTTTCGCGTTTCACATTCTGAAATAGAATAACGAGAGTGATCACGCACGGACTTCCGAGTACAATAAAATCAATCGTTTTCTAAATCAACAGATTAATTATGATCTTGACATTATGTAATTAGAATCAGTTGGAAAGATTGTAAATTTAAACATTGGGAAATTGTTAGAAATTATGATTATTACGACAAATGATGATTACACTTGTTTAAATATTTATTAAGCAATAACTTACAATAAGTTAAAATATTTTGAATATTTGATTTGTAATAAGTAAAAAAAAAAATCCGTATCTAAGTATAACCGTATCGATTTTTTATTTTCGCGTTCTTGGATGACTCAACTCTCCGTAAGATATTGAGAGATCGAGAAAGAGCATGATAATCGCGAGTAACGTAATCGTGGCGCGGAGAGAGGCTGAACATGATATCGCACAAAGCAGCGGCCATATATTATATACATATATAATAAATATATATTTATGTATAAATAAAAAGCGAGAGCAAGCGTAAGCGTAAGTCTAACTCATGTACACGTAAGCTGCGCCTCGCGACGAGTGCGAGAAATCGATTATTATAAGAACGAATCATTGTATAAATAATGAATTTAGGTGTGATGGATCACTGCGATTCTAGGTGGTGCGTTTTTCCCATTTTCTTAAATCAAAATTACTTCATTCTTTTTGTTGCGCAAAAAGTTCACTATCGTACAAAATTGATTTTCTAATATTTTCATTCAAATACTGAGTTACTTTTTGAAGAATGGCACACCGCTTTTATTTCCGATCGATAATTGAATTAAATCGATATAATCAAAACTACAATTTTTAAGAAGAATTATTATATATACTTTCTTTCACGAAAGTGAATAAATAATAATTCTGTGCAAAATTTTTTTGCAATATTTTTTTAGAACATTTTACTAGCGCAATCAAAAATATCCCAAAATGCAATTTTTACTGTTGCCGTCAGGATTTATATTCGAATCAAAACGCACCGTCTGGAATGCGTCCACATCGATATGTTTAGGGATTAAGCTAATTAAGTTACTTCTGTGCCAAGAGGAGGGAATAAGCAGTTTTATAAAGCTGCAGGAGCGGTCTCTTTGGTTACCGCGAAGTGAAGCACGCAGTATTCTCTCCGGGAAAGTTCTGTGAACGTGTTTGAGGGGAAGGGTTCAGGGGAAACGTTCTCGTTTACACAATCAACCCTCCGACGGATATTTCGAACTCTGAAAGCAGTCGGTTCCGTTTCTCGAATGATCAGGTTTTACCATCTGGCGAATTTGCGTACTTTCAACATCACGTAATTTATTATTCGATCTCATAGAAGATCTGTTTCCCTTACTATAATCGTTTCTTCTTCTTTCTTTTCACCCGAATATTTTGTCTTAAGTACAGAAAGCGTAAAAGAAGAATTGTAGCTAAGAGAAACAGATCTGCGAAACGATGCGGAGGCCAGTAAAGAAGTTGTTCGACGATTGTCTTATTAATTTCTATTCGATATATTATTATATTCTATTTTATTGCATTTTTACGCTTCCCCCGTTTCCTTCATCTCACGGGGGTGAGAAACGCTCGCGCGCGCGCGCGTGCATCACATTCCTATTTTGTATGCATTTTTCTAAATAGGCTCGCCGGCTCAAGCGTGTTTCGCCGAGATACATCTACATAATCTCCCATTCGCGTACATTGAATCACAACCAAAATAAGTGCGAGCAGCCGCATTCAATTGAAATATCCTGTTCCGAAACTGCGAAAGCATTTGACAGTAATTTAAAAAAAACTGACTGGGGATTACCAAGAGAATCCGAAGTATCCAAGTATTCGAGCTCTATATGAAATCAAAGACTTCGGCGATACAAAACAGTAAGAACTCCATGAGCAATATTCTAAGAGTATGAAAATACGAAGATCTGGGTATTCTGAGCAAAGAATCCGAAGATCTAGAATCAAATTGAAAAACTGGAGGCTGTGGAAATCGAAGAATCGAGGAATGACGGATATACAAGAACTCGCGCGAGCCGATGAATGAGAGAATGATAGATTTTCACGCGCACTCACAGATATTCCATATCGTCAAGTTACAAATAAATTGCAAAACGTTAGACTCGAGATCAAATGATTTTACGGCTGCGCAACATTATGCAGGATGTTCCAGGATAAAATTAATGGACATGTAATAAGATATTGAAATAATTTTAGTAAAAGAAATCCATTACTTTACGTCTTCATGAAAAGTCAGAGTTGCGTTATTAAAATTTTTCTTTAATTCAAGAATCTCTCTAATTTTTGTATATTTTATATTGTCGAAATTAATAACTGATACTTATATTTTCAAGCCAATTTCCTCTTTCTACAATTCGTTCTATTTAAGAGATTCCTCCTGGAAGACCCTATGTACATCGCTTCACACCTTTCTGCGTGAACTGGCAATCGATTGTACTTAATTATCGCACGAAATCGCCTGATGCGTTACTCTGCAGCCGTGCCGAGGACAACGTCGAGCTGGATGAAGGACCTTACTTAAGGCTGCATCTGAAGCCCGGAAGGCCAGGTGGTGTTATCGATAACTATGTGTATTTCTATGGACGATGCTTGTAATATGATTTAAATGGTTACTTGTAGGATCATTGTAAAACTATTCGCGCGTACGCGATAATCGATGTGATTACGTTTGCTCCGGAGACGAAAGACACGGAAGACGAGCGGTTTAGATAAACGAAACAAATTATATATTTTGCCGTGCCAGACGAAAACGAAGCTGCCGCCGCTAATTGTAGACCAGTTGTAATAACGACTCACTGTATCGCGACGAACACTTTAGAGTATGTATCCAGTAAATTATATATAAAATCATATAACGATAGTTCGCGTTTGGAACCTTTCTATTGATTCCACAACAATACAACGTGTGGATGATGATGACCCTTTTATAGGAGGTTCAAGATTTCAGGAGTTGTTCATTATTCAACACACACGAAGAGGACGCTCGACAACGAGATCAAAATCATCTAAAGGTAATTAGAGCTATTTTGTAATTATCATATTTTGTTGTACATCCTTGTTTTAAATTAATTTTTCCTTATCCGTGCATTTTTGTTTTGTAGGAGCGGAATTTTATAGCCCTTTGTCCTTTTGTTTTTTATAAATTAGTTTTACTTCATAAACAAAACGCTGTGTACTCATAAAGTGTCAGAGGAAACTTACTAGCGAATTCTGTGAGTAATTTTTTTTTTTTCCTATATATTTGAATGGTTTATTAATGGTTTTTCAAGTTGTAATAATTGCGTGATGATTAATTGAAATTAAAATATAATGATTTCCACACAAATCATTTATTAATGAAGAAATTTAAAGAAGTTAAAGAAATTTTTAAAAATGTAAATAAATATTTTTAATAATTTATGATAATATTCATGATATATTCGTGGTAATTATCAATTGTGCATACATATTTTATGCACATAATATTATTTGAGTTTTTTTTCCCACAAAATCAGATTTTTTATTAAGTATGATTCAATAAATCATGCTTACGGTTTTCATTGATAGCGAGAGTCTGTGACATACTAATCTTACGTCGGAGAAGGCGATAGGAATTCCTTCTTCCGGCCTGCTTTTACTATTTCTTAACACGCTTTCAAGTTATTAAAAGCGGCCTGATTTTGCTATTTCTCAATCACTATACCTTTGATTAAGCATGTGGAAAAATAAATTGAAAGGGAGAATTCGTGGAATGTAAATTTTAGCATAAATTTCAAAAAGGGAACAGTTGTGACGTATGCAACAGAAAGTGGAAAGCGCTGAAGGATTAAATATTTATTTACATATCGTTTATACACATGGTGTGTTGACAGTGAACACACGTTTATGTATATATAATTCTGCTGACGAGGCGAGATATTTTACCTTCGCAATTCTCACGCCGTTTTCACATTTCATTTCATACGTATTTTTCGCCGTGTATTTTATCCTGTAAAAAGTTGAAATGGGTTTTCGATACTTTTGATTTCCCAATGTCTAAAAGAATTCGTTTTCTACGGAAATTTGAAATAATCTTATGATTAAAATGATGGTTGTTTATTTTATACGTTACATGTTATCTCGTTAATGAAGCCTTGAGTAGAATTTCTGATGAAACATCCTTCGCTTGCAATTATAAAATTGTCATTTTTCGATAATCTCAATTATTCTTAAGCGATAATTAATTGTTGCTATTGTTATTTTAAATATTGCGAAAAAATTTTAGTACATTTCAATATGGAATACTTTAAGTTTATTGAGAAATTTTTTATTTTTTACAAAAACGCCACATCAGAAGTTTCAGTAAATTTAAACTACTTAAACTACATCGCTTATACGTTTTATCAAAATATTATTATAATTTATGCTCATATATTTTCAGTAAAAAATTACACGTGATATATTCATGATATTTAATATTGAAACGTGTGTGTACTCTGAAATTTTTTCGCAACATTTAATAATAGCGACACAATTAATTATCGCTTCAAGAGCAATTGAGATCATTGATCATTGATTGGAAATGTTATGAATATTCTTTCCCAGGCAGCGCATGTTTGTTTCATATACATTTAGGAAACGTATATGAAACGAACATGTGCTACTTGGGTTTGATTCTGTAATTTTGATATTATGTTTCAAATTACAACCATAATTTTCTCATATCAGAAAGATTATCGCTGCTTCTGATACAACTCTACCAACATATTTAACATTACAATGCACAAAGTCGTCTCTTTGATCTGTTAAAAATCTATTTAAGAATTTATTTATTTAACATGTGAATTTACATCTTTTGTTGAAGAATCCATGTGTCTTTGTATTTTTATGAGAATGGAATAGTAATATAAACTTTGTGGATATATTTTTGCTGCAAACGTTTCCACAATGATGACAACTGATTTTTTAACAGTCATGTAGAGGTTATAGTAGAAAGTCAGACATATAATTATTAAGTCTATTATCGGCTTTATATATAGCTTTATATATTTTTAACTTTTTTTTTGCTGTATGACATAAAATGACATAATTTGTTTTTTATTATTACTGTAAGAGTTTCATTTATGCACGTTTGCGTGCATTTTTTTTTTTTTTACTGTTACGTTGCACGTTACAAAATAACACAAAAAAATTATGTACATTGTGCGCAATTTTTTTACCGAATTGTTTTGCTGTTGGAATCGAATACAAAAAATGTAAATCATTACATAAACATTACACAAACAAATAATGTTATGTAAAATTTATTAATGCGTTTTTTGTAAAAAATGCGTTTTCTGCTTTTTGTCACAAATGTCGACGAGTCATTTATAATATCGAAAAATTAATCAGTCGTTTCGGTAAGTTCTTTTAACATTCATATTGAATTTCTCGAAGGGTTTTCTTCTCAATAGAGGTAGGCAGAATAATTGCGCATGAGCATTGTATATTCATCGTGACCTGATGACCCAATCGAAACCCGGTTCGTCGAAAGAGCGGACTCGCACGTGGGCACACATCTCGACACGCTATCTTTTCACATGTTATTAACAAATTCTATGTTGCTTTGTAAATTGTTATGCAAGCTCATTGTGACAATGCAATAACGAATTTAACGTAAAGCACCGACCCTCGTATCGGCTGCATGCGTCAGCTGCGTGAACCTTGTCACCCCTTCTCTCGCCCCGCTTCCCGGCTTCCCGCATGCCGATGACTACGGCGCGGCGCGGGTATCGCAAGCGCACTCGCCTGCGAGAGCTGAGTCGTGCAAGGCTGTCAGTGTCTGCCGCACGGCGGGACCACGTGAACGGATGAGCGAAGCGAAGGACGATTGACCGACCGGCCGACTTAACGGAACGACGGAGAGGACCGAGCGAGCTTCAAAACACGCAATCGAAAGTCGCTCGACGGCAACCAACGGCGCGACGACTGGAATTTTCACCGAGCCGCGCCGAGTTTCACTTCTAACCTGAATTCGACGTGGCGTGTGCGGAGATCGTTCATGTGCCTGTCTCAATATACGTCAAACGAGCCATCGGCGAACGCTACGCGACGACGAGGTATAACGCGGAGACGTGCGATACGTAGAAACTATGCGTGTTTCTTTAATTCCGATCCTCTTTAATCCCGACCTTAATAGATCTCTATTGGGATCAAACTTGTGAATTACGAGCGTGACACAATTTCATTAGAATCAGCTGACTGACTCTCGGTTGTCGCCAGGGTGATTACATAAACTTAGGCGGAAGGAGAGAGCGTCGAGGACTCGTTGGACAATTCGACAGGATGTGGCCGAAAGATGTTGGTATCCGGGCGCTGGAGGTGTACTTCCCGGCGCAGTATGTGGAACAGAAGGAGCTGGAGGAGTACGACGGCGTTTCGTCCGGCAAGTACACGATCGGCCTGGGCCAGACGCGGATGGGCTTCTGCAATGACCTGGAGGACATCAACTCGCTGTGTCTGACCGTGACGCATCGGCTGCTGGAGCGGCACGATATCAGTCCGCGGGACATCGGCAGACTGGAGGTCGGCACCGAGACTATACTCGACAAGAGTAAGTCAGTCAAGTCCGTGCTAATGCAACTGTTCGAGTCGTGCGAGTGCACCGACATCGAGGGCATCGACACCACGAACGCCTGCTACGGCGGCACCGCCGCACTCTTCAACGCCATCGCGTGGGTGGAGAGCAGCTACTGGGACGGCAGGTACGCCCTGGTCGTGGCGGCTGATAACGCGGTGTACGCTGCGGGTAGCGCCAGGCCGACCGGCGGCGCGGGCGCGATAGCCATACTCGTAGGTCCGGACGCGCCTCTGGTGTTTGACCGCGGCCTCCGCGCGAACTGCATGCGGCACGCGTACGACTTCTACAAGCCGGATCTGCGTTCCGAATATCCCGTGGTCGAAGGCAAGGTGTCGATCGAGTGCTATCTGAGTGCTCTGGACAGCTGTTATCAGCTGTACCGCGATAAGGTTAAGAAGCAACGTCCCGATGAGGATGTTACGTTGGCCAGCTTCGACGCGATTCTCTTCCATTCACCGTACTGCAAACTCGTGCAGAAATCATTCGCCCGGCTGGCCTTCATCGATTTCCTCAACACGCCGGTGCCTCAGATTTCTGCCAAGTACGATCCCGTGAAGAAGTTCCACGCTTCCAAGCTCGAGCAGACCTACTTCGACAGGGATATCGAGAAGGGCTTCATAGAACTGAGCAAAGCGGACTTCCAGCAGAAGACTCAGCCGAGTCTGTTGTTAGCGAGCCAAGTTGGAAATATGTATACACCGTCGGTGTACTCCGGTTTAGTATCGTTCCTCATATCGAAACCGATAAGCGAACTGATCGGCAACAAGATATGCGTATTTTCCTACGGCTCGGGCTTCTGCTCCAGCATGTACTCGATAACGGTGGCGAGAGAGGGTTCCGGCTTGACGAAAATCGTCGACGCTCTTTCTTACGTCAAAAAGGAATTGGCGGAACGTCATTGCGTCTCTCCCGTGGAGTATACGAAAATATTAGCGTTGAGGGAACAAAATTGTCACGTTGTGCCATACGTTCCGCAGAGTAGTACGGATAATATGTTCCCGGGAACATATTTCTTAGTGAAGGTGGATGAAAAGTACAGAAGGAGTTACAAAAGAACATGAGGTCGAGGTATTCGATTCCGAGGTTTAGGTAATTTTTAGTTAATTTCCTTCTACAAAGGCTCGAAGATTTACACGATCAAGTTCTTGTTAACAGCAATTGTATAATATTGTAGCGTTATTTATTGCATCAAATGCTGAACGAGATATCGAAAATTCCTTTCACTTGGGTCTTCCTGATTATATTTCTCTTATTGTAATTTTAATATAATTTTTTGATCGCATTAAATGTCGCGAATTGTTCGACAGGATTTTCCAATCATACTAATAGTAATTGATTACAATTCTGTAAGAAATATAAATATAACATAGTCTATATCGTTGCGCAACAAATATCAATCATTGTTAGGAATCTCAGGCTCTGATGTTATTGTAATAGAAAATATTTTGGTGAACCAAATGGAAAAGAGCTATTCGTACTGATAGCCTTTTCGCTGATTTTTGCAGTAACTTACGTAACAATAACGCATCACCGTTCCTTTTATCAATTACAAATTGCCGTTTCTCGCGTCAATTACAAATTGTTTCAGATACATTTATAATTCATCCTTATTATCATTGTTGTAGCCTGTTGGTACTTGCATTAATCTAATGATGGCATGTTTAAATTGACATAAAAACAGCATGAGAAAAGTGCCTTACGTATACACTGTTCTTACAAAACGGAAAGTTTAGACAATTTTATATATTCATACTATACATATATATCTCGTTTAATATGCGATAAAAGAAATAAATTAACATAGCGATTAAAGTAGGATGGGAAAAAATTGTTGTTTTACTTTTAATCGGTACGCTTGCCAATCCCAGAGTTAAACTCATTTATCTGCGTGTATATCATGTGAAAATTTATGCAAAAAATTTTTTTATATCTGTGGTATACAAGAATTATCTCAATTATCTGAATTTGAATTAAAAGTGAAGAATTAAGAAATATCTTCTCTACCTCGTTTTATCATTTTTTTTTACGTTTATTATAAGTCCGCAATATAAAATATTATTTCATATTTGCAAGAAAAATCAAACGAATATTTTTAGTCCTGCATACTGAGGATTTACATGGTTTATAGCATTATTTACTGGATTGTTATTTATATATGTATATGCTAATCATATACAAAATGTTTATTTACATTAAAATAAATCATTATCTTATTAGCGTATCGGATGAATAACGATACAATCACCCCGAATGCAATATAGGAATTGAATCCATAAGGTTGATATATTTAATATAAATAATATATATGTATAAATAAATTGATTCTATATTCGTAAATAATCATTAGAAATCGATGATTAACCTCTGCTCACTGTGATAAACGACTTTACTATTCAGCTTATTAAACTATCAGTTATAAAGTAAAGTAAATAATTTTTTTAATCAATCAATGTTTATTATTGTGTGAAAAAAAATTGAAGTTAATAAATATTGATTGATCGGTAGCAAAATTTATGTCTGAGATTTGTAACGAGTGAAAAAAGACGCTTTATTTATAATAAATTAAAATCTCAACATGTACAATATTATACAGTATGTTTTATACGTATCAAATGCAATATATATTAGATCCGCCATTAATTAACGAAGCTATTATATTACACACCATGTATTTTAGAGAAAATATATTTTCCAGTTGCCTATATGTGTGGGATACAATAAATATTTTTAATTATTTCGTACAATAATTTCTTTACACCACGTATCTAACATATTGTTTCGGCGCATAATTGTAGTATTAATTAATATAAACTGATGTCCCGTAATATATTTTTTTCTGCACACGTAATTCAATTATAGTGAAATGCAGTAAATCGATATATATATATATATAAATTTTTCTCTTTCGAACTAGAAAGTACGTCTAGAAAAATATTTTTGTTTCGAAAAATTCCCCGAGATTTATTTGTAAAATTTGCAAAGATCCTAACTTGCCGAAATATTTTTTATATCTTGGTAGAATTGGGATGTGTGCGTAAGATAATATTGATTTACATTTTGGTTTATGTATCTCTTATAAAAAATAATTTATAAATTATTTCCAATAAGTAATTCAATGAGTATTTTGAGACTGAGACGTTCACATTAGTAAATGTGCAATGTAAATATAAAAAAAAATATGTTACAACAAATTGTATATAAGCAATAAGAGGAGAGATTCATTACATTAATTCACAAATAACAATAGCGTCCGTTCACACGAAACGCATTCTACATCCGCATTCTCATCACACTTTTCGCGCTAAAATGCGGTCACATTGTTGAAATCAAACAAAGACTGAGAATCAGATAATCACTCTTAGCACAAAATATGCGTTGAGGATGAGTGCGACTGAGAATTAGTATTTACAACTTCGTGATTCGAATAAATATTTGGCAGTCGAGAATGTAAATTTCACATTCGCCATAACAACATTCGTATATGCAAATAAATAAAATAAATAAAAAAAGGAATTAAGTTAGCATTCAGAATTTAAATTCTCTGTAATCTTCTAGATCGCTTTACAAGCATTTGTGCGTTTTTGTATTAAAAAAATAACGGTTATTACTTTTTTAAGGCACTAAAGTATCTAATTGTAAGATTTCTTCAGGTCGCTGCAGTGTCAGTGTGATGTGTGTAATGTATGTAAATATTTGTACATCTTCACTAAATCACTTGTATAAAAATATAAATGTTTTTTTCGGAACAAACTTTTGAAGCAAAAATGAATCACGCAATTCTAAAGATCATATTTTTGTCATGAGATTCATCTTTCTCTCAATTAGAACAGTCAATGCCACGTGCTGCGATATTTTGAAGTTGATATATAAATTTTTTATATTGATAAAAATGACAAGGACTGTTCTGATTTTGAGATTAATTTGTAATTTCATACATTAATTCGTAATATTAATTTGTAACGTTATAAGAAAAATGGCAGTGAAGTTTTGTGAAAAATTTCTATACTACTTTAAATATAAATAATTCTTAATACCAATTATTTAATAGAGATTCTCATTTAAAGAATAGAATTATTGTCATATAGATATTGTTATTTCTTTCCTAGCGTTCGCTGAGTATTTTAGTTTTTAGTTTAAAAGCAAGCAAGCAAGCATGGAATACCCATTCGTTCGTTGGCTGCCATTTATCTTATCACTACAGCGTGCCGTTTTTTATTAGTATCTCAATTTACGTAACTGCTATGAATAAAAAATTATCAAACAGTTTAAAATATTTTATATGAGCAGCCTGAACAAGAAGACAGATCTCGTCCAACGCTAAGCTTTACTACATCGTTCTCGTTCGTACTAATCTGGCGATTATCGTGTCGTCTCTAAAAGTGGATAGTAATTTAATTTGTAAAAAATTAATGTAAAATTGTATAATGTGCGATAGAGACGAAAATAGAGGCAGATTTACCTTAAGTTCAGATGCCAAATAGAAAAAGATGGAATCTACATTCGTATTGTCTTTGGCTGAGGTCTCCACTACGTGCAAAACTTCGGGCAGATATTGACACAAAGCTTCAGCCTCAGCTTTCTTTACTTCCCGCTGATGTTCCAAATCACATTTATTACCTACAAAGTGAAAAATGTACAAAAGATAAGTGAATCGCAATATAATTGCAATTTGCATTATTATTATAATTATGTACATGTAAAAAAGCATACCAACTAATACTAATAACACATGCGATGATGTATATTTCCGGACTTCTTCCACCCAACGTTGTAAACTTAAGAATGTCGGTCGCTTTGTGATATCGTAAACTAAAATGTTCATAGATCATTTTTAAAAGAATGCCATCTTATCTTATCTTATCAAAAAGCTGGTAAACAGCGGGTAAAAAGAAAAGGTTTAGACGATTGTTTGCTAACAAAAAATGCAGTATTATTCTAATGAACTTTTGAGACATAATTTTTGAACTATAAATTATTCTTTAAATTAACATTGCAATTATCTATTGTGTGACTGATATAAAATATGATGGTCTGTTTACTTACCTATAATTATTCCATTTGCAGATCTATAATAACTTTGAGTTATTGTTCGAAATCTTTCCTGCCCTGCAGTGTCCCATATTTGTAACTGTCAACACAAAAGATTGAATTTCAGTAATCATCATGACTCAACTGTAAATCATTACAAACTTAAACAAGCAAGAGTGAGTAATCTATCAAAATAAGTTTTATCTATCTATAAACATTAAGCAGACCTATATTTCAGTAATGCATCACAAAGAGATTCAATGGAGAAAATTGCAAGTTTGCAACGAGTAAGCACCTTGATTCTCTTGCCGTCTATGAGCACGGTCTTTATGCAGAAGTCGACGCCGATGGTATTCCCGTGTCGCTCGACGAACGTGCCGGACTTGAATCGCTGCAGGACGCAGGTCTTGCCCGTGCCGCAGTCGCCGATGAGGACGATCTTGAATAGATAGTCGAAGTTCTCGTCGTCGCTCGGGCTTATCAAGTTGTCGGGATCGCGACACGACATTCTCACCAAGTCTCGCGCGATGACGACGATCACGGGCGACGGACATTCGGACGTTCACTACGTTCACCACTTTGTGGCCGACTCTCTACACCATGCTACGCCATTATTTCACCACGGCGGCGCCAGTGTTGCGACTTGGAAAAATGGAGATTTTTCCTACCCACTCAACTCAATGAATGAAGTGTAGACAATAGTGGGTTAATTGACAGTGCTCCAAATTCAATTTTTATACAACGTTCATACACAGTTTCTCGAATAGTTTGTTTCGTAAATTATAAGTTTATAAAACTGCTTCAAAATGGGGAAACGCCAGCATCAGAAAGATAAAATGTGAGTGTTGCATTTGTAAACATTGTGTCAGATTCTATATTTATGGTTATGAGAATATTTTAATTTTTTAATAAACTAACAAATATGGATATTTTTTTTAGGTATTTAACATACACGGAGTGGACAACGTTATATGGTGGAAGAAAATCAGGAACAACTTTAGAAACGAGTGAAGAGAAAACATTTAGACGTCTACCATATGATTGTTGCTGTCTAACGTTGCAACCTTTTGAGCATCCTTACTGCGATCCACAGGGCAATGTATTCGAACTGGAAGCTATTTTGGCATATATAAAAAAGCACAAGCACAATCCTGTGACGGGGAAACCACTGGATGCAAAAAGTCTAACCAAATTAAATTTTCATAAAAATATAGAAGACCAATATCAGTGTCCTGTTCTTTTTAAGTTATTCACAAAACATTCACATATTGTTGCTATCAAGACGACAGGAAATGTATTTTCTTATGAGGTAAGTGGTTAAAAAAATGCATTTATTTCTGATTAAGTTATTTTATAGCAGAAAAAATAATAAAACATTATTTGTAGGCTGTTGAACAATTGAATATAAAAACTACAAATTGGAAGGATTTGATAAATGATCAGCCATTCACACGCAACGATATTATTACGATTCAAGATCCAAACAATGCAATGAAATTTAATCTGTCTTCTTTTCATCACATTAAAAATAATATAAGGATGGAAGACGAAGGTAGACTCTTATTTAATATACACAAAATTGTTTCTGTATTTTTCTGTTTTCATACACCAAATTTTTGATATTTTTTAGAAACTGTAAGAGAAAGAAATAATCCAAATGCAAAATTAAAAACTGTCTCGGTGGAAACTAAGGAAATTTTGGCCGAATTAGAAAGAGATTACAAACCAACAACAAGTGGCATAAAAGGCGAAGGGTCTACAAAGAAGGCTGACAAATTTAATGCTGTTTGTACATCATTTACTAAAACATTTTTTATTTCAATTGCTGAAAGTAATTTTACTGTTTATTTATATATAGGCACACTATTCTACGGGTGCAGTAGCTGCAGGATTTACTTCAACAGTGATGCCAGCAGAGACTACTCATCAAGCAGCTGTTATCGCAGAAGATTTGGTACGGTACGAGAGAGTCAAGAAAAAGGGTATGCTATTGCAATTAATGTTACATTACGTATTTGCTTAAATTGAACAATAAAAATAATATTTATTTATATAATTTTAGGATATTTAAGATTACTCACAAACTTCGGAGCTTTGAATCTGGAACTTTATTGCGACTTGGTTCCGAAGACTTGTGAGAACTTTATGAAACATTGTCAAAATGGTTATTATGATGGCACAAAGTTTCATAGATCAATACGAAATTTTATGGTATGTATATTAATTTTTATGACATAATTTTTTCTATTTCTTTATTTTATATATAATAATTTGCATTTTTTTTTTCAGATTCAAGGCGGAGATCCGACTAATACAGGCAACGGCGGCAAATCTATTTGGGGCAAACCATTCGAGGATGAATTCAAACCGAATCTTGTTCACCAAGGCAGAGGCATTTTGTCGATGGCAAACTCAGGTCCAAATACCAATGGATCACAATTGTAAGATTAAAATTGAAGCTAAAAGAAAAAGAATTTGTATTTTGTACATTTGCACTTGTCTGGTTTTTTTAAAATTGATATTATTTCAGTTTTATTACGTTCCGATCGTGCAGACATCTTGATCGCAAACATACAGTCTTTGGGAAGATAGTAGGAGGTTTAGATACGTTGAATGCAATAGAAAAAATAGAAGTGGATAATAAAGATCGACCAATAGAGGACATAATTGTACAGGCTATTCAGATCTTTGTGGATCCTTTTCAAGAAGCTGATGACCAGCTTGCTACGGAACGAGCTGTGGAATTGGAACGATTGGCTCGAGAAGCGAATCAGAACAAATCGAAGGACAAATCAGATAGAAACGACACCCAAAAAGTTTACCGATCCGGTATAGGGAAATATATGAAACTGGAACAAGAGAAGTAAGATTTTTCTTGACTTTTTCTTATTGTAGTTTATTGGCTTTATCTGTTTGTACAATGTTTAATATAATTTTTAGATTGAAGGTGGACACAAACTCGGAGCCGGCCAGAAAAAAGAAAAAGGTTGCGTCGCAATCGTATGGGGATTTCTCTTCTTTCACATTTTAAGAAGTACATTATTAAATGCATATAGTTCATTATTTAATTTACATACACGCGCGTGCACGCTACACACACACACACACACACACACACACACACACACACACACATTTTCAAATATAATTTTATTAAATTAAATAACATGTCTATTTATCAGGTTCAACAAGATGCCTTAATACATTAGAAACTTATTGAAACATATTGCTATGTTTAGATATTTTTAACAAAGTTCATAATGGTATTTATAAATATTTAATAATAGTTTTAAATTTTTTAATTTGAATTTTTTGTTTAAAATTTTTTATTTTTGAACTTTTATTTAACAAAATTATAGAAGGTATAGTAGATATTAAATGTTATAGAGATATTTAATTATTCTGTTAGTAGATATGAACATATTTTTGCAATATTCAAATATGGTTTATTTTCGCGCGCAATATAATACGCATGCGTAATATTTTCTACACGGAACAGTCTGGACAACTTATATACTTAATTGTTCCCTAGGATAAACAAAGTTTGCTGGTATATATGTATGTTTGCAATAATTTTTGACTTTATTGAACGCTAACTTCACAAGGGATCGAGTGAAATGTTAGTATATTTGATTATAAGTCCGTAGAGAGAGATTTTATTAAAATGTATTGAATTGTGCAAAAAGAATAGATTTGAGTAAATAATGTGAGTCACATTTGTCTAATTCTATCGTTTTTCAGAAATGTATCATTTTTATCATTGTTTTATGAAGATCATTCTCATTATTGCGTTTTTCAGTTTTTATAACCTAATGAAAACGTTTCTGAAATCTTTACTTTTTCTTTATAGATGTCATAATTATAAATGCGTTTTCAATATTTATTTTTCTTATAAATATATACTAAATATTGTCTTTTTAAATGTTTTTAATTAGAAATGTTTATAATTTCAGGTGCGTTTTTAAGGATATGAAACAGGCCGGCAACTGGTCCAGCCAAGAACCGGAGCCTCCATGTTTGACGTTCGCCGCGCGAGTAAGTCGGAGTGAGTTGTCCAGCGCGCAACGGTGATAAGCAGCGCGTGTCGCGCTTCTTTGTGATCCGTGTGTGTTCGACAGATATCCAGGCAACTGCATCTTCATCCCGGAAATTTGTGTGACAGAGATTTCGCAGCCGGCGCTCGCACCATGGACGATCTCGGTGAGTAAACGCTCTTAAATTTCGGCCAGACGCTACGTCGTCGAGCTAACCTCTAAATATTAAGACATTTGTGAAACGTCAGGTAGTTCATTGCCGATACTGATACCGCGATTACGAAATATCGGTATTGAACATCTCGAGTATCGAGGGAAACACTTTCACCGAAGATATGAATAATACTTCGAGATATATTTTTGTTTGGACTTGTCAAAAACAGAAATCAGTACCGTTATGTTTTCATTCATCGATGTTTGTGATGTATTCGTTGCATTTGCCGAATGTAGAATATTTTTAGGAGTCCCAATATTATTACGCTTTTATTATAAATATTAATATGTTGAGATATATTTTTCTTTGTGTTTACCAAGTGTAAAAATATTGGCATTTGTTACAATACCGTTATGCATTCATTAAGAGCATCGCTGCTTTACGATGTTTCTATATATTTGTGCTTGTCACAGTGACGAATTTATTTACTATTTATGATAGAATACAAAAATTTTGTATGATGCAGGAAATATTTAAAAAATTAAAATACATACAAAATATATTTAGTAACTTGTATCTTTTGTAGCATGTGTATTTTTTGAATTTTTAAATATTTTTTATTATATATAAAATTACAAACAGATTTCTTTGCCTCAAATTTCGTCGCAAATTAACTTGGTTACAGCAACCACACTTAAGCGAATAATGCATTTAATTTAGAAATTTAGTTTAAAATTATAAAAAATTATTGTTTTTTTGAATTTTCGATAAAAAATTATTGGTTTCAGGTTAGAAGAATATCTTATAGTTTAAAAATATAGTTCAGGAAAAAAATAATAAATTTTTAATGTTTAATTAATCTTTAATTAAGATTTAATTAATATTTAAATAATATTCAATTAATCTGCAATTAAAATATTTCCTAATATATTTTTATAAAAAAAAAGAGCATAATTAATTATGACAATTAATAATTTCATAATATCACGCATTTAATTTTGGAAATATTGAGTTATTTAAATTTGATCTTATCTCATGTTTATCAAATTATTTGGCATATGTAACACGAAGACTTTTTAATGTTTGTTTAAATTATTATTTTGCATTATATATATATATATATATGTAAAATTATATGTATGCAAAATAATAATTATATGTATGTATATATTTTGCATAAGTTATTACACTACATCACGCGTACAAAAAGTTGTTTTATTATAAATATTCAAGTCTTCTGGCAATTTGGTTAAAGCACTATTTTACTTCAAATTACGTTTCGCCTAGCTTTTAGATATTACACAATGCACACAATCGGATCATGCATTAGAAAATCAACTGTGAATGCAATCCTGGCATAAAAGCTCTTACATGCTTCACTGCGTTTTTTCGATTAGCAGGCAACGTCGATACTGTCGAGAGTATTGCATAAATTTACGGATAAAACATGCTGAATATTCGCAGCGTGGACGGGGAGGAAAACCGCGAGAAGCTGGAGGGGCACGTGAGCGCGATCGTGACCATTATCTCAGTCCACTGTATGGCGAGGCGGGGAGGCACTCATTGCATCAGTATTATGCCAACTGTACATTAGTGTACATTAGTTTGTCACGCACTCTTTATGGTTCTGCGGCTCGGTATTCGCGTGAGAGGGACGTTTCTCTAAATGAGAAATGCGAGACCATCAGTAGTCAGTGCCAGAAAGGTGGAGTTTTGAGTAAACGAGAGAGATCTTTAAGCGCGTGTAAACAATTACATCATTATTAAAAATACACAATACAAATTGAAATAATCAGTGACAATCTATTTATATTTTTAATCGATGCCTGTGTACGATTATTATCGATTATTCAATCAAACTTCGGTAATTTTGTCGCGTGATAATCGGCGTGATAATTGCTCAAACGGCGTCGGTATGTGAAGTTTTAGTTAGCATTTCTGGAGTGAGAAGTTGAGTTTAGTAGTTAGAGTTGAATTTTTTCCACATTTCCACGAGTATTATATCTTTTGCATATCAGATTTAACACTTTTAAGGGTTTATAAACAGGACAGAAATTGATTTAAATACTAGAACTTGCGGTGTGACTCGATAATTTGTCAAAAATAAATGTCGTGTAATTTGTATAGAATGTGTTAATCCGCAGTGGTGGATATCCACATTGATAACACAGTAACCCTGCGATAACGATAGCAATGTTAGCATGTTTGATATATATTATAGGTACATATATTTTTATCGCGCTAAAAATAAAAAAAATATTTAATCTCAATTAAAAGTATTTGAATTTCTGAACAATATAGTATTTATAAATAGAGTAGCAAACTACTCTATTTATTAAAAAAGTAGCACATTTTATTTTAACGTAAAATCATTACATTATTACAACAATAATTTAATTTTGTCGTTGGGATCCACAGTGTATTTTGTACAGGCTACTCTTTTTTGTTGTTTTCTGTGCCCATTTCTCTATTTCCTCCTTCTCAATTTTCTCTCGCTTTCTTCCTTGGCTACTGTTTCTCTATCCACTCATCTGCTCTTCATTCTCTTCGTCGCGACGCTTTCTCTTTCTACATTGATTCACCTATCTCTCCCCTCGCGACTTTCCTTCTTTTTCTTCCTCTTTCTGTCGCGTCGTCTCTCCGAAAGCGGAGACAGCGGCCAGGAAAGAGACCGAAAGAGAGCTCTCCGTGACAGTGGGCGCGGGTGAGCGCCGGAAATACACCCGCTCGCGTGTAGCGTTTCAACTTACTCTTATTCGCCGGCGCTTGTAAGCCGGCAAGCCAAAGTCGCCAAAAGAGCCACACGCGCGCACGTCTGTAATCGTGCAGTCGCGACAAATTTTCCGTGTGCACATCGTCTGTGACGCGGGTGCTTACGCGTTTTCATCGGTTGCGTCGCTTCGTTACTCCGAAATTTCGCGTCGATGCGGCGAATCGTCCTCCCGGACGATTAAGCGGATAATTTGTTACGGGGACGCCGCCGTGTTTCATTCTACTGCTGTTAAATTCTATTTGAACAGTGGTATAGTGTAGTACAACATGTGCGTAATATAATTGCGTGTTTTTTTTTCCCTTGCAATCTTCTTGTCGAGTCGATTCTTAATTTTAAACATTGCTCGCCTTAAGCATTGCGTCCGTTAATTGGAAAATGCTCTTCTTGGAAATTATAAGCTTTGAAAGAGAGGTCGTAATTAGGTCTCAATTGCGTTGGTGAAGTAAGATAAATATTTATGGTAATCAGCTCTTGTGGGATTTTTCGAAATTATGTATTCAATAATTTAAACGTGTTCCACTGAATATTACTTTGATTTATTGATTCGCTCGAAGAGAGCTTCTCGAGGTGGCTTGAATAAAATTTGCACAGTGTTAAAATTAGTATTCTAAAATAATCTGCGGTCCACTTGAACCTTACTAACACAGTCAAGGGTCAAACCTCTTCCGTTGAACCGTCGAGTAAATCATTTCGCTCACTACAGTGCTTCGAGACGCTTCGTCCACTCTTCCTCTTCCTTATATTCTTACTTCTAAATATTCTAGAGTTCGTTATCCTTTAGTCACAAAAGCTAGTAGTCAAATATTTTGCAAAGTTCATCGTGTCCTTGCAATTGATTTTAGAAGGAAAAAGAGAATTTTTTAATCATTAATTTTAAATATATTTTGACGTATATTTTTACAAATGTTTTTATTTTGCAACATAGTCCAAACTTTGATGGAGCAACAAAACCTTTCCCTGCTATTAATCCTCGCATTTTACAAAACTGACAGTTGAAAAATTGGCCTCGCGCCGTTTCGGAAGTGACGTCTCCCGTTGCGCTAATCCGCTAAATTACCATCAATTCGCCGTCACGCAACGTCGAGTACCGTAATTACGTTCTCCGGGAAGGGCCAAGCTTATGTCATCTTTTGCTTGCCGATCGGCCACGTGAGTGAACACGTGTATGTTCGTACGCACGCGCGCCCAATCTTCCTCGGAATACTGTGTGGGTGCCTGTGTCTGTGTATAAGTAGAAAAAGATGGCTATGGATCGGACGATGTACGGCAAGGTAGAGCCGGGCGACACTTATCAGCCTTATAGGATCACCATAAAGAAGGGCTCGCCCCCTGGATGTAAGTTTGACGTTTCTTAATACATTAACTCCTATTGTGCAAAAACAATCAAGAAACGTGACCAAAATTTCTTCTGAGAAGCTTTCGTTATTTGATTAACAAATTTTAGAATATTGCATTAAGTCGCGATGCTTTTATCGCTTTTTACTTTCTTTATTTACTTTTGACAGGTATAAATTTTGTTAAGTGTTTAAAAAATTTACACAAAAATTATGCCAGTTCACACTTAAGATTTCACTTTTCACATTTTACTATTAATCACAGAAATCGTTTTGAGGGATTTAAAAATCTGCAATTCTGATAAAAGGATACCGTTATCGAATTTGAGATATTTTCTTAATTAACTCAGACAGGCAGATGCAAATGGTGCGACTCTTGAGACGAAATGAAGTTTCTGATTTTTAAGCACGTACAAAGGAAAACATATCAGTCATCTAGATCTGCGATTAGGTATGCAAGATCTGATCGCTTCGCGATCGATCACTTCGGACGTGATGTAATCGACTCCTCCCGTAATCGGTTCCTTTGATCGATCTCTGATTAACAGTTACATCCGCATTATGATTAGCTTTGAAATTACTACGACAATGCGTGCGCGTGTTCCTTGACGATCGATCGGCATCAGATTCAAGGTGAACGCGAATGCCTGCGAGCGCGTAGGTATCTCCTCTTCCTCGATCAGTCCTCGGGGGATCCGCACTTCCATATGAGGTCAGCCTGTGTTTCCACTTCCTACGCTTCCTCGCGTGCGCGCCCGCGACGCAAATATGTAGGAAGGTGCGATAAAGAATCGTGCACTCGGCCGTTTTGGATAGTAGTCGATCGATTGACCGAGTAACCGGTGAAAAAAGTTTCTGTCCGCGGAATCAGCGCGAAAAAGCCATTCTGCATTCTATTCTGTGCCTGCAGCGGTTTTGTGTCAGCAATTTTTGTTTTTTACTCTTTGCTTGGTGGAAATAAATATTTGAAAAAAAAAAACATTTCTTAAAGAAAGAATACACAATATTGAGTAAATGTTGAATTGCATTTTATATTTTTATGTATTTTGGTTTCTCGTCTACGATTATGTAAAATATTGTTAAACATAGGCTCAGTTTATTATTCGCTTAATTCGCGTCGGTACTTTGCCAAAATTATTTTGAATCTAATCATCAGTGTTTGCATGTGTCGGTTGCAGTGGGTGTGTTTTGCAATCAAAGTGCAAGGGGTATCTCTTATCGATCGTTCTTCTTCCGAATATTTTCCAGGTCGGATCACCACTCGCGATGATCAGTTTTGTTATCAAGAGAACTATATCGGCACTTAGACTGCCAAGTCACTTTGATCTAATATGTAGTAGCACGCAAAATTTCTATTTCAATAATAGATAATATAATTTTCTATCGATGCATCGTGTATTGGATCGTGCATCAACTTTAATCACACATGAACTGTCGTAAAAATTTAGCGATACACACGAGAGTATTGAAGGAGGATCTTGCTGGTGGGGTGAGAGATAAAAAGCCGAGGGGAGGGTGACTTCACGTAACAGAGATTTCGCAAGTGCAGCAGCCGCGCGGCGGCAACAACAGCACGTGGTGCCAGTTCCGTCTGGTCTCGCCAGACATTCGGAGCCGATCGATCATCTCCATCTCCGTTTCCGCGAATCATCTCGCCGAATCCGCGTACACGTGACCGTGACCGCTCCACGTGCCCGATTCCGTCGACGTGTCGTCGGGATAACGAACCTCGTCGAGGTGATAGAAGCTTGTCAATCCTGTTCGTCTTCAGTAACGACCTTTCGACCGTGACAATAGTCCGCCCACTTGAGACGCAATTACTCCGCTAGTGGCGTTGTTCCATTTTATTATTTATAGACGGCAGGTGTGATTACATTTATTTCTTGAAGAACTGGATAAGATTAATCTCAGGGATTTGAGATGAGCTGAAATCCAACTAAATCTTGTTTTTTTTTTCAAACTATTAAAAGAATCATCGTTATTTATAGACAACTCGTCTATAAATCTTCATCTTCGTCTTCATTCGAACATTATTACATAAACGCAATCGAGAATTGATTGACTCAATAAATCCAGATCTCTCTCGAAGCTCCACTTATTGTCAGATAAATGAGTATCGAAATAGGCATCTCTCTTTGTCTATGGATCGGTTTATTATTTCATTTTCCGAAGTATTCGGATTACACGACTGCTCTCATCTTCTTTGTTTCTAAAGCATCGCTGGAATTCTTGGAATGTCAATAAAAGAATAAAATATAATTTCGATATTCTTTGCTTAATTCTTCCAATATTAACTTTCGTCATCAGTAGGCGATTTTGTATTCGATCGTATTTGCAAATATTCTTTTATCATAAGTTTCAGACGTTTCTCATTATTTTTTGATCCCCACTGTATTGTAGGTATTTCATATTACGGAGCCAAGTGTCCATATTTTCTTTGCGATTACGTACGCGAGATACGCTATTTCCTTGGGCGATCACGGTCGCGAGATCGAGAAAGGAAAGACGCGTTGTGTGGAGGCGTTGCATGTTATTTGATCTTCGGAAATTAACTACAGCTGCCTTCTGGAGTGGGATTAAGGTGTCGTTTGGTCCAGCTAGAACGAGTCGCGCTAGTTCTGCTCTAATTTGAGGTTTATTTTTATCTCAAGCGACCAGAGTGAAGTCAGAGCACAACATACGGCGTGGCGGATTCAGTTCGCGTGTGATTTACAGAGAATCTGGACGGAGGCGGCGGTTATCGTTATCGATAACGTGCGGCGTACATTTTTGGCGTGACAATCTTTTCGCTTGTTTACACTCTCGGATCATCATCGGTTATTTTTGCCTTCCGTTGCACATTTTTCGTCATTTTCTCGTTAGCGAAATAATATTTGAGAACCTCAATTCAAGCACCGATATCGATAAAAATTTGGACAATTATTTCGTACAATTAAAAAAAAAATGAAAAAATCTTCAAAAATTGTTTTGGCTTCCACGAATATAATTTGAAACGCGAAATTACGCGAGATTGCGCGCTTGTATGGAATGGCCCGAAATTGTTTCTGCGGAAAGCAATTTGCATACATCGATATGACAATAAAAATTAATGATGATTTATGTGTCGAATAAAAAGATTTATATTTTGATTACAGTTTATTTTTTTTGTGAATATAGTGATATATTTAATGCATAATATAAAAGCACACATAATAAAACTTGATAGATCGAGCATCAAATTTGCGAATTTATTTTCGGCGCAGCGATTTATTGGCCATTTCATACATAAAAAGTATCTCGCGTTACCCCACATGTCGTCGTTCCTCGTGTAGAGAAAGTGCCGGCGTGAGATTCTTGAAAACGCGCAAAAATGGCGGATGTGATGAGGCCGGTCTCACCGATTTCACCGGTTCGTCTGGCGACGATTCAACGTCATGCACGGTGGGAGCAATACGTTAGTAAGTATTCGCCCAAGTGTCGACTCGGTAATTCCAATTTCGACAAGACATCCCGTAACACGCATCTCTCCGATGTCTAAATATAGGCTCATCCGCTTTATCACTTATTCATTATTGTGCAAATATCATCTTATTTCATTTTTCACCACTTTCTACTTAATAAAAAATGAATTATAATTCAATGTGATTATTTTCTGTTCGATAAACAATATAGAGAACATTTTAGAAAATTTCAATTTGAGATTTAAATTGTTGCAAGCTATTGCTTTTTGTATTTGTCTCTTAACGTGATTTTTTTTCTTTTCATTTTCGCGAGTCCAGTCGACGCTACGCAGTGACCGAGATTAGACGAGTTTCCGTGAGTAATTCAGATTGAAGGGAATTTATATTGCGGTAATAAGGGGAAACGGTCGCGGCGATATAGTTAACGTCATCGCTTCCATCCTCTTCTTCGCGGGTTTACGCAAGATACGGCTGCGTTTACGCGCTCACGGTACGCGCGATATTGATGTCCGACTCCTCTCCGCGGTATGAATCACCCGTGCAAAATAGACCTCGATAAGCTCCGTGCAGGCTCCGTGCCAGTGTTAAAGTCCCATTCAGACGATTGCTCAACTCCGTAGCTCCCGCGATGCTTTTTTGCTCAGGCAAAAAAGATTGCATTAGCGGCGCAAAGGCGCGCGGTGCAACGCGCACAGAAATATGCACGATGAATCTAAATCACGCAGGCTGCTTTTATTTTGACAGGCGCGTATGTCGGGCTTTAAGGAAACGTCACCAGCTTCAACGAGACACGCTATGCGATATGCACGCGACTTTATCGAGTTACATCACTATAGTAATTGGCCCATTTATGCGAAAGAACGTATATATATTTGCTGACCACACTTTTAATTGTAAGATATTTCGTATATTTGACCGCGAACAAAGCTGTAGGCTTACAAAGAATGCCGAAGCTTCATATTTTACGATGTTTAGAAGAAGTTAAGAGCTTTTACGTCAGAGCTTGTGCTTTAATATTTTGGCCTTCTCCTGCCATCTAGAATGTGTGCGGATCAACCGAATACTGTATTAATATTTGCTATCCTAACTAAAGTGCCTGAAGCACTTTAAGTGATTAGTTCACCCAGCTACTTAAATATGAAAGACGTCTTCGTATTTTTTTTCGAAGCTATAATAAACTGATTCTCACGCTTGCGATACCATTAATTAAGTAAAAATTTATATTTTGTCAAAGCAAAATTTATTTCAAATTGGAAAATGGATTTTTGTAAATTTCTCTGTAGAAAAAAATGGATATACTGTATATTGATTCAGTTTTGTTTAAATAGTTGAAGTTAATTGTTGAAGTTTCCCTAAATTTTTTTCATTTTTCTCATTAAATATCTTGTTATCTCAAAGTGATTTAAATTAAAATTTTATGACTATATTTGTAACAAACTGAAGAAAGTTAAGTTTCTAAATTCCTATAGAAAAAGCGAGAGGCTATACTGGATGTTCCAAAACAAACGTATCTTCTCTCAATGAGAGATTGTCTGATAGACTAGGAATCGAATTTTTTTAACAAGAAAAATCGAACAAGATCATTATTTATCGCATGCCTTTCTAATTTCAAAAATTATATATCTTTATAATCGAGCTTCAAATTAAGATTCTATCAAGGCAAAGTCCACTTGAAATCAATTGAGGAATATAACTCTGTTGTTTATTTGCCGCCTTGAAATTTAATTCGCGAGAGATTCTTTCACAATTGCTCGTAACTCGAAAACTATCGATGCCTCAACATTCTCGCTGAGGAAAAATTGAGCCCAAATTTTTCGGAGAATTTATCATTAAATGAACATGTACTTGTTTTTGACACATCCTGTACATGCCGTCTCTTTTAGATCCCAGCTGCAGTTTCCTCGAAGTTACCGCGTGCTTGTGCTCGGTTCGTAATCGGTTTCCCCGTACCGTAATCGTCGTGAAACCAGAGCCGCCCTAAGCTCGTCCGTTTCTTCTGAACACTGCAGCTTCCGCCGAACGAGAATGCCCCACTATATCGTCTTGCCGCGTGTACACTGAGTTCCTTCCTCCTCTCCAGGCTGCCTCGCTCCAGCTCATATGCTATCGCTTTCCCGCAAACTTCAATGACAATCAGTACCGTTCTGTCGATGCTCGCACACGCGTGCACGCTCGCTTCGTTAAACGCGCGCCGTGTTCCTTTGCCGCGTGCGATCCCTCGAGTTTTCACGCGGAGACGCGCGGAAAATCGGAATAAAGTTATCCGAATAAGTGTTGAGAGAAAAGCGCGAGCCGTTCGAGGTAAATGTGGAAAAATTTCGTGGACGACGATGTAGAGATTCATTTTTTACCGACTCGAATTTTGAGTCGGGCGATTGATTCGATAATTATCCAATATATTGGCATCGATTTACGGTGCATTTTGTTTTTAAATTATATATAAGTTTTAATTCGCAACGCGCACTCTGCAGCATGATGACGAAGAGATAATAATATTGACGATAGTGATGTGTACTCAATTGGTGCGACAAGCTGCCGAGATAAATTTGTAGATTATGATGCTTGATAAACTTTACATTTCTTATCGGCGCCAGTTTTCGATGGAGCGCTGTACTTTCAGTTTGCTTCATTTTTCTTATTCCCTTTCGGTGAACTAATTCGCCATTTTCGATATAATATTCTTGTTATACATTAAAATATATTTAAAAAAATAAAATTATTGCACGTATAATTGTCCGCAAACGTTTCCAGTAATTATTTATTTTGTCATAACTCCATTCTTTTTATAATTGCAACAGTTTCACACGCTCGAGGCAAAATTGCTGACGAGGTGGCCGTTTCGTGGAAAAAAAATCGCTTACGGTGAAGAGTCTCGTCTCGCGGCCACCGGGATTTCGCGGAGTTGCTCTTGGTCGCAAACTTTCTCCCCGAGTATCGCATTTTTGCCGGCCAAACTCGCCGAAGTCGGTGCCTGAAACTCGCGCGCTCGGCCGCTCGCGGGGTTCAACGTTCCTGAAATAGTGGGTGTGTCGTGTGTCGTGACCGGTAATTTTTCACTATGGAAACGACACGATGCGCGCCTGAAGAGGAGAACATGTACCAGGTGTACAATCACGACAAGGCCGTTAGTAACCTCGTCACTCTCGGTAAATGCATATTTCTCTGGTATCCGGACCCCAGACGGCGAGCTAGACAAACAGACAAGACAAACAAAAATTAAAAGACGTGTAGAGACTTCTCAAAGACATTCCTCAGCTTCTTCGGTGATTCTTCTTCAGTTATATGAAATTTTTTATCAATAGACGATTTGGCGAAAATTTAGTAAGATAAATTCACAATTTCTTTCACAATTAAAAATGTGAGATATCAACTGTGACGTAGATCGCAAAAGAATACGAATCTACAACAATGCAGATCCACAGCCTTTCTCGATCTATGTCGCAGCTTTCTCATGCAAATGTAATAGTGAAATGTTTATTTTGTTTTCCTGCTTTTTCACAGCACCAATCAACTTTTTTTTATTTCTTTCTCTACATTTTTTATATTAAATATATAATTAATTGTAAAATATAAAACGAAATATATGAAATGTAGGATAAAAATAAATACATTTGTATGAAGATATTTTATATTTATTGCAAATGTGAGAATTTATGGTTTGTTATTTACACGTGGATTTTCTATTCGTGTAAATTTCGATGTTAAAAACGCGTGATTGATTCCACAAATAGAATCTTCTACCTTTCAGATTAAATAAATTAAACGTGTCGTGACGATTATACGTCCGCCAAGGACGGCAGCGAAGCAACGGGTATGGCGTCATCGTGAAACAATGTCACGACATTTCCTTTTTTACATACGCCAGCTCGAAATTAAGTGAGCGTGATCGACTCAATAAAAGCGTATCAGTTCACTTTCGTGAAATAAAATTTTCCATTATCGATATTTGTCACATTATTTTGCTTAAGATTATTATACATTAATTGTATTAACATTTAACACGTGATAATTAATAAAAATTTCGAAGAGTCGATTATTTGATCGATCGCTCACGATAGACAAACTTTTATTTACATTGTAATATACTATTAATTCAATGAGGAGGATAATAAACAGGAAATAAAATAATCGTTTTTACTTATCACTTGGTATATACAATGGCGATGCGTGAAGAACTCGGCAAGTTCCCATCCACTAAATGATGAACGCCGACATAAACAAAATTGTATGGAGTGAGCTCGAAATAGTGGAGATTCTTTGATAAATTTAGGAATGAGATAATGTGAAAAATCATACGCCAGTTTTTTTCTCGAAGTTCAAATCTTGTCGAAAATCAGTTCAATCTGTACCTTTAGCGTTTCGTCTGTAATTGAAGGCAGTAAATTAATCCGACGATAGATTAATATGATTAATTAACTAATCGACTAATTTGCTTTCAGATGCTCTACTGGCGGACCTGCAGAACACCGTGTCGACGGAAGGAAATCACGTCGGCGGTAATGCGACACCCGGTTACGGATCGCTGAACGGCGCACGCACCCACGTGACCACCGGGTACAGATCTTACGACAATCGGACCTCGCCGTTGCCGCCGCAATCGGTATGTCGATTTTCTTAATCCCAATCAGAGCATTAATAATCTGGAAGAGTGCCTCTCTTTATCTCGTCTGGCACAAACTTAAATATCTGTGGCCAGCGAGAAAATATATACCGCACTCTGTGCATGTTTAATTATTTTTGGATTAATTAGCTGATCTAATAGTGATTAAGTTGTTATCTCGCGTCTATATATAATCAAATTAAGTGGAAATATTTAATGAGATATGTAAGATCCTCTTGTGAAATGCTAAAATCAATTAGGAATCGTGGAACGGTAACTGCTCCCGACGATGAGACAGAATGTCGCCGATGGTTTATCGGCCAGGTCGAGAAATTCTGCGTTGCTTGAACGTGGTTCGCCAGATAGCGCCAAGTGCCGTCGTTCGGCGGCAATCGCTCGATTTCACATTGAATTCTCGCCGTGTTTCACTAAATGTAAATCGCCAGTGCAAAACGATGCTGGTGCCAAAGGCACATTCGCCAGTTTGGAATATTTCGATACTCTTGATCGTATCGTGAAAAACAAACAAAGAAATGACTCTCGTCTATTTTCGGCAAGCCTATGAAAGCAAGATCAATTAATTATTATTACGTAAAGGATTGTAATTGCTAACAAAAGATTTGTTTCTGTGGAAATTTTGAAATATTAAACACATTTGTTATATATGTTATCGGTAATTTCTTTTTTTCAACTTTACGTTTATATTTTTAATCTTATGGGACTCTCGTCGGATGCTATTCAAAATTAACTTTTTGGCACTAACGCCACTTTGCGATTCCAGTACATAAAACTTCTCAAAATAGAGCAATCCGTCGTCATGGTCGCGAAAGCATGACACACGGGGATTCCGTAAATAAACCTCTTCGTCGATGTCGATACGATGTCTGGCAAGATATAATGTAGTCTTGTCGACATCTTTTAATTGCTGGTTTTCAGGGTCACAAATATTATTAATATCGATGTTCATGATCAGAACAGATTCAATTCAAAATTATCGACGTTTTTACTTTCAAAAACAGTTATTTAAATTGTGGATGTCTTTAGGACACGTCATGTTCTTGAAAGAAACATTACCATCAAAATGCAAGCGATTATTTTTCAAATATAATTTAGATTGTTTATTTTTTTATCAATTTGTGTAGATTCGTAATAAATTTTATTTGTCGTTTTAGATTGTTTTGCAAACGCATTAATTCTGCTAGCGAGACTTTGCAGAATAATTATTTGATCGACAGGCGCTTTAAAATATTTTTCGACCATATAATAAGCACGAATATGTTTAAACACAAAGTTATTTACGTTGAAGAACAAAATCAATACAATCTGCTTTTATTATAAAACTAAACTTTTAGTAATTACAATTTTTTCATGCGGTCAATACAATATTTCTCGCATTAACTATCGGTTGTTTTAAAAAAATTTTGAAAGTTATAAACTACTACCGGAAATAACTGTGACGCAACGACGAAGTCAAAATTAGAATCAATATCGTGTCTAAAATTGACTGCTCGAAGCATCACTACAGCCGCAAAACGTCGAACGTTCGCGGTAGACGCGAATCGTGTGTAAATCGATGATGAGTTTCGAGTTATATGTTCTCGTATTTTTTATTTTGCCTGGACAAAAGATACAGAGGATGTATAAATATACAGAAACTTTAATTAACTTGATTTCCATGGCGATAAATCAACAAAAAAATTGCTACAATTAAGAACACACAAATAATTTACGAAGTCAACTTTTAATTAATTGAAAACTGTCTCTGCGAAAAGTAACTTCTTAAATGCAAACATCTTTTTTCACAAATTTATACTATTTTTTTATAAACTGACGTGTTATATTTTACATCTAAAAATGAATATATCTTACTTTTGCGAAATAATAAATATTAGAATTTTTTTTATTATTCATCCGTGAAAGAATTGAAATTGATTAATATTGTGATGTTCGAGTGAAAAATAGAAGTTTATCGCTTATACCGCTGTTATAAACACGCGGTGTCTAAAGAAATATTTTCCACGGGCTGTAAGAAAGTGTTTCGCATAGAATCGTGACGCATTTATTATGCGTTTCCGCGTTCTGAGTTTTCCGCGGGAAAATAACACCTGTTACATTCCCCGTCCGTCCTATTGATCTTCGTCCAGCGTAAGACAGCACGGTCTTCATTATTCATGCTTCTCGACTTGTGTCGCAACTATCGTCGCAAAATTTGCGACGAATACGGTCGAGTCAATCGACGCTTTGCTAACATATAAAAACCACATCGCTGTAACTCCGAGCTACATGCATAGCTTCATGCATAGCTTCATGCGTTCAGAAATGCGTAAATATCACGCAATTTTTATAGCTAGCAATCGATCATTCATCTGTATGCAAAAATTAAAATTGAAATGTAAAATGAGTAGAATGAATTGAAATGTAGAATGTCTTTAACGCATCGCAAATTGCAGAAAAAATTGTAGAAGACGAAAGTAAAAGCGAAGAAGTATTTAGTTTTTAGCTAACAGTTTTGTTTTTGTTTTTTTTTTTTAAATATTTTTAAAGGATTAAGAGAAAATCGACTGTTTTAAATTACTGACGAGTCGCGATATTCGAAATTACTAGCAGTCGTCCAACAAATTGCACGTTTAACAAATCGCGACGTACTCGTATAAATCGCGTCGCTCGCATTACTCTTCTCGGAAAGTGGCATCGATCTGTCGTCGTGTTTATGCTACAGTCGTCATTCTCGGATGCTGGATCGTGCGACGTGATCCAGTTTCGGGAGTCCGAGACCTATTTTTGCGACATTAACTAGGCAAAATGTATTTTTGCAAATCTGTTTTGTGAAATATACGCATGATGTAATTGAATGTGTAAGAAGTTTCGATGAAAAAATATTATAAGTACACGCTTATTTAAGTAAAAAATATATTGCAAAAATCTCTTAAAATTTCTCAAAAATAATTTCCACAAAATTTTACAATTTCCACAAAAATAACATTTTTACTTGTTGCCATTCTTTTGTTTTTTAAAACACTTTGATAATTAATTAATTTACTTAACAACTTAATTCAGTTGATGACGTTATAAATTCTTTAATTATTAACTTTTTGTCACAGATTATTTATTATTTATAGTGCGGCAAAAATGTTGCAACTCTACCGATAGTTTCCTGTTGGTTGAGAACGATTTAAGTTTTGTTAGTCGATGCTGTCCCGATACTGTCAAGCGCGAAAATATAGTCGTTACTAAATAACGTTTACAAGACATGTCGACAATGATAACAACATTTCTCACAGAATTACGACTGAGTGCCAAATTTGCTTCTTTGCCGAAGGTCGCGGCTGTTGAGCTTTCTCTTTGACACGCGCAATTTTAGCCCGCTTACACGCGTACGATTCCAGACGATTTGCAGCTGCAAATGCAGCCCGTTGCATAAATTCCGCCGAGCGCGGTAACAACGCGGGCGCGTGAGCGGAACGAATCGTGGCTGCACATATGTTAGACGCGTGATGTCCTGAATGCGAGAAACAAGCGAAATTTTCCGCGAGTATCATTTTACATATTCCTGGGAAAATTTTGTGAAAAATCTGGATCGAATTTTTTGACGAAAAAAATTAAACGGTATTTATTATTTACTTGTGTCATTAAAAATTTAATATTCAATGTCACAGGCTGAAAAATCGAAGGAAGCGAAGTAATTTTCTCAAGTTTTCGACTAACTTTTGAATTTTCATTAACGATAGATTGATTGTTGATTTGTTAAGAAATCTTTCGCCGATAATTAGGAGTCATCCAGTTGTGACATATCCTGTGCGAAGACGTCGCACGAAGGATCCAACCTCTTTAATAGTCGAAATTCGCCGCTAAGTCGCCGATACGTCTTGCTAACTTGTTTCTGCTGGGTTACCGCAGATATTTTTAGACTGACAACTCAGTGTGTAACCTAGTTTTTATCCAGCAGGACGCGTCGTAATGATACTTTATTGCAAAAAAAATATAGCCGCGCGAACGATAAATCCGGCTGATTTTGTTTATTTTAATTTTTGTTTTGAAACTCGACTGCAATTTGTCTATTATTTTTGGAAATTATTTGACAGATTATTCTAATCTCATTATACGACGGAAGAAAAGTCGATTGTTGCGATATGAAATTTCATCCCTTTTAAAAATAATTTTTTAATGGGCAGCAATGTAGAAAACGTGGTTGGCAATTATGTTAAAAGCGCGAAGGAAACAGATAACGCGACTCATGAAGTGATGACTTGTTCTCTTTTCACATGGGATCATTAGAGACCGATCGATTGCGCTATCTTATTCATACATAATTTACGAATCCTCTTCAAAAACTCGTAGAGGCCTCAATTTATGATTATGAATGGCCGCGTCTCTCGTAGTTGGCCGTCGATTAGCATGACGTCAAGTATTAAATATAATTTTGGTAAACAAGACTGAACGGACTACGTGCAGGCCGCCGATTTCGCAATTGGAACATCTTTAGTGTACTCATTAAAACGTTTGATACCTTCGATGTTGACTTGAACAAAGATACAAAAATATATTACGAATAAATATATGGATTGTAGTCTACATAAATTTAATTATATATAGATTATAACATATCTAGTCAACTTAATTATATTTGTATAAATTTATTTTACGCACATGTTTTATAAATTATTTTTATTTCTGCAATTATATGGTTCATTGTTTAAACGATTATTATTTTATCAGAAATTGCATTTTTATTGCAAGCACGATAGATAATAAAACTAATGTAAATTTAAATAAATTTTGCATCAGTTTTTTTATCAATCTTGTTTGTTGAAATCTGATATTATTTTGCAACAATATTTATTATTTATTCCGATTGTGAGCGGCATTTATTCAATCCGCGATATTATGACAATATTTTTGGAACATTTTACCGTGGCTAAAAGCATTCTAAAATTGACTGTCGGAACTAAAAACTCGCATCGTAAAACTCCTCCTCGTACTGACGATGTTCCACACGCATCGCATAATGATTCTAGTGACATCACGGTTCTAAATAATAATGCACGGAAACTTGGCAGGTCATCGCTTTTTGTCGCTTAACAAGCCAAGAACACCTGGAGGGGAACGCAGAAAATTGTGCAGCTGTCGCTCAAGTCATTTTCGTGTAATCCATTCATTTAGCGAAATTCTTTGATGTCGTGTCAATTTCTTTAACCGCTTTTAAATTTTACCAATAGTTAAAGGAAAAATTAGATTAAGAAACAATTTGTTATACATACAACAGTTAGCAATGTTTGCGCCGATTTTTTTATTAACTTCCATGTAATTACAAGACAATTCCTTTCAGTGTGTAAAATTAATTGTTGTAGCCGACTTATCAGAATCGCGAGGCGATAGAAGAAACCATCGGTAAAACCGGAAGCGCGTCTTACACCCAGTCCATCACCGGCAGCAAGATGCCCTCCCTCAATAACAATCTTTCCGAACTGGACACCCTCCTGCAAGATCTGAGCAATGCACGCTATAATGCTCACTATCAAGAAAGAGGTTGGCTCTTCATTCTGAACTCTAAATCCTTTCCGAGCGGCCAGTTTTTTTTTATCTATAAACGAAGCTTTACGATTATTTCTTAGAATCCATTTCTCGCGAACAAAAATCTCTTTTGAAACGATTTATGAGCTCGTGATTAAATAAAATCCCTTTCACGAACTAAGTTTTCCAAACGCGAATGTGGAGATACCGATGTCTTATTCTTTATTTGATCTCACTCGGCGGGCAATAATTTTTTTTCTTAATTATTTAACAAATAATATTAAAGAATAGCATCAAGGGGAGCCAATGAAATAGAACAGGCATTGGTTTCACACTCGTCATAATATCTTTAAAATTTATATTTTGGAATAGTTTCTGTTTCTCTTTTTCTTTAATTGGCAAACCGTTTGGGAAGGAAAAATTTCGCAGGAGCGATTTATTGCACAAATGTCTTGATGATTGTAGACAGTCGCGTGTCTACAGCGGGGATTAACGGAGGTGCGACCAGCCCCATGCTCCGTTCCCCAAGTAGCCTGTCAGCCTCCCGACCCACCGTCGATTCGTTGCTCGAAGAGCTAAGCACCGCCGTGCCTAATGGGTGAGCTTTCTCTGTGTGTGCGCAAATTAATTTGCAAAACGCAATGCGAGCTGTACATTAAACAAATCGCTTTCAAACGAACATCCAGCTCTCAACTTGCGTTTCCGGGATTGAGATCGTTGCAATTTTGGCGAGTTCAGATTTCGATCGTGAATCTCACCAGCAATTAGCCCTTTGTTTTATCGCAGCAAAATTGGAGTCATCGAAAAAATCATACCAACATTTTGGAGGTATTAAAAATTTATTGAACATTATTGAACAAAGGGTTAACGGGATTTCAATCCCCGAGGTAATTCGCGTTCGATAAAACGGAGCTGTCACCCTCCCTAAATAGAGACTACCCCGCTGACGGAAAAGTGAGGGTCACCATACAGGAGACGTCGACGGAGATACAGCCGGTATACGACGGCTATCCCTCTAGTCAGCACGGATCGCTGAGTCGAACCGAGATCCAGAGGAGTTACCCTAACGGTCATACCGCAAGTAACGCCACCAAGGAGCTGGACGACCTAATGGCTTCGCTTTCCGAGTTCAAGGTACACATCACGTAACTATGTAACATGGTAACGCGACCCTGAAAGAAAGGCTGAAGAAAACTTTCACTTTCATCTTTTAATGAAATATGTATGACATTTATTTTGCTAAGAAATATATATTTAAATTATTCGTTTGAAACATATAGTATTCATAATTGTCAAAATTCAAAATTATGTGTTTTAACGTATTGAAGCAAATGCCGTTTCTTCAAGGGTTGAGTAACTCTTTCGGTATACGAACTTTCAGCTTTACGCATGCTGGTGTGTAAGCTGAAACGTACGAGTGCGAAATTTTCAAATAAACTTCGGGCTTCATTGTTAGCTGAAAGCTGAATGGAATTTTTTACGCACTTTTATGTTTAATTTCGTACCGAATGAGTTGCTACACATTTCATCTCTCGTTGCTTCTCGTCTGCATTGTGTACATAACTGTGTACGTAACATTGAAATAACTTGTTCCATCGAAAAATCGACACCCGATCTATCTGTCACGTGGCACGATACACAGCGTATCTAATAATATAAATTCATCTTGGAAATAGGAAAAGATTAAATCTACTTTGTCGGCAGATAAAAATAAAGGCATATACATACACATAGCATGTATAAATAAAATCTCATCTATTAACTCCCGATGGCGATTAACGGCGGTAATCGCGGTGGCTATTAATCGACGACAGATAATTCTTTTAACAATCAAAAATTTGCTTCTAACCGTCTCGATCTTGTCGCAAATATTTATTCACGGCGGTACGAAAATGAGTCCTTATTATATCTGCCTCTCAGAAAGTTCGCCACTGCATCACTGTTCCTTTCGCGCAAACTTTTTAATCTAAGTTGTTCAAAGACATCTTGTGTCTACATCTAGATAACAGGCTGCCCCTGATCGCGTTCGACCGCTTTGATTTACCGCGTAATCAGAAAACACCGGAGCGTTAAAATTCACTCCTCTGCCCATTCTTGGCTCCCCGCGTTCCGAAAATAACCTCCGCGACTGTGAAGCGGAGGACTACCCAGCCGCCGACCGTACCGATTCCCCCAGCCGTCTCCTCTCCTTTTTTTCTACGCGTCACCGATTTTCCCGCGGTCGCGGGAGAAGGGAGATCGAGGGGACGACGAAAGCCACGGAGGTGGGGCACCCGTGCGCGGCGCGATCCGCCGAAACACCCGGAGCTTTCGGCCAGTCTGCAAGCTCGCCCGCGGCGATCGACATCTTCCACCTACCATCTCGTGGGTCTTCTTTTCTCAACTCTCATCCGACATTTCGCGGACTTGACATCCTGACCCGAGGCCTTTCCCTCAACCTTGCCCGTCAAATCGGCTCCCAACCTTGAACGACTTCCCGATACACTTCTCTGCACACACGATTACACACGTGCACGATTAATACAATTTCCTAGAATTTCCCGGGGACTATTGAGGGATTCAGTGCGACGAGTGTGAATCAACTTTCCGAGAAATTGGGTCCATCGATCTTGAAACTGAGAGAATTTTTTTTCTTCTTTTCTCAGCTACAAGATTGAAGTCGCAGTTTCTCGGGTAAGACGGTTAGCACACTCGACTCTACGACTCTCCACGTGTCGTTGCAGATCAACAGCGGCACCCACCAGCACCAGACGGTGACCGACTCCCCGTACGCGAAGCCCAACAAGGCCACCAAGAGCTCGCAGAGCCCGCTGCCCGCTGCCGAGGGCACACAGACCCGCGTGCACATCACCGAGACTCATACCACTCATCTCTATCAGCCGCAGCATCCGGGAGAGAGCCAGTTCATCAAACAGAATCAGTTGGATTCTATGCTCGGCAATCTCCAGGCCGACATGAGCCGCCAAGGTGTCAACACGACTCAGAAGGGATGCTGCAACGCCTGCGAGAAGCCCATCGTGGGCCAGGTAGCCCAGTCAGCTGATTCGCTCCTGCAATTCTTCAACGTTCAAATATTTCCTTTAATCCGACAACATTTGTTGCTACACAGGTGATAACGGCCCTGGGCAAGACGTGGCATCCGGAACACTTCACGTGCACCCATTGCAACCAGGAGTTGGGCACGCGAAACTTCTTCGAGCGAGAGGGCCATCCTTATTGCGAGACGGATTATCACAATCTGTTCTCGCCCCGCTGCGCTTACTGCAACGGGCCCATTCTCGATGTAAGCGGGACGGTCGTTCTCGGTACTTTTAAAGAAAAGAGTACGAGACGTAATCGAGGATTTTAACGAGACGCGAAGAGCGTTGAAAAGAGAGTAATAAAAAGAATCTGTATTTTCATCCCTTTTCTAAATTAATTTTTTATCCTTTGGAATCCGTTTAAAACGAACAAGACGAGTCTATTCACGCTTCCTTAAAATTAAACTGAATCTTCCCTCCTTTAATATTCACGAAGTAACTAATAAACATCTATATGTTTCAATTTTTAGTTTTATTTTAATACAACCTCTTTTTTTTGCAATCATAATATTAATTATATATTAATATTTAATTTGAACATAATCAACGTTGTTGAAAATACCGATCTGTACTCTTTTTTTTCTTAAGTACTCGAATTTTGGAAATGCGGACGCGAACCGTCTTTTTCTTTTTCAGAAATGCGTGACTGCTCTGGAGAAGACCTGGCACACCGAGCACTTCTTCTGCGCCCAGTGCGGCAAGCAGTTCGGCGAGGAAGGCTTCCACGAGCGGGACGGCAAGCCGTACTGTCGCGAGGATTACTTCGACATGTTCGCGCCGAAATGCGGCGGCTGCAATCGCGCCATTATGGAGAATTACATATCCGCGCTCAACAGCCAGTGGCATCCGGACTGCTTCGTCTGCAGGGTAGGTATCGCGCTCGCGCGGCTCGTTGATCTCACCGTCGAGTTTTTATTTTCAGCGCAAGCGCCACGAGATTTGTCGGCGGTCCTCATTTCTCCATATTAAAATCCCGAAGAAAAAAAAAAAAAAGAAAGCATCGCAGAGCAAAAGTCGCGCTAAACTCTGACAATTGCAGGATTGCAAGAAGCCGGTCTCCGGAAAGTCCTTCTACGCGATGGAGGGACAGCCGGTGTGCCCCAAGTGCGTCGGGGTGGACGACGACGAGGAAGAGGAGGAGCAGGAGGCGTAAAGACGTCGTCGCGTCGATGTCGGGTCCGCGAATGTCCTTGTTATTGTCGTCCAACCACCCCCCGCACAATACGTTGCCCCCAGTATGCCCTCTGGCTCTATGAATGCGGAGCCATCCCCCTGATTTTCCAACAGATTTAGCTGGGACTAGAAAGAGAGAGAGACAGAGAGAGAGCTGAAAACGCCGTCTGCGGAATCATCATCGCCTTGATTCCGCATCGCAAACGCACACTTTACACATACACACATACACACACATATATACATGTACACACACACACACACACACACACACCGCAAATTTTTACCTCACAGGGCATACTCTTGGCAAACAAGTTCAAATTAGTTGTTCTTGTCTTCAAGTTCGCGTCTTGACATTGCGCTGAGCTCCTGACAAAGGAATTCTGCGCAGATATTAACATTGTATATGTAAGAAGTAAAGGAATATCCCTTCCCCCCCCTCCCCAAAAAAAAGAAAACCCCAAAACAAAAAGACACACACGACACTGAGAGTCAGCTGTTTCACACATACAGCGACTCGGAGACGCTGCATGACGCCCGTCTTGTGGCGATAAGTGAGTCAGGGCCAAGCTGAACGGACGACGGCGTCGCAAATGATTATTTACGTTCCTTATAGGTCGTTATAGTAATGGCAGATGAATCGGATTGACCCTATAATTTTTAGGGAAAGTAGAACGATTAATTTGACTTTCTTTGACTAGAGTAATTTCTTTTTTTTATATTTGTACATCAAATTGCCAAATATTATAATGTATGAATGGGAAATAATTGCTGTTTCATCAATCAGAAACTTATGAAATTGATCGAAGCAACTTAGATAAATGTGTGCTATTAGAAATTTGATTCATCTGAAAATACTATACACTTTATTTTATCAGAATTTACTGATAAAGGCACAGTGAGAGCGACGTTAATAATGCTCCTTTGCCATTGAATTCAACATAAAGTTCCATTCAATCTGTGATCAATGTTAGGAATATTATAACGTATATATACAGTGGTTCGGAGTTACCGTCTATTTTTTATAATCTTTTAATATATTTACAAATAATTGTTTTTATTATTATTGATTCTATCGTCGCATTGTTATAACTCAATTATTTATTTTTTTCAAATATTTTAGAATAAAAAATAGATAATAATTACGAACCATCTTGTACATGCTTATAAATATTTAATAACAAGGTGCACGTATATACAGAGTACTCGAAGAAATTATATATTATGCAATTTATTACTTTTCTACGAGTAAACAGATAATCAAAAGAATAATTATTAAACATTAAAATTACAACCTTTGGAGTAGAAATGAATATATTTATTACTATATATATATATATATATATATATATTGTACGTATTTCTTCGAACATATATATACACAGTATATTCATGCACAAAGTAACTTTTATTCTTTCCGATGCATCTATTGAATGGAATATTTATTCATTCTATGATACAAAAGTACACTTTATGTTTTCCAGATAAAGTCTGCGGAATTCTATAAAATTATTAAATCATATTTCTCACATGCCAAATATTTCTATATAATTTTCTCAAATGCATCCGCGTTTTTATGTTTCAGGATTGCAGACAAAAGTTTCAGGGAGGCTCTTTCTTCGATCATGAAGGATTGCCATATTGCGAGACACATTACCACGCTAAGAGAGGATCCTTATGCGCAGGATGTCACAAACCCATTACCGGTGAGTACAGAGTCTTCATGAAATGCAAGATTTAATGTGATGCTAATGTGCTTCTTTTTTTTATTCAGGTCGCTGCATAACAGCGATGTTCCGGAAATTCCATCCCGAGCACTTCGTGTGCGCGTTTTGTCTGAAGCAACTGAACAAAGGCACATTCAAGGAACAAAATGACAAGCCATACTGCCACGGTTGCTTCGACAAGCTCTTCGGATAAATAACTCATTATCTTCGAAATATATATTTTGTAATATAATAACGAAATGAGAGATTTCGCTCTCTCTCTCTCTTTCCGTGACGTTTTACTACTCTTGACGAAATAGGTACATATTAAGATATATACTTACTTGCTTTGATTGTCTATATAAAAGCGCGAAACAAAGCTCACAATGCCTGAAATAGTCTTTTAGAGAGTTTTCATTTTTTTATAAATATTGACCTTCGGATAGTGCAATCGAGAGAATAGAATGTCAATTGTTAAAGATTATCGTAAAGAAATTAGAAAAACTCCGCAGACTGCCCTTTTTAATGAAGATTGACGAATTCAGTCAATTTTCTTTCAGAGAAAAAAGGAGATCGAAGTACATTTTAAGATTATTATATCGGAAAATAATATAAGCGAATAAAATCATGTTCTTCAGTTAACGCCGTTCAATAGAAATTTACTTTAGGAATGTCAAAATACTTCACATTAAAATGAAAAAAAGATCACGACGAATCTTTTTTTCTATAAAATTTTCATTGAAAGAAAAACGGAATTTCGTCCGAGGATTCATAGACACGGCAAAACGTGCAATAGAAAGTTCACGTCTCTTGTTAAATTGCGTGTTTAAATTGATAAATTGCGAATTACTCAGTTTAAGTCTATTGTGTCGTTTAAAGATTAATGAAAAGGGTGCTATATAATAGTTTATCATTACTAATATGTATCGATAGTATATTTAGTAGATATATATTACCCGTTCGAGCAAGTATTTGTACAACATCGGTCCTTTGCCGCCAAATATTTGCCTGATGAAAGCTCTTCCCACGCAGTGTTTTAAAATTTCATATATTTATAAAATATTTATATAGAATCACTCGTATAGAGTAATCAGTTTTAACGAATATTACCGCATTAAAAGTTTACAAGTTTCAAAGACGCCCACTGTATCGAATTATACATGTGAGAAAGAAAATAATAGAGGGAATTAGGAAAAAAGAGAAGGAACGAGTTCGCATAATTGTATGACGCTGCATCGAATAAATAAGACGATAAATAGGCCATTTTTTCGAGGTTTATTTGGCATTCTGCTGCACAGCAAAGACCATAAATTTAATATATAATAGATATATATGTATAAATGCATATAGATACATAATATGAATAAATACATATATATATATATATATATATATATATATATATATAGATAGATACAATAAATCTTTTAAGTATCTGCAAATTGTGTACGTAAAAAATTGATTAAATACAGAGAATCGCCTACGTGTTTGTGTGAAATATGTGGATCCGTTTTGCACGCCGAATAAATCAAGAGGAATCTATAGATATACATACAAAAATATATGGAATCTTATAGCTAACGTATAGCCAACATGTTATACCGTCGCAAGAGTTGGCTTCATATTGCGAGAAACTTAATATGCTACTGCAATCGATACTCCAACACCAATAGTATGTGGTGCGTTATCATTTGTGCTGCGTAAGACTACTCATCGAAATCGATAAAGAGGAAAAAAACGAAGGAAAAAAAAAACTCGTTTCTGAGACCGACTGCATAGACGATTCCGTTGTCATTTTAACATAACTTATACGAGACAGCTATAATTTCTTTTCTAATTAATAATTCAGTTAGAATAATAATCAATAATAATTAATTATTTTTAATTATCATTAATGCCGACATCTCGTGCGATCTCAATTACGTATTTCGTGTGTCTGAGAATTTATTTTCAAATATTTACATTTTGCAGGACATTATCGCCTGAAGTGCTTTAATATGTCACTAAACTGCTTGATAATAAAAAAAATCTGCGAGAGTTTAGTCGAAGTTTTTAAGTTCTATTTAATATCAGATAAAAAATGATATCAGAAAGGCGCATTATAACGATATACTATCCAAGAGCGAACCTCTCTTTTTTTTTGTCTTTTATAATTTAAGCGAACGCGAACCCTGCGTTAACCCCGCGGCGGTCTACTTCTCGCGAAATTCCCAGACGTATCACAGACGTGACGGCTCGGCATTGGTCGGACGGTCCGCCTTCGCGAGAACTGTCAGGCCAGCGTTGGAAACAGCTCTGTGAAACTCTCGTGCCAGAGATCGGCCAGGGAGTTCGACCGACGCGGCTCCGGAGAATCGTGCGACTCGTAGCCGCCGTCCGACAGACTGGTGCAATCCAGCTTTGCGGAAACGCCGTAGTTATCCGCGTCTGAGTGTATGTCGCTCATCGCGGGTGACATGGTGTCGGTGTACGCCGGTGAAAACTGTGCTGGGTAGCCAAGATGCGTACTCGAGGGTACAGCGAGGCGCGCGACAACGCCGTCGTCCGCAACGTGGCAGACGCCGTTGCCGCCGCCGTGTTCCACGGTGCTCACCACCTCCTGCACGCATTCCTGAATGCCCACGCACTCGCCGTTCTCCTCGCCCGGATAGATAATCGTGATGGAATTGGTCGCCTCGTCGTACGTGCCATAAACGGTCTCAAGGTCTGGTGTCGGCTCGGATTCCTCCTTGATCTCGATCTCGGTCTTGATCAGTGTGGACGGTGCGACTGCTGTGCTCGCTGTGCTGCAGACGATGGGATGCCAATCGGTTGAACCTCGTAAATAAGAAGCGCCGTTTACGCTTCCACCAACTCGATCGGCTTCCACATTTTCTGATGCCTGCCCCACCACTGTTTCTGAATGGTCAGGTTTCTTAACGGAATCTTCCTTATTGGACACCTGCGAATCGATACACATTCGGCAGGTCATTAAGAGGGGAACGACTGAATCGTGAGGACGCGCGATTGCAGAGGAAATGAATGAAACGTTCGGATTGTTTTTTTCCGGAATTAATCGAGAAGTTGCATTTGTAGTTCCGTTGAGAGCTTAAAATTCCGTTTCGGAATATTTCATCCACGTCTCTGCATTATATTGTTACACATAAACATGTAATTAATTTTTTTAGAAAGAAATAAAAATGTATCAAATTAATTTAGAACTCATAACATATATTTCAAATTTCGAAAAACTACTTAAACTTCGTAAAGAATGAAAAATTATTAGCATATACACTTTCGAAAAAAAAAGACTATATTGCGTCGTGCGTTTAAAATAGAATGGCCGCTTATCGACCCGGCTCGAACAAAGGAAAGTAAGATAATTGCTAATTGTAATTGTGTTATCGCATCGACTGCAAGACTCGAGACTCACTTGTTCATTTGATCTATGAGGATTTGCTTCCATTTCAGCGGTAACTTCTCGCAGAAGGCTTTCGGCAAGCTCCTCAAGTCGCTCGATGTAGTCGTCACTTTGGAGGTCGCTAAACAGCTCCTCGAGAGGAGGTAGAGGGTCAGAATCTTCAGCAGGACGGCCGCTCCTGGCGTCAGCGTCAGGCACGATGCCGGCTGTGCTGTCCCACCCTGCGGCAGAGGGTCGTCAGGGGATACGGCAGATCCCAGCGAGGGTACAGCGCAGCCGACACGAGTCTGACACATCGAGCAGTACTGCTGTTGCTGCTGATCTTCATTCATGGTGGTCCTCGTGTCCCTCTCTCTCTTCAGTCTCTTTGTTTCGCTCAATAGCGATTCGTTCTGTGTCCTCAGCATTGTGCACTCCTGCGTGAGCAGCTTGTTCTTTTCCGTTAGCGTGTTTACCGTCTCCATCAGCTCGTCCAATCTGGCTTTCTTCCGGTCCCGTGAGGTTTGTGCTGCCATACGGTTCTTTAGCTTTCTACAGAGGACAAGAAACAACAATATTGAATTATTTATTTCATTAAAAAATTCCTTATTTCCGAAAGAATGATTCTTACTTTGTATAAATAAAAAAGCAGCAAAAATTATTTCTATGAATTTAAGAGAGCGAAAATAAAGAAAATATTAATTAATTTGGTTCCCCCTTTAATTAAAATAGAAAATGTTTTCTTTCATTAAATTTTATTTCATATATTGACACAATGAGGATGTGATGCAATATCTGTTTGTCCGACTTCATCGCTGTGTAATTGATATGCTTGATTGGCATAAATTTATTTATAATCTGTGGTAGGAAAATGATGAAACAATCGCTGCCGTGGAATCAGTCGCTCTCACGTAACGCAATCGTAAGTTTGTGATTATTGCACCGAGGCAATTATTCGCACCGGAGCGCGTCACTCCGGTATTAACCGGAGTCGAAAGTTCAGCGATGATGACGCAAGACGGATTTACGTCAATGGGATCAATTACGCGTCAAAGCGATGCGTAGCGAAAGGATAAGTTGCGTTTAACAAAAAATGTTTCGTCAAAGATTTCTGCGAAATTTTATAAAAAATTATACATCACGTATTTTTAAATATTACACAAATAATTTCTGCGAATAATCGCTACAAAATCGCATGCATTAATCGCTTGCGGTAACTGCGGGTAGATAAGGCTTATCTACAAGCTGTGTAAACGGGAAATGTCCAGTGCACTTAACGTGAAAAATGAAACCATCTGGTTCTTATTTTAGAAAAATGTAATCTTCATTGCGGATAAATAAAATTCAGATAAGCATTAATTAGTGAAAAACATGAGTCACGATAAGCTGATGTAACTTTATGCAGGATGAACGTTAATAAATTTGCTAAAATTTAATAATTTATTGCGAGTTATGCCAATAATTCAGACAATATAAATTCGATAGGAACACAATTTTACACGAGTTTAATACAATTTAATAATTAATGTACTAAATTCTACACACAATGTCAACAGTCAGTTTGATAGTTCCACGTTTTAATGTTTTGTTTATCGTAAACAAGATCTCAATGCATTTCAGAGAATTGGAAGATGACATGAATTTATTACCCTCATTAACATGAATTAAGTTTTCAGAAAATTTGATTGATACAACTGACAAACATTGATCGAAAGAACAGGATTAGGAATACTGTGACATAAAATAATTCGTGGAAAAGCTATGACGCACGCTAGAGAATCTTTCTTTCACTTACTTTCTCTGCAATTTTTCTTCCCACGTTAAATGATCCAGCCGACGTTTCTTTCCGCGTACGCAGCCATCCGCGGTCTTGATGAGAGTCGTGACGCCATCATCGTGCACCTCCTCTTGCTGCCTGACAGTCACCTTCCTGGCGTCCATCTTCGCTTTATCTGTCAAAAGTGATGCGACGAAATTCAGCCTGGGCGTCGTCGCGCACGCGAATTCGTTCGCCGAGATCGCTTTGGGCAGTCCCTTAGGCAGGGTGATGATGACGCTCTTTAAAGTGCTCATAATCCGCCATACGACTACGCGTCAAGTATCTGTTTTCTTATTCTACCTCTTGATAATCTTGAGAGCTAGTACGATGAACTGTATGTCCAGGATCACGTCGCTCCTTCACGTATCGCACCGCGCACCGTCCAACGTCGACTGATTTCTCTTCGCATAATCAAATACATCTACATGCTTCATACATACATCCTTAGCTGATGCAACAAACTGCTGCGGTGAACCATCGCTCGCTTCGTCATCGACCGAGGTCAGCCGCTTCCACAACTGTCTTATCGTCACGTGGAGCACCAGGATTGGTTCAGACTCGAGAGGCCGCCCATCTATTATAGCGGACAATGTGTGCGGCTATCATAAAGCTTATACACACGGAGGCGCATTTGCACTATCACTTCCGTGTATAAAGGCCTATGTTCACGATGCTAGAACTTTATTTTTGTTTTTCACATCTGATTTATCATCCGAATTATCATCTCGGACTACTTAGTTCTAACATAATCTGCCAGTTGCCGCTGTAGTCGGTTTTTTAAAGAGTCCATTTGATAGAGAGAGACGGGAGAGAGGCTAGATTTTGCGGTATTTATTTTAGCAATATTTAAAAATGTCGAAAACAATGGCAAGAATGAAAATGGCCAAAAAAGTGACTGAGAAAGTTGATCACTCGTCGAAATTACGCGTAAATATCCTTGCAGGTTTAGCATCGTCTGCACCACCGCTTGGATCTCAGCTCGGACAGGTTAGAATATTATTATTATTATACGAGATATTATGAAAAACCAACGAAATATATTTTTTAAATTTATTCTTTATTGTAAAAATGTTATTTATATTTGTTATTTTTAATGTTGATTATTTGTCTTGAATTTATAGTGAATATTTTGATTTCTACTGTGTGATTATGATGTTGCTGTTTTTAATTTCAGAGGAATATTAACATTGCAAATTTTTGCAAAGATTTTAACGCAAGAACAGCCGATATCAAAGAAGGCATTCCTCTGCCATGTCGTGTAAAAGTGCATTCAGATAGAACTTATGATTTGGTGATCCATAAACCACCAGTAACTTACTACTTAAAGCAAGCAGCTGGGATACAAAAGGGAAAGATGAAAAAAGGTATATCTTTTCTTTTTAATTTTGATATCTTGATTTTATCTTTTAATTTACCACTTTATTTGTAAAAGAAGAAATAATTCTTTTAATTTGTCTTTTAATAGAGACATCCAAAGATGTTTTAATATTGTGTATTAAAATATTTGTTTTTAAACGTACATAAATTTTTAGTATAATAATATATTATCTATTTTGATGCAATGAAAAGTAAAATATAATAATAACAATACAAATAAACTCAAGAAAATAATCTTTTTTGTAGGTGAAATCGCTGGGAAAATAACTCTGAAACATTTGTATGAGATTGCTAAGATCAAATCAGAGGATCCGCCCTTGGCATTGCTATCTTTGCAACAGATCTGTCAAATGCTGGTCGGTATCGCTCGTACATGCGGCATCGAAATCGTGCGTGAAATAAATCCAGAAGAATATACACAATTTCTAAAGGATAGAGAAGAATCTATTGCAAAGTTCGAGGAGGAACTTAAATTAATTAAAGAAAGCAAAATGCTCAGAACAAATTAATTAGTTATAACATATTACAACTTAAACTTTGTAATTATTGTACATATAAAAATTAATATACATTACGTTAACAAACTGCTACGTATACCATTTCCTTTAAAAACAATCTGTTATCTTAATGGAAAAAAGGGAAGAACAGGAAATGCTTCTAACGAATTAATGAACGAAAGGATCTTTTAACATATGTATATTTATTACGAACGAGAAGAATAAATTTATATATAATTAAATTTCACTCTTGATGATGACATGACTTTAAGAGGTAGATTGAAAGATGATTAATAAAAATCGAAAGAACGATGTTTATACACTTTATAAATTACTATGTACAAAGTATCAAATTATCTATGTTTATCTACACCAGTTTAGAGTATAAAATATATATATATCTATAACATTTTTGAGTCCAATTTTTTGTTCGTTATTAAAATGAACAGATCTTTCAGGGAGAACGCAACAATTCGTTCCTAATCAAATAACAAACACTTTTGACCTAAACAGAAGCTGTCGTTAAAACGGGTAAAAGTCCTTGTTCCATAGAGAATCGACCGAGGTTTTCAGGTCGAAGTGTATCAAACCCAGATACGTGTAATAAAACGACAGCTTAAGGAGCGTCCAGCGCTCCGCGAAAGACACCCGCCACCTGTCCCACGTGCTCGAGCATCGTCTGAGTTTCTCGCCGTACACAGAGCGTATGCAGCACCTTGACATCTCCATCATAGCCGACATCCTGGATTGAGTGCGCAGCGAATATTCGATGCCGCGCATCAAGTCGTTCGTCTTGAGTATCAGCAGCATCTGCCGATTGACGCGGTCCAGCACAGTGCTGATTTGCGGCAGCAGATTCGGAATGTGTTGCTGAAACTCCGCCTTCTCGCGGGCGTTGTAACGGGTCTTACGCACACCCGAGACGATCGTGTCCCACGTACGGCCCGACACCATGCACGACAGCAGGCCGTAATGATCGCCGACGCCGAGTCGCTCGCAGTACTCCTTCATGGCCGCCCGGTCGCCGTCGAGAATCGCCAGCCACAGCTTCGAGTAGTCCCAGCGGAACTGATCGGACAGGTCGGCGTACAGACCATGATCCAGCAGCACGATCTCCGCCTGGGAGTCGCGGTTGCACACCAGGATGTTACCCGGATGCGGATCCGAGTGCACAAAGCCCTCGATGAAGATCATGTGGCTGTACAGTCGACCGAGCTTACTGGTGACTTCGTACGGATTCAGCTGGTGAACACGCATGTATTCCAGATCGTTCACCTGTCCGCCTTCGAGGAACTCCATCGTGAGCACGCGTGACGATGACACGTCCCAGTATATCTTTGGCACTCGCAGCCAACGGTAGCTCTCAAAGAGCCTCTGCACTTTCTCGGCGTTCCTGCCTTCACGAATGAAGTCCAATTCCTGCGGGATGTTCCGCTTCGTCTCCTGCACTAGCCAGTCGAACTTGAAGTCTGGGAACACCAGCGACGTGATCTTCACCAGGGCCGACATGGTCTTGATGTCGACGTAGGAGTTGCTCTTGACAGCGCGATGCTGCACCTTCACAGCCACTACATCGCCGTTCTTCAGCACGGCTCTGTGCACTTGTGCGAGACTGGCGGTGCCCAAGGGCTCTGGATCGATGCTCTGAAATATCTCGTATGGGTCTTTTCTGAAGTCTTCTCTGATCACTGTGAGCACATCTTTAAACGAAGCCTGAGGCGCTGAACTGTGCAACACCCGCATAGTGTGCACATATTCCTGGGGCAACAGGTAGTCCAATGCACCCACATGCTGACCCACTTTGATGTAGACTCCCTTATTAGCACAACAGAGTTCCAGCAGCTTTTGTGCTCCATATTTGTGAGCATCTGATTTCAGCTGCAGATATTCTGCGGACGTCCTGTCCAATTTATTGTTGTACAGTTCCTTCTGGTAATAACGACCTATATCAAGCACCGCGAGCGCAGCACGACTCAGCCGTACGATTCCAATAGCTCCAATGTCGTACTCATTTGCTCGGAGAGAAGCCAGAGTACCCAATCCAATTGTTCCAATAGCAGCAGCTTTGAGTAGCCTTCTGGATGTAAACATTGCCATTCAGTTGATATCTGGAACAGGAATATTTATTAAGTTCACAATATTAGCATATGTCACAAAAATATTAATTGAGAAAATAGTGAATTATAAAAAAAAATACATGTTTTCTTAAAATATGTTAACTATTATATAATGAGAAAATACAAAATTATATAATATATAATTATATACCAACCAAATAAGCATGAATTAACAATTAAAAGTCCGTATGGATTCGCACTGTACGCAAATGACGTCGCAGATCAGGTTTGGTGATTGCAAACAGTGAATTTCCAGAAAGTGGTTTTTCTAACCTCATCGTATAATCTATATATCGTCTAGATGAATCATTGATAATTCTATGTTAACTTTATGCACAATTTCAGTCAGCATCCCCACTATATTTTACTTTCACGAGCCACAGTTGGATTAAGTCAACTTTATCCCAAGTTCGACCACGTGCGACAAAGGTGTCAGCGTCAAGTTGAACTATGGCTGTGTATAACCATGTGTAATATCATGCTTTACCTGTAGCAATACCATATATAAGATGTGTCATAAAAATCTGTCATTTTCGAAACTTAAACTATGCGTTACATTATAAAAATTTTTTTACACAAGTTATATGTTTTCAGGTTATTTTATAATCACTAGAACTTTAATTATTATTTATCGAAATTAGAAATAAGAATAGAAAATGAGATTTTTATAAATATTTCTTTACATAAATCAACTTTTTGTTATGTTCCATATAAGAGCTGTGAGAAAAAGTTGCAAATATTTACTTTACACAAGAGATATTTTATTCTCTCTTATACATATATTATTTAATATATTATTTACAAAGGGATATATATTACATAAATACAGTATTTGAAAAATCTTATTATAGACTTTCATAAGTATAAAAAAAATGTACAGAACAATAATCGCCTAATACTATAAGTTCGTGAAGATTTTTACAAAACATATATTATTTTAATATTAATTGTATATCACAACTTATAATAAGTAGCGTTCAATTGAAGTAAGCGCTATAAAGCTTTAGTAAGGAATTGGATTTTATTGATGCATTTCAATGTTACGATGGCTGTGATATTTTCAGCAGGACAATGCGTCACTGCACGGGTTGTTCGAAAATGGTTTGAGGTGGATAGGTAGTCAAAATGTTTTGGCTCATCGGTGTACATTTAAAAATAGTAATAACAGTCCATCTTTTATATTTTCTTCTGAAATTCTTAACCATCATAATGCCGCAATATACAAGATGTTTGCTAACTTAAAACTTAAGAATTGTCCTTCCTGCAGCCTGGTCCATCAATATTTTCTAAACATAAAATCAAATTGCGATTAATATTAATATACAAGAAATGCCATTGTTTCAATAAAACTACATTTCTAATATTCGTTGCAGTATAATGTTCCTACTACCTTGACTTGTGGGATAGCGTTCATCAATTGTAGACCCAAGCTCCTAGTTAGAACAATGGGTGTCGCGGTGCCTCGGTAAAGTCGATGAAGCGCATCGATGACAAGCATCGTCGGTACATTGTGCCGTTGTCTTAATGTCTCATATTTCTCCAAATACATCATGTCGTTGATCAAACCACCGTCCATAACAGCTTCGGCCAGGATCTGCGTCAGTACTGTCACATCGCCAAAGCCCAGATTCACACCTTGACCGGCAAGAGGATGAACTCGGTGTGCTGCGTCCCTTCAAATCGAAACCAATTTAAATTTTTAAAAAAGATAAAAAACAAAGAACTTAAAATTGCTGCGATGATACGATAAACTCTTCACGTACAAACATAAATTTTCTATGAAGTTTCAATACAACAATCTCTCTTTAAAGGCAGACTTTGAATCAAATCGGCGGTATTCTCTTTAAAATTTGATTTATGTCTTGACACATTCGAAATTCATTCGACTAACATTTCTCCTCTTGATTAAAAATTCTTTTACCCAATCAACACCGTGCCTGGCCGAATGTAAGACGCGGCATGGCCGAAACCTAGAGGAAACGCCGCCCGCGACCCCTCGACGATCGCCGCTATAGAGGGCTGCAGTTGCCTAGACACACCAGTCTGCAGGGAGAATTCCGCGAGTAGCTGGCGAAGTGCCTGCATGCCACCTTCGACGATACTGTTCTTCGGATAGTCTCGCCACAGCGCCTCATTTACTCTGTCGACAAACTCCTCCTCTGTGACTTGTAGCAGTTCCTTCGCCTTCTCGCTTGTCATGGACCACACAAGCGAACTGAGAGAATCTGTTAACTATTTCGAGAATCGTTACTGCGTATATGCTAGATCGATTAGTAATCTTTATCTCATTTCTACATTATTCGGTTAATTTGATGCAAGTATCAATCTATAGTCTGTGTTATTTCTCTCTCTCTCTCTCTCTCTCTCTCTCTCTCTCTCTCTCTCTCTCTCTCTCTCTCTCTCTCTCTCTCTCTCTCTCTCTCTCTCTCTCTCTCTCTCTCTCTCTCTCTCTCTCTCTCTCTCTCTCTCTCTCTCTCTCTCTCTCTCTCTCTCTCTCTCTCTCTCTCTCTCTCTCTCTCTCTCTCTCTCTCTCTCTCTCTCTCTCTCTCTCTCTCTCTCCCTCCCTCCCTCCCCCCCCTCCCCTCCTCTCTCTCTCTGATGTGTGTTATAAGAATAAATAATAAAATAATATAAAAATCAAAGACAATTCAGAATATTACAAAATAAATTAGCCAGCGTTATCTTAAAATCAGCGAAGAAGATAATCGAACAAAAAAATCCCATTCTCTCCTAAGTTTAACTCATTCCAGAATACTTTATCCAACGTTGTCTTTGATTTATTTATTACTATTCTTATTGTATTTATTATCTATTCTTTAAACACGTTAAAAAGGAATAACATTTCTTAGATTGACACCTTTATTGCTTATTATTTAATTTTAGAGAAGCCACAAACGCGTACAAAAGTTTGTGGCTTCTCTAAAATGTTTGGCAGATATTTTGAGAACTTTTATAATTAGAAAGAGATAAATAAAAGTGAATAAAATACAGGAGTTCGTCATAAATTACCGGTAGCAGTGCGATGGGGCCTGTTGGTAGAAATCTCTGCCAAGCTACGACGTTTTCCGTGGGCTAAAATCAAAGTCGTACGTATTGTAATCTACAGTTCACAACCGTTTAGATTGTTATTAAATATTCCATCCTTATGTGAAATTCTTAAGAAGATTACCTCGGATAGTTTGAGAGTCGCGACAATACCCAATTGATCGTATCGCCAATTCGGATAAGCTACACCCATCGCCTTTCGCACCAGCGAATTAACACCATCGGCGCCCACCTGCAACACATTAGGCAACACTTTATTTATTTAATTCCGCTCCGGCCATTACGTAAAGTAGTACAACTATAAGTGTCATCGTAAAGAGTATCGTTGGATTAATGCGCAGATAATACGGACAACGCGCTGGAAGGGACGAGCGCATCAAAGATTAACGGCGTGCACGAAAATAGCGCCGGTTCTGCTCCAGATCTTAGCGAAGATGCCGGAGATTATTTGCGCCGAATAGTCAACATTTTATGCTCGTTTCCCATCACAAATAAACGTCTCGTTTATACACAAATCTGAAGGTATTTACGCACTAAATGTACGACTACGTTTACATTCCGATATAATAAGAAAATCATTCGGAAAATCGTAACGTTCGTTACATAAAAAAAACTGTATGCTTCAATTAAAATTCAATACAAATAATCCTTATTATTGAAAAATATAAAACCATTATTTATTTTCCATGAGCTATACATTTTTCATTTTAATTTTGTCCGCAAAATTGAAATAAATATAAGCAGATAGGCAATTATAACAATGTGTTTTTGAAAGCATATTTTTTGTGCTTTCTTAAATTTTTACAAAAGCAAAAGGGTTTGCGGAAGAGTGTGACTCTTCCCCCAAATGACGTGGTTATCAGTTGACCAAATTCCGCTAAATGTGATTGTGCGAGCAATGACCGGAATCATACTGATAAAACGTATTTCTCAACGTCACCGGAAAGGTGTATTACGGAAAGAATTTGCGGTTGGTAATTTTTTTCTTTTCGTCTCACTTTATCGCCGGAACGCGTGGAGTGAGAGAACTGCTGATGATTAACAGAAGCTAAATATAAAGGCCGTTTTATAAACACATGTGGGTATCCTCGGGACTATACAGAAGAAAGCCAGAATAGTCGTCTAAGTGTCGAGCATCAGTGAACAAGATCCTCGACGCACACGTTAAAAAATCAATTTTCCGACGTTGAAGAAATTGATCGTCGAACGAACGAACGAACGAGATGCTCATCGCATTCATCGCATTCATCGAAGTTCATCCACGTGCATCGTCAGCGTGCACTGTCAGTATTTAGTCGAGAAAATTAAACTTCTAACAAAATGCTTATCGTGAATTAATGTGCGATATTATCAGCGCCGCAAGAGTGATGCCGAGCTAATTTAACAGAGAAGTTTTATATCTTTGAATCGCCATGCGATAGTAGCCGCCTGCAGCGTCAATTTGTTCGGCTTGAATATAATTTTCTCAAGAGCACAAAAGTCGAGAGAAAAACTATGTCGTTTAGGAACTTTTTCGAGAGATTCTCAGGCAGTCACGTGAAGCGAGACACGTCGAGAATGGAGCCCACCAACAGCAAAACGCCATCCATAGTGATCAACAATGAGGTCAGTGAAAAGAATCACGGTTCATCGCGATGATCCAGAAACGTTTCCTCGACATTTTCCTTCGTGTACCGAATTTAGGGGGTGCGTGAAGATATTTGGATGAGCGAGATGGACGACGGCAGCATCTCCTCCGAGGACAGTTCGGAATCTGTCACGTGTCACATACGACCGGAGCCGATAACGCAGGAGCAGCCTTGGAGCAAGCGGGAGGTGGAGGTGGCGTTGTCGAATCTGCCGGGTGGCGAAGCCGCCCTTTCCCTGATCCCGACTCTTCAAGACGAAGCTCTACAAAGGGCTCTGCAAGAATTCCAATGCTTGACTCTCAACGGAACGGACTGCAGACACCGCAAGCTCTCCTTGCCCATGTTCGCAAACGGGTACGATATGACAGACCGCATCTGCAATTTGATCCTGCGTGAGATAAACTAGATAGTAGAAAAGTAGACAAATAAATAGAATCTTATTTGTCGTGTTCATTAATTGTAATAACATAATTTTGACGAATAAAATTTTATATGCCTTTTATAACGAAGAGAATGTCAAACCTCTAAAATTATCCACGCAGGTTTATGCGAAAGGCTCTACTGGACAGTGAAAACGGAGCAGCAGCCGTCGCGACTTCGGGTCAGTTACTCGCGGGATGGCCGGACACGTGTCTGCTGATTTCCAGCTGGTTAGGACATGTGGAAATCGCGAGGGCTCTGTTGGACAAAGGCGCGCAGGCCACTACGAGAGACAACGATGGAAGGTACGCGCGGAAATTCTCTTGTAAAAGCGAAAAGTTTCTAACAGTTCCGCAGATCCAATTAATATTCGAAAAGCCGCTTTCACACGCTACTGCTTCCAGGACGCCGTTACATCTCGCAGCCTGCGCCGCGTCCGTGAAGATCGTAGAAGAGCTGCTGAAGCGCGGCGCTAATCCACGCGAATGGGACTTCGAGAGGAAGTGCACACCGTTGCATTGCGCCGCGGCGACGGGCTGCGTCGTCACCGTGAAGCACTTGATCAAGTCAGGCGCGGACGTGGACGCCGGATTGTCCGGCAGAAGTCCGCTCCACTACGCGGTGCTGAACAACGCCGCGGATTGCGTCGAGGCTCTACTGCAAGCAGGTGCTTGTCCCAATAATCCACAGGTGCTCCTTTACGACCAAATTCGAGCACGACTTGGTGGAAAAGTGATGCCCGATCGGAAGTCTTTGAACTAAAGACGAGTGCCAAAAGATCATTAACGAGCTAATAATATTAAACGATATCGAATTGCGCGAAGGAAATTATTTTCCCACCAAAGCACTGCGTCTCTTCAAGACTTAAGCTGAAGCTTCTTCGGTCTATTAACATGATTCATTGACAGGTTTACACAGAAACACCACTGCACGTGGCGGCTGGCCTGGGTAATGTTCGCTGCACCAAGTTGTTGTTGAGCCACGGAGCGGACGTGAGGGTGCAACTGGGAGCGGTGAGATCGACGCCTCTGCACTTGGCAGCGGAGGAGGGCAGCGCGGAGTGCACCAGATTGCTGCTGAGCGCCAACGCGGCCTTAGAAGCGAAGAATTTGCGCGGACAGACGGCAATGCATCTCGCAGCGCTCGCCCAATCCGTGGAGACTCTAGATGTGCTGATAACAGCTGGCGCCCGGGTAAATGCGGAAGATGATAACGGACGCACACCTCTGCATGCTGCGGTCGCGAAAGCGCTGAGAGGCGGCGAACTTGTCAAAACTTTAATGCAGGTTCGTGCATCAGTCGAGACATTTCTTCTCTAATTCTAGAATAAAATCATTTTCCGCTGAAGTAAAAGCTTGAAATTAAAATCATTCTAACAAATTACATGAAATAAATATTCTTCATCAAAAAAATGTGTATAAAATAAGTGAAGAATTAATAGAATTTTCTTTCGTTTAAAAGGCAGGCGCTTCGGTCAACAAAGCGGATAAGTTCGGTTACACACCGTTGCACATCGCGGCCCTGAACGAGAGCTCGCCGACGGTGATGATGTTGTTATCGAAAGGCGCCGATGTGACGGCGCGCACCAAGGGCGGCATCACCGCCCTGAGTTTCATCGTGCGCCGCACGCCGGACGTGCTGCCGCGTTTCGTGGCGCGCTTGGATCAGGCGATCTCGCTGCACGATCACGAACTAGGCGATGTGGACTGCGAGCTACGACTGGACTTCCGGCCGTTAGTGCCGGGCGGCCGCGGCGAGGCGGACCTAATGCTCTGCCTGGTGGAGGTCGGCCAGGGTCACATCTTGAAGCATCCGCTGTGCGAGAGCTTTCTCTACCTCAAGTGGCTGCGCATCCGCAAATTCTTCCTCCTCAGTCTAATGTTCCACTCGATCTTCGTCGCCCTCTTCACCGGCTACGTTTGCACAACGTATTTGGAGAAGAAAAAACAACTGACGAGCAACATTCTCTTCTGGCCCGTGCTGGGTTTCACCTGCGTGCTCGCGAGCAAGGAGATCTTCCAGATCGCCCACGGTATTTGCAACTATGCCCGACGCTGGGAGAACTGGCTGCAGTGGAGCGTGATCTTGTCGTCCAGCATTATCCTGATCTCACCGCCGCAGACGTGGCAGGGCAACGTCGCCGCGCTGGGCGTCCTGCTGGTCTGGGTCGAGCTAATGATGGTGGTCGGCCGTTTTCCTATGTTCGGTATCTACATACAGATGTTCACCCAAGTGTCCATCAACTTCGTCAAGTTTCTCGCGGCCTACATCTGCCTCATCATCGGCTTCTCCCTTAGCTTCTGTGTGCTCCACAGCAAGAACCACGAGCCGTTCAAAGATCCACTGGTCGGTCTACTCAAGACGGTAATGATGATGTCGGGGGAGTTGGAGTTCGATGACATCATCTTCCCCAAAAAAAACAGCACGGACGAAAAAGAAACGGGCAAGCTTGTGTATTTCGGCACGGCACACCTGATGCTCCTCAGCTTCGTCATCCTGGTGACGATCATCCTGACGAATCTGATGGTCGGCTTGGCCGTGTCGGACATTCAGGAGTTACGCAGGTGCGCCGGCCTCGATCGACTGGTGCGCCGTGCCGAGCTCGTGGCTCATCTCGAGAGCATGTTGTTTTCCAAGCTTCTCGATCGCACACCAGCGTGTAGGATAATACAAGCGTGCAGGCGGGGCGCGTTGCTACTGCACCCACCGCATCACTGCGCGCTGCACATCCGGCCGAATGATCCGCGCGAGAAACGTCTGCCGTTTGAGCTCATCAAGGCGGTATACCGTCTGGTCAGTGAGAGAAGATCGCGTCGGATGACCTTCAGAAGAAGTGCGCTACCGTCACGACACACTGCTACGAATGAAGTGAGCCACGCAAGGTTCAGCAGGATGTACAGCGACGAAAGCAATCAGCAGCAGCAGCAGCAGAACGAGCTGGCGCACGAGCTGAAGAAATACTCGTACAACATCTGCATGAGACTGGACAGCCTGACCGATAAGATGGAGAGTATCGCCAGAGAAGTAGACGCGACAACACACATATGTTGATCGTCATCGAACCTTCGTCTCATCTAATATCTCGGAAAAAAAAGCAGCAAAGCGAAATTATTCTCAACGAGATACACAAGTATATTAGCTGATGCATTGTGATCGAATCTAAACTAGTTTGAAAACGGAATACGAGAATATATTAGATTAATTTAAGCTGGATAGAAGAAATCGAGGAATCCAAAGATCTAGTGATCTGAAAAGCTAAATTTCAACGATACTCGATAGAAAGATTAATCCAGCAAACTGCATACTTTTGTAACAATATTTCATACATGCAGATACAACTTTATGATAAACTGATGGCCGAGAAAGAAAAAAAGTCGACCAAATATTTTTATTTTTTTATACAGACAGAAGAGAAAACAATATTACCATTTGACATCCTTTAGCATTAATATTCTATCGCATTGCAGTTTATATAACTTTATTTCTCTTTTATTTGAAGACAGTTTAAATCTATAAAATCTACAAATGCTTCAATCAAAATTCAATACGAATAATTTGAATATGCATTCCTTTTTGCTTCTATAAAAATTTAAGAAAGGATAATTTGCACTCAAATCTTATATCTTTTAATAATGAGGATAATTTGAATGCATATTGAATGCATATAAAACCATTATTTATTTTCTATAAATTATATAATTTTTTATTTTAATTTTATCAACAAAATTAAAATAAATATAAATAGATAGAAAATGATAACAATGTATTTTTGAAAGCTTATTTTTTGTGCTACTTTCTTAAATTTTTATAGAAATAAAAAGGAATGCGAAAGAGTGCGACTCTTTCCCCAAATTGCGTGATTATCAATTCATCAATTCAAATTCCGATAAATATAAAATTTGTGCGAGCAATGAATCAAACTAATAAAACGTATTTTTTGACGTCACCAAAAAGGTGGTGTCAAATTATGCAATTGGCCTTTATAACATATGTTAATAGAGTTCAATGGGTGATATGGAAAGAATTTGCGATTGGTGATTTTTTCTTTTCGTCTCGCTTCATCGTCAGAACGCGAGGAGTGAGAAAACCGCAGATGATTAATAGAAGCTAAATGTAAAACGTCGCTTTGTAAGGTTTGTTCGTGTCGCATGGCTCGACATGCTTCTACTCGCTCCAATACGCTCCAATTTATAGTATTATGTTCTGCACACTATAGATTGGAATTAGAGTTAGTAGAAGCATACCAAGTAGCAAATCGTTATTTGAGGTCTACTTGTCGTCGTAATAATCAATTATGACGACAAAAAGATGTCGGATGACGACCATTTACTACTTGGAAGTATTGCGACGCGGACAAACCTATTCTTGGGACTACACAGAAAGACAGAACAGTCGCCTAAGTGCTAAGCATTAGTGAACAAGATCATTGACGCACATTAAGAAATCAATATTCCGACGTTGGAGAAACTGATCGTCGAACGACGGATCTAACGAGATGCTCATCGCGTTTATCGAAATTCATCCATCTGTATCATCGGAGTGCACTGTCAGTATTTAGTCGAGAAAATTGTCGTTTAGGAACTTTTTCGACAGATTCTCAGACAGTCGTTTGCAACGAGATACATCGAGATACATCGAGAATGGAGTCCGCCAACAGAAAAACACCGTACAGTGATCAACAATGAGAGCAGTGAAAGAATTCACGGTTCATCGCGATGATCTAGAAACGTTTTCTCGGCGTTTTGCTTCGTGAATTTAGGGGGAGCGTAAAGATATTTGGATGAGCAAGATGGACGACGGCAGTATCTCCTCCGAGGACAGTTCGCAGGAGCTGTCTTGGAACAAGGAGGAAATCGTGACGGCGTCTTTGTATCTACCGAGAAGTGAGATCATCCACTCCCTGATGCCAACATTGGAAGACGACGCTCTACAAGAAGCTTTGCAAGAATGCTCGACTCTCAACGATGAGGACTGCAGACACCGCAAGCTTACGTTGCCTGTGTTCACAAACGAGTGCGACATGACAGACAAACTGGACTGGCAATTTGATTTTGCAACAAGGATTTCGGGATTTCCGTTGCTCGAGGCATGGTGGGATAAACCTGGGCTGATTTTCAGCTGGCTAGGTCATATAGCTATCGCGAAGACTCTGCTGATGGACGCTACGAGAGACAACGATGAAAGGTAGACAGAAATTCTCTTGTAAAAGAGAAAAACTTCTACGAGTTCTGTACATTCAGCTAATCTTCGAGAAGAATTGCTTTCACATGTTACTATTTCCAGGACGTTGTATTTAGATCTGGCAGCCTGCGCCGCGACCGTGAAGATCGTAGAAGAGCTGCTGAAGCGCGGCGCTAATCCACGCGAATGGGACTTCGAGAGGAAGTGCACACCGTTGCATTGCGCCGCGGCGGCGGGCTGCGTCGTCACCGTGAAGCACTTGATCAAGTCAGGCGCGGACGTGGACGCCGGATTGTCCGGCAGAAGTCCGCTCCACTACGCGGTGCTGAACAACGCCGTGGATTGCGTCGAGGCTCTACTGCAAGCAGGTGCTTGTCCCAATAATCCACAGGTGCTCCTTTACGACCAAATTCGAGCACGACTTGGTGGAAAAGTGATGCCCGATCGGAAGTCTTTGAACTAAAGACGAGTGCCAAAAGATCATTAACGAGCTAATAATATTAAACGATATCGGTTGCGCGAAGGAAATTATTTTCCCACCAAAGCACTGCGTCTCTTCAAGACTTGAGCTGAAACTTCTTCACTCTGTTAACATGATTCGTTGACAGGTTTACACAGAAACACCGCTGCACGTGGCGGCTAAGCTTGGTAATGTCCGCTGTACCAAGTTGTTGTTGAGCCACGGAGCGGACGTGAGACTGCAACTGGGAGCCGCGAGATCGACGCCTCTGCACTTGGCAGCGAAGAAGGGCAGCGCGGGGTGCACCGGATTGTTGTTGAGCCATGGAGCGGCCAAAGAAGAAAAGAATTCACGCGGACAGACGGCAATGCACCTCGCAACGCTCGCTCAATCCGTAGGGACTCTAGACGTATTGATAAGAGCTGGCGCCTCGACAAATGTGCAGGATGATCACGGAAACACACCTCTGCACGCCGCGATCGGGAAAAAGGCAAGCAGCAAACTTGTCAAGACTTTAATACAGGTTCGTACGTCGAGAAATTTCTTTTCTAATTCACAATAAAATCCCCTTTTCAGCTAAAATAAGTTTTAAATTAAAATGAAATATATGATATTACTTCGAATAAATTTGTTCTAACAAATTACACGAAATAAATCGTTTTCGGAAAAAAGTACGTATAATACAATTAATAGAATTTTATATCGTTCAAAAGGCAGGCGCTTATAACCTTGCGGACAAGTTCGGTTACACACCGTTGCACATCGCGGCTCTGTACGAAAGCTCACCGACGGTGATGATGTTGCTGTCGAAAGGTGCTGATGTGACGGCGCGCACCAAGGGCGGCATCACCGCTCTCAGCTTCATCGCGCGTCGCACGCCGGACGTACTGCCGCGTTTCATGGAGCGCTTCGATAAGGCGATATCGCTGCACGATCACGAACTGGGCGACGTGGATTGCGAGCTAAAACTGGACTTCATGCCGCTGATGCTGTACGGCGACGGTAAGGCGGACCTGATGTTCTGCCTGGTGGAGGCTGGCCAGGGTCACGTCTTGAAGCATCCGCTGTTAGAGTCCTTTCTTTATCTCAAGTGGCTGCGCATCCGCAAAATTTTCCTGCTCAGCCTAACGTTCCACTCGATCTTCGTCGTCGTCTTCACCGGATACGTAAGCGCGACGTACATAGAGACTGAAAACTGGCTAAGCGACATCCTTCTCTGGCCCACGTTGGGTTTCACCTGCGTGTTCGTGGGCAAAGAGATCATCCAGATCTCCCGTGGCATCGGCAACTACGCCCGACAATGGGAGAACTGGATGCAGTGGAGCGTAATCCTGACGTCCAGCGTCATTCTGATCTCACCGCCGCAGAAATGGCAGGACAACGTCGCCGCGCTGGGCGTTCTGCTTGTCTGGGTCGAACTGATGATGGTGATCGGCCGTTTCCCCATATTCGGCATCTACATACAGATGTTCACCCAAGTGTCCATCAACTTCTTCAAGTTTCTCGCGGCCTACATCTGTCTCATTATCGGCTTCTCCCTTAGCTTCTGCGTGCTCCACAAGAACCACAAGTCGTTCGAAAATCCACTGGTCAGCCTACTCAAGACGGTAATGATGATGTCAGGAGAGTTGGATTTCAAGGACATCATTTTCCCGGAAACAGATAAAAAAAACGTCACAGAAGGCGACAAAAAAGAAGTCGAAGACATCGACAGGTCGCTTCTGTATCCTGGCACGGCACATCTGATGCTCCTCAGCTTCGTCATCCTGGTGACGATCATCCTGACGAATCTGATGGTCGGCTTGGCCGTGTCGGACATTCAGGAGTTACGCAGATGCGCCAGCCTCGATCGATTGATGCGCCGTGCCGAACTGATGGCTCATTTCGAAAGTATGTATTCCAAATATATAAGGATGTGTCGTTCCGACCATATTGCATTCAAGATTCTGGGCCGTACACTGGCGCGGAGGATAATACAAACGTTCTTACAAGTGGTCGAGTGTCGCCGTTACCTGCACATCCGGCCGAACGATCCGCGCGAGAAACATTTGCCGTGCGAACTTATCAAGAAGATATACCGTCTGGTCAGTGAGAGAAGATCGCGGCGAGTGAAGTTCGGAGATGGTGCGCCGTCACACACTGCTGCCTATGAAATAAACTACGCGAAATTCAACAGAATGTATACCAACGAAAGCAGTGAGCAGCAGCTGAACGAGCTAGTGCAAGAGCTGAAGAAATACTCGTACAACATCTGCACGAGACTGGACAGCCTGACTGATAAAATAGAGAATGTCGCCAGAAAAGTGGACACGACAACGCGTCCATGTTGATCGTCGCTGAACTTTCATCTCATCTAACATCTCGGGAAAAAAGCAACAAAACGAAACAATTCTCAACGAGATACACAAGTGTATTAGCTAATGCATCGTGCTAAAATCTGAAATTATTTTGAAAATAAAATACAAAATCGAGAATACAAGACTAATTTAAGCTTGAATATGAGAAATCGAGGAATCCAAAAGATCTAGTGATTTGAAAAGTCAAACTTCAACAATATTCAATTGAGAAATGTATGAATCCAACAAACTGCTTTTGCAAGAATTTTGCATACATGTGAACACATACATACATACGATGGATACTTGCAATGTTAATTCTACAAGATTTAATTAAGGTTTACTCACCAATAATCTGGTTCTGTATTGTTTTCCAGATTGCAATTGCACTGTTGCAAATTCGCTCGACATCTTTGGGAGTTTGACATCAGCGATTTTAGACTCGTAAGCCACAGTTACATTTTTCTTTTCGGAAAGCTGTTTGTTGATTGCATCCAACAGCAGATCGTTTTCGACTATGTACGCCAATTCCTCAGAGAGATGGTTCTCATCGAATGTTATCACAGCGTCGGAATAAGCATCCCATACCTACTGAAGAAATTAACACTTAAGATTTATAGAATTTATAATTTTGATATATAAAATACAATCAAATTTTAATGGTAGTTTTTAACGCTAGCTTTTAAGTTTTGATTATAATTTTTTACTATGTAAAACATATAAGATGGTAAAAATTATTGCTAAGAAAAATTCCAATTAAAAATTACATTTAATTATATTAATATTATAAAAAAATCTAGGTTTTAATGCCAGCTTTTAAGATATTGATTTAATAATTTAATAATTTTATACTAATTTTTAAAATAATGATTTCATAATTTAATAAATTTATATTGGCTTATAAAATATTGATTTAATCACTTAATTCTATGCTTTTAAAATGTGAATCTAATAACTTCAGAATTCCAAACTAATATAAAGAACATGAAGGACCACCTGCATTTTTCTCACTGGACAAAAACGGGTTGCTTCGATATGTTTCCATACTCCTAAGCTTGACAGTAAGGTGCGAGTTTCCTGATTCAGAGCAACAACTCGATTGGAGTATTGTTCCTGCAATTTGTATTCCTTTTTTGCACTACCTTCCAAAAGCAAGACCTTCTTGTCTTCCAGCCTTCTATTGTTCGCTAAAGTAAACAAATAAATAGAGAACTATTTCAGACATTCTGCTTTGACAAAAAAAGTGCTAAATTTTTATTCTATAGTGTACTTGGAGACAAGTATAATTACATTTGTTGCTAACAAAAATTTTTGAATTATCGATATATTCATTTACCATATATTCATTTTGACACTATATTGATATGATAACAATAAAAAAACTAACCTAAAGCACATGCCATTGTCGTGCCGACCATGCCGCCTCCAGTGACGATCACATCGTAATTTTCTTCATTTTCCATGCTGGACGAATAATTTTTTCTCGACACTGCGCTCGCACTGGGAATAACATGCTTGCAATTTTGCGATAACGACGTAATAAAGAGGCGAAACGACAACATCTCTCTCCCGAAGACTCCATGCACTTTTTGAACTGTTTTGAAACACACTTCCGCTTGAAGGTGCCTTTTCACGCTACTTGTGGATTGGTCCACTTATGCATTTTCTTATGAACTGAAATTAAGCGTCGAGTGCCATCGTGAAAAAGCACCTTTCGACGAAGCTTATGCAGCGCGTAAATGTGATCGATGAGAAGAAAAAGTTAAATATGCAAGAAGATTTATAGTTGGATTCGAAGGTTTCTTGCATTTATTTAATCTTGCGTAATCATTTTATCATTTAACTATTTATGTCCGGTGTTTTACTTTTCTATCCATTTATTTTAGTAGAGGAACATTAACGTTATAAATTTTGTAATCTTAACAGCCTGTATCTAATTTTCCAATTAAATAATCAAAATATTATTCAGTGGAATTTAAAAAAAATTGAGATATCCTGTTTCGTAATTTAACCGAATAATGATATAAGAAGTATTAAAATTAATTTTTTTTATATATTAACTTTGATGTGTGGTCTAATTTTATAGATTATGATATATTTAATTGTGCAAATTTTGTTAGGTTATTTGTCATCGTAGCCTAATTTGATTAAAAATAAAAAAAGCTTAATAGATTTTTTGTCATTCCGTAGAAACGATTTAGTAACGTTCACCGTGAACCCTTCGAGCGAAATCGATCGAGTCCGCCATTTATTACTGAGGGAATAAACTGGTCGCAGGGCGTTAGCACTTTCTCACGGACTTCACCATGACGACGGCGACGCCGGGCCAGGTTGCATTGATCCTCCTGAGCGAGTCAGCGAATAACAACTGCCGAAGCGGGCAGCTCACTGTTATCTTTCGATATCTAGATTCTTTGGACTTGGACCACAGATTTCAAGATCGAGCTAGATTGTTGAATTCATTGTATGTATGTTTGTAAATGTTACATCACAATAGCAAATTTTTGATAGTTAAAAATACAGTTTGTTGTTTTTATTATGTATTATTTATACTTTATTCATTTGCTTTGTTGTGTTTTGTTTCAAAGTAGTGAATCATGACGGAGCACAGAGGCACATCGTTCTTTCATTCGTGCGTGAAGATGCCAGTAGACCCCTGCAGCCGGCAACCGACTCCTTCATATGAGCGACCTCGATTATCGTCCAGAGGTCAAAGGTCGAAGGAAAAAGTGAAGAGGATTAACTTCGTCGAAGGTGAACCACCTGCTGTTGAAGACTCGGAATCATCGAGTCCGCGCGACACCCTGGAGAACTTTCTGGAGTTCCTGAAAAGCATACCCGATTATGGACAAGTGCATCACCTGTCGAACGAGCAGTTCAAGCAACAGCTTGAGTATCTGAAAAGGAAGCAGCGGTTATTGCTTCAGAATTTGAAGAACTCACTGGACGACACAGAGAAACCGTCGTCGCGATTATCGTTTGCGAGAAACGAAAGCTCGAAATCAAAGAATGAAATTAAGTCAGATCATCTGAAGTTGAGCGGCAAGAAATGTTATCTTGAAGAGTCCAGGACTAGCAGCCCGATATTGTTTCCGTGTGGTACTTTTGCCGGTCTCGCCGAGGATCAAGATTTACTGACGTACAGGTGACGTATAATTATTGAATTTAATTAAATTTGGCGGAACATACATATAGATAACGTATAATTATTTAATTAAATTATAATAGATTAATAGCAATTTTAATTATTTATTAAGGAATATAGAAAACAATTTAAAAATTCTCAATAAAATAAGAATATGTAGTAACTATTTTTATTCGAATTTATTGTTATTACCTTTTACGTATTTTTTTCTTTATTTTTTCTACATCGTTTAATGTCATTATTGTTGTATGTTCTAATAATTTGTTTTATATTCGATTATTTTGGTTACACGATTACAATCATCGTTAAATTATTATCGCTTATTTGACATATTGATTACAGATGCAGAGACAAGGACAAGGAGACAAAAACGATGCGCAATAAGGAGATACTCGCTGCCAACAAGAGCTGGAGCACATGGAGCGGGTCGAAGAGTGATGACAGCGTCGATAGTGAGGATGGCGAGGATAGTATTGAGACTAAAAGTTTACCACCGAGCAGCTCCAAAGAATGGCACCCCACCGTGCCCAAACCATTTAGCTTCATGCTGAGGTATTCACATATATTTGAACATCAAAAACATACGCAAAACATGTCTAAGAAAATCTAGATTTAAAAACCGTTTAATAGTTTAATACGTGTAATATATATATGATCAGGTGTGATCAGGGGAGGAAAAGAGGGTGAGCACTTGAGGCAGATAGAATAAGCTAGGATAAGTCTAGAATAAGTTTTTTAGCTGTAAGGATTAAGATGTAATATATTTTATATTATTTCTTTTTTTCTACATACACATGTAAATTAGCATAGAAAATTTCATATTCTACGCTTCTTTTTTCAGAGAGGAGGCGGAAAAATATATGGCGGAGATAGAGACGGCCGAATGCGCGAAGCAGGATAACGAAAAGAAGAGTCCTTCGAAAAAACGGCGTGTCAGGCCGATTCCCATTACGTCCAAGATACCACTTTACGACAAACTGATGGCCGAGAAAGAAGAAAGGTCAACAAAATAACATTTATATTTTTTTTTTATATAGACAAAAGAGTAAACAACATTAGCATTTGACATCTTTTAGCTTTGATATTCTATCACGCTGTAGAGTTTATATAATTTTATTTCTCTCATTTGAAGACAGTTTAAATCTATAAAATCGAATCGATTACAGATTTATAATGTTGATTTGTGTGAATTTATGACGTTGTCACGGATTTAGTGGAAATTAATTCAAAATGATAAAGAATTAACGTTTTGACATGACGCATCTTTCTGGTTTTCAGAAGTCGCATCGTGCGCGAGGAAAGCGCGCTGAATCTACTGTCGCAGGTGCGACCTTTCAAGCTGGAGTGCGACCGTCGTGCCTGGCGATCTCTGGCGAGGTCCAGTCCTGAGCTCCGCTCGGCTTCTAAAAGCAGCTGTTCATCGCGCTTCAAGGCCAAGCCGGTGCCAAGAAACCTGTTCGGCACCGAGGTTTATGATCGCATGCTCGAGGACGAATATTACAGGTTAGCCTTATCGTTGTGTTTTCTATTTTTTATTTTGGGTAAAAATTAAAAGGACATTTATATGTACGAAATTGCATCGGTATTTATACCGGACATCCGAAAAATACCGTCTATTCCTCTCGTTTCTATTCTGTTTTGACAATTCTGTTTTACTGTTGCAAACAGAGAAAAATGTTGGGGAAATAATTTCATAGAATATTATTGTAGATCTCATCTTCTCAGAATACGAAACTCTTGAAAAAAAGAACCTTGGTAAATTTATGAACGAAAAGAGTAGCGAGTAGTCAGCGACGCTTTGTATTTTATTGTTTATGACGTCACAGGACACCAGGTTACGCTAACAGGAGAACATTAAGTCTAACATTTCATTGTAAACAATTTAATTATTTAGACGCTAAATATTTAAAAATATTTAAAAACGATGTATTCAAACAAGCCTTTGCTTAAGGATTTCTTGTGATTGTTAGTTAAAGAGGATTATATTCAATATAAGGATTTTTCACGATTCTAGGCAACTGAGAAAAAGGGTGAGAGCCGCCGAGCTGCTGAAATCCTCTTCCTTGCCGCCGTCGATGGCGAGGCGCGAGCGAGTCAAGTCGGCGTGTTCATTTTTGCAGGATGCAGCAAGTAAGGACGAAGACGATGAGCCCGTCGTTACTCCGGCAACGACAGCGACGACATCTGACAGGGTCAGATCTGCGATGACGTCCTTGATGTCCTCGCGCGGAAACAATCTGGCTGCGATCCTGAGATGCCAAGCCTCACGGTACAATCTTTGTCATTAAAAAATGATATTAAGTATCCCACAAATTTCTATCAACACTTCTGGATATGCAAGGGCTGATTTCAAAAATTAGAAGTTCATTACAAATAATGCAATTTAAGTTTTAGATATGCGAATAAAAATAGAGAATTATCCTTTCTTTAAATTTAAGTAATTTTGAAACGCATATTACTTTGTTCAAGCACAAAGTTTTAGCAACACAATGTTAAAACTAAAAAAATATTGTTTAAGAGTTTAAGAGAAAAGGAGATATTAAGGAAAAGAATCGCGCGCGCGGTTTTCTTATTCGATCAATCAAGCCAAGCAGGGATAATGCTTGACATTCAACGTGTAAATATCATTTTAATATATTATATTTTTTCAAGAGGCAAGGGCTTTTAAAAAAAAACCTCTTCTTTTAGTTCAAGAACTCTTTTCGACCAGATATTTTTAATTGCTTTAATCAGAGAGGAATTCACACGCGTAAATGACGATCGCAAACTCGCCGCAGAGAGAAACTGGAGCACGAGATACGGGAGCGAATGGAGGAAAAACGGCGGGAGCAGCTGCTGAAGGTCAGAGAGACGTTGATCGGCCGGAAACCCGCGTGGAGGGCCCTGAGATCGGCCGCGAGGTACGCATTGGATCTGTAAATCTAAGCATTGTCACGAAATCGGATAATTGATATCGGATGTGATATCGCAAAACACAAACAAGGCACGAGCATGACAGGGACCTGGATTTACGGACGTCCCTCCGCCGTGACGAGGCGCGGGAACAGGCCGAGCGCCATCGCTTGCACATGGAGATGATGCTGGATCGCGTCACGCAAATACCAACTCTCTTCGAACGGCATTCCCAGGTATGCGCGTTCCTTGAAATTTATTGGCGTCAATTATTATTTCACTTTGTAAATTGGTAAACAGAAATAAATGAAATATTCATAAGTCGTTATCTCTCTTCCGGCAGGGATATTTATTTCACGGTATTTTAGCCGCGTATATTTTGCGCGTGAATATACATATGATTCTGAATGAAATTACTGTATTACTAATCGTGTTGCTATTAATATTTTAATGTGAAATGACGAGAATAGATAAAAGTATGTTTCCACTAATTTTTAAATATAGCGAAAAGAATGTTTAATGTTGTGAGCTGCAATATTCTTTTTAATACGCTTTGAAGCAAGCGTGTTAATCGCCAACGTCGTGTGAACTACGCTTTATGCGATGAATTTTGCAGAGCTTCCAGTCGCTTGCGAAGGCGCAGCAGCAAAAGACTTCTTCGAAGAGCGCCCGGAAAAAGAAAAAGAAGAAGAAGAAGAAGCAGCAACAGCCGAAGAGGTCCACTTCAAGCAGCCTGGACTCATACTTGAGCTTTGCCAGCAATTACAGACCGAATTCCGGTTCGTTGATCAGCTCTTCCGGCACTCTGGCGTCTTCGAGCCAGTCGTCGTCGAAGTCGTCTCACGACTCTTCCGACAAGTCGGTGACCACCAAGTCGGAAACATCGACGTTGAAGAGAAAGACCGATCGAGGCCCGCTGAAGGTGTCAATCAACGAGACGGCGGAGCTGATTGAGGATCGTAACGAGAAATCGTTCAGCAGCGACGAACGGTCTCGCAGCGAGGAACATGAGGACGCGTTGTAAAGACAACGTTGTCGCCAAAGAGTGAACTAAGCAATCAGTAACTCGTAATTAATTTGGATTTGTGCAATATCAAGTTTTTATACTCTAATACGATATTAATTCGATATATATTATGATAAGGTAAGCTTTAAGATTCGCTCGAATTGAAGAATTCGTTTTATCTATTCTTGATAATCTTATCCGTTTTGCGTCGCTATACTTCAAATGCATCTATAACAATGAAAGAAACAATGAAAACAATGAAAGTTATAAACACTAAAATTAATTAGTTAAATTCTTTCCTGATATTTTTACGAAAGAAAAAATTCTAAATTGATGAGATTATCTGAAATAAGAACAATGACGATAGTTTTGGGAAACTGCATTACGTGAATGACAGACATGCCTTTTCTCTTAGAAGTTAAGAAACAAACAACACATTTTTTATAAAAAAAACTATATGTTATTGATATATTATAAAGCGTAGAGTCAACATGATACACAAGTCGTAATCACGCATCGGTTTCGCACAAAAATAAAATATTTATTACTCTCTAGCAGACAGAGAATATTTCTTCTCCTTTTTCTTTGCACAGATGTTACATGGTTATCACATATTCGATAAATTAGTGTAATCTCGAATTAAGTCGCAAGAGATTTTCAATCTAATGAAATAAAATTGCACCAGCAGTACTTCAGTCTAAAGATAGTATAATAAAAATAACTAGTTTTATTAATTAAAAAATAATCGTCGACATGGAGGCGTCGACTTAACTTTCCCAGACGTTAAATCGTCTGCTTCCTTAAAAATTGAAGCCACGTCCATTTCACTCGTCTTTATAAAATGCAAAGTTCATATTTTCATTCTTGTTACAGCACGTAATTGCACGTTAAGTACGACCAATCGGAAGTGTAATGGAAGACACAAAAAGTCGGCGTTCTAGTCGGTCATTGTGTCGAGAATCCAGTCCATGTAGTAGGCGACCTTGGTGTAGACTCCAGGATAGCCCTCAGTGCCGCACTGTTTCAATCCATAACTGACCACGCCGTATTGAACGGTGCGCACTGCCCGGCCGTTGTAGATACCGGGCGCTTGCAGAGGCCCGCCACTATCACCCAGACACGAGTCAATGTTATTTAAACCGCCGGCACACAGTTGCTTGTGCCAAATCTCCGTGGTCCGTTTGTACACGTCCTTGCACTGCTCGTGCGGCACCAACGGCAATTTTGCCTGCAGGAGGTCCTGACTACGCGGACCAAACTCTGTCGCGCCCCAGCCAGTTACTATCGCCTGCGATCAGATGCAAAAGCTCGAAATGTGGAATCGGAAGCGAATTGGTCTTGCCGAAATTAGGCAAATAAATTTTCGAATTAGCACGTTCACTGCGCATGTCTAAATCCGAGTCGGCACAGGCAATAATAATTTGATGCACAGTGAACGTGTTAAAACAAAATTCTTTAAAAACAGAAGAAACTGTCTCTTGAGATAATTTGAGTCAAGAAGGTATGCTTATTGAATACTCTAATTTAAATATAATTTTAAAGCTACAAAAGAATTGAAGAGATTTCGGTTTTTAATCTTTATCAATCATGTTTATTTTAATCTCTTCAATCTGATTAGAAGAAGATGAAATAAAAAATGCCAAGATTCTTACCCTTTTTTGATTTAACTTTGCAGCGGTGCCATAAGGTAGACAAATGGATTTAACATTCAGAGGTCTGAAGTCCACGGAGGAATTCAGTCTGATGATTGCAATATCATTTTGCAGCTTTGATGTTGTGTAGTCCGGATGATAGTGAACACTCTCCACGCCGAAATCCTGATACCTCTCAGCACATTCGAGCTCGAGTCCACTCTCATCCCTGTCGCAGTCGCGCTCCTTACTTATGTCATGATCTCCCACCCTGACGCCTATCAGTCTGAGAGCTGAAAGATGGATTGTGCAAAGTCTCCGATTGTAAGAAACGAAATAATAACCCATCCCGAGCAACAGATACCTTTAGGTACCATCAAAGACTTTTAAATTAAATTTCTACTTTAATTTTTACATTTATTTTAAGTTTAATTTTGCATTTAATTTTTAAGCCTTTGAACTTTTATGTTTACACTACGTAATTCTTTTTTTCTTACTTGACGGAAGCAATGTGACACAGTGGGCGGCGGTGAGGATGTATTTTGAGGAGATGATCGTGCCGCCGCATCGGAATTCCGGATTCAGCCTTCCGGTGTCGTACGCTATTAGCGCCATCCATGGAAACTCGAAGACTCCGGTTTTGTTACCGCCGAACACCCTCGGTTGGGTGATGGGTCCGCACCCTGAATCCAAGAGACGTAGATTCGGATGATTCATTACATCCGGTGGAGAAGGAGTCGCAGAATCTGTCATCGTCGCTGTTGTCACCGTCGCTGTTGTCGTCGTCGTCGTCGTCGGTTCCTACAAAAGATTAATATTTAATATGGCAAAAGATAGAGAAACGATGGTTAAAGAATGAATTAATTTTTACACGAAAGAAAAAATTCAATCAACATTTTCGTGAATATTGCATTATTTATGCAAGCATACGTCGCATTTTACAATTCCAGAAGACTGTCATAGTCTTTTATCGTAGGCCATGAATTCAATAACATCATTGCATAACTGTGCGCATGATTGTTCAAATTACAAGTGCATTCGCATTTATTGTTTGGTATTAAAAGTTTTCAAGATTGCGGAAATTAAGCACAGGAATTTTTTTCCAGTTTATTGCGTAATTTTGAGAATCCTGTTTCTAGATTAAAATTTAAAAAATTTGATTTCTATAAAAGCTTTATTTTTTTATTATGAATCTTCTTCATGGCGACGAAATAATTTGCGAATTTCAGATTAATGTAGCTTCGATAGTAGTCCTGCGAGGTCAACGAGATCAGGATAAGATGGAAAATCGAGGTCGAGTCACAGAGAGAGAGATAAACCTGTTTCACGTTATTTTAAAATATTATCAAACGGTTCGCAAAACGACGACGTATCCTCGTCACGCATGCGAATAACACAACAGGGACGTGTGAGGTATAATTTGATGTATAATTTGATATATTACAGATACATAAAAAAAGAAAAAGAAATGATGAATACTTATTCGACATACATTAACACGAATGATAAAACATCAATAATCTTGATACAGATAAATGCCTACAAATAATTCTTCTAATTTATTTTCATTATAAATAATCCAATTTTAATTTATATGTTTACTTGAAAAGCAATAGCGTTATTAATAAATCAAACGGAAACAGAAAATATAAAAATCAATACATTGTATAGTACTTTGTGTATGTGTGTGTGAAATTTTCTGTAATTGTGATTTCTAATTAGAATCTCATTATTTTTCTTGATTCTTTTAATTTATTATGTTTACATATTATAATTTATTATTTACGTTTATTTTAAATTGTTTTTAAATAATATTTTATATTATGTAAGATGTAATTTTAATGTTTAAGTATAGCTCTCACGAATTTGTTTTAATCCTTTTATAAATGAGTTAATTTGTTGTATTCTAAGTAACACCTTGTTGACAATTAATGTTTCTAAATCAAATTTACTAGGGCGATTACCGCGTTCAGGCAGCAAACCATCGGGTCGTTGCCCTGGAAGCCACATTGTAAATTCCTGAGGGTCTGCAACGTTTCTGCCGAAAGTGGTCTTGGACGTTGGAGGATCGCTATGACGGGCGGACAATTGCGAATGTTAATGCAAGAGGCGCGTCTGTCTGAGCACTCTGCAAACGTAAATCGTTGTTAATTAAACTAAATTATTTACAAATTATTTGAATTAAATAGAATATAAAATATTCAAAACAGAATATTTAAAAAATGATATCGTATAATTAAAATCATATGTGTATTTAGCATTAAATTTGTTATTATTTCAAATGTGCACTTTGTAATTTAAAATTCAGAAAAATTCATCACTAGTTTGTTAAAAAAACACATTAAAATTTCTGTTCAGAAACGCTTATTATGAATTAATAGATATCAAATCACTCACGTGCATTGATTGTTGTTAAAGCGAGGAAAAATACAAACAGATAAGTGAGCGTCATGTTTATTTCTGTTATCACTGTATAGTTCATCGCCGATCGATCCGTAAATCGTGTTACGTCTATTTCCCTCTTTCTAATACTCTCTTTTTTTTTCACAGAGCGAAGTAGCGGTTTTACACTGAGGATTATCGCCGGGTGACACGCGTGGAACTCACATTGACGAATGCAACGGTCTCGCTCGCGGTTCACGTCGATCTGTCGTGTTGAGACTGCGAGATGCCGTTGTACACAACACGAATCAACCCGGAACACACACTCGGTTAAACGCAAGTCAACTAAGCTCCTCCACTACCTGCCGGCTCTAATAAATCCCCTCGGTTGTGAAGTATAGTGGGGATGATCGCTTACAGGATTCATTGGTTGTGATTCACCGTCCGCTATAGTTGTGAAACAGATTCACGGCTTGTACGATTCCACGAAAATTATAAATCTTCCTTGAGAGGAAATTTCATTGTTTTTCAGCGCAATACTTATCATTTAAGGATAATTTGTTATCCTGTCATTAAATTTTGATGTCTGGAAACGTCAAGTGTAATAAATTAATTTTATTTTGGGTAATAATACAGTTATATTTATAGAAAATAAATTTTTAGAATACATAAATATTTTTGATAAATTTTGAAACAATTTTTGATTATAAAAAGGTTAATGATTTCATTTAAATTTTGTTTATATTTAACTTTTATTGCCACATCAATACACGAGATAACACAATGAGATAATTATTTATTTTTTAAGTAGACATATTTGTTTTTATTAGCTGCTCTTTATCAAAATATAGAAGCTAAAATGAAATTAATATCTCTCTTTTAGGAAGAAAACTAGTGTTGTCTGTGAATCGAAATAAGAAAATACAATCATGGGAATCTTTTCTGAAAAAATAGAATTGAAGCAAAGCGGATGAAGGAAAGTAATTGAAAGCAAAAGAAATCGCCAGTTGGACATTAGAATATTGCATTCCTGCATTTCTCGGCAATCTGTTTATTGGAAATATATATAATATATATATAATATATTGGAAATATATATATAATTTTTACCATGTAAGAGTTTGTTAGAATGATTTGAAATTCGCGATAAATTAATATCATCACAACTTCCGTTTTTATCATAATTTCTTCCTCTTATTTTTCTTTTTTAACTTGATAAATTTCTGTCTTGTATTGCAGATACGATTTTTGCAATCTGTGGGGATTCCCAATATTGTTGCTGCGAACGTCGAGCATGCACATGTATTTGTACGCTGTACGTGCTCAATTATATGAGCAACATCGGTCACTTTTAGCTAAGGAGGAAAGTGTTATAAGGAATTGCTATCCTTTTCACTTTTCTTTAAATTGACCGCTATTAATAGGAAATCTACTTGGTTCGTATTATTTTATTTATTACCTACATTAGCAACATCATCGAACTCGTCATTGCAATTGATAATTATAAATAAATGCGGAAATTTGTCTTTGCGAAGGTCTGCGTGACGTCAGTAAAGTATATTTCGTAATGAGAGACTATTTCTACAAACAAAAAGTTAATGACGTATGATAAGCGGACACGTCATTGGGTTCTTGAGTTTTATTCTTTTGTGTGACGCAGTACAATAATACACATTATGCGTATGTCACATAGTACAATAATAGCACAAAGATTTGCTGTTTTTTTCTTAAAATAACATAAAAATTTTAAAAATCTATAAAAGCTATATTGAAAATACGTCTGTATCATTAAAAATAATATTGAAAATAGTAACATTTAACTTAATTTTGATTTTTCTAAATAATATAACAATTTATTGTTTGCTTAATTATTTGTATAGAAGTTTATGTATAAATGTATATATTAATTAATTAATTTCTTATGCCGGCAATCATTAAATCATTAACAGTTAAATAGTTATGTCGCGATGTCCTTGATAATACTTTTTGTAATTACGTGAAATAGAGAGTTGCATGCAATCTCTATAGGTCAGCTTGTGCGATGACCTGCGCGCATTGACAGCCCCGAGCACTGATATCGATGTGAAGTTCAAACGCATTTACGTAATTATTGATGGCATAATTTTGCATTACAACAATTGCATTTTATAATTTTATTTCGTCTTCCTACGGTCCAGAAAAGTCGTTTATTATCTTATATTAGATAAATATAATTGTTAAAAACGAGTGTTACGTCACAGTTTGCTTGTTAAAATATTTAACATAGCGTGACACGCATCAAGGATTTGATCACAGCATGATGATAAGAATACGAAACATGGTAATGAGAAGAACAAGAATAGCAACACTAAGAAGACATCATACAAATATTAAAGCATTATTACTTATTAACAAGATGTTAGAATGAAATAAAACAGCGGGAAAGAAGTAGAAAGTGACAATACTGCGTAATTCGAAGTATAAATTTTTATTAATTTTTACTATAATTCTGTTAAAAGCATAAACATATTTTTCTCAATAATCACACATTGACATTCTTACAAACTAATGTTCCTTACAATATCGAGTTATTAATTTATATCACAAATATTCATTCCACAATTATGTAATTAACTTGCACTTCGTTGTAAGCAACGCATTAGAAATATCCGGAAATGTTATCATAAAATATGTCATTATAAATGCAGATATATGAGCAATTAACATCGCTTAACTAATCAATTTCTGTAGTATTGAGTATATTCGTGAAATGTTCGTAGAATGGAGATTGCAGTACTGATTTATTAATTAAAAAATAACCATCGACATGGAGGCATCGATTTAACTTTCCTGGACATTAAATCATCTGCTTTTCTGAAAATTAAAGCCACGTATTTTTGCGATTTTACTCGTCCTTATCGAATACAAAGTTAATAGTTTCATTCTCGTTGCAGTACGTAATTGCACAACTTAAGTACGACCGATCGGAAGTGTAGTGGAAGACGCAAAAAGTCGGCATTCTAGTCTGTCATTGTGTCGAGAATCCAGTCCATGTAGTAGGCAACCTTGGTGTAGACTCCAGGATAGCCCTCGGTGTCGCACTCTTTCGGTCCGTAGCTGACCACGCCGTATTGAATGGTGCGCACTGCATTGCCGTTGTATATACCGGGCGCTTGCAGAGGCCCGCCGCTATCACCATGGCATGAGTCGATTTTATTTACGCCGCCGGCACACAGTTGCTTGTGCCAAATCTCCGTGGTCCGCTTGTGCACGTCCTTGCACTGCTCGTGCGGCACCAACGGCAGTTTTGCCTGCAGGAGGTCATAACTACGCGTACCTAATTCTGTCGCGCCCCAGCCAGTTACTATCGCCTGCGATCAGATGCAAAAGCTCGAAATGTGGAATCGGTAGCGAATTGGTCTTGCCGAAATTAGGCAAATAAATTTTCGAATTAGCACGTTTACTGCGCATGTCTAAATCCGAGTCGGCACAAGCAATAATAATTTGATGCACAGTGAACGTGTTAAAACAAAATTCTTTAAAAACAGAAGAAACTGTCTCTTGAGATAATTTGAGTCAAGAAGGTATGGTTATTGAATACTCTAAATATAATTTTAAAGCTACAAAAGAATTGAAGAGATTCCGGTTTTTAATCTTTATCAGTCATGTTTATTTTAATCTCTTCAATCTGATTAGAAGAAGATGAAATAAAAAATGTCAAGATTCTTACCTTTTTTTGACTTAACTTTGCAGCGGTGCCATAAGGTAGACAAATGGATTTAACATTCAGAGGTTTGAAGTCCACGGAGGAATTCAGTCTGATGAGTGCAATATCATTTTGCAGCTTTGCTGTTGTGTAGTCCGGATGATAGTGAACACTCTCCACGCCGAAATTCTGATATCTCTCAGCACATTCGAACTCGAGTCCATTTTCATCCGTGTCGCAGTCGCGCTCCTTACTTATGTCATGATCTCCCACCCTGACGCCTATCAGTCTGACAACTGAAAGATGGATTGGCAAAGTCTCCGATTGTAAGAAACGAAATAATAATCTATCCTGAGCAAGAGATACCTTTAGGTATCATCGAAGACTTTTTAATTAAATGTCTACTTTAATTTCATATTTATTTTAAGTTAAATTTTTTATTTAATTTTTAAGCTCTTGAATTTTTATGTTTGCACTTTGTAATTCTTTTTTTCTTACATGACGGAAGCGATGTGACACAGTGGGCGGCGGTGAGGATGTATCGTGAGGAAATAATCGTGCCGCCGCAACGGAATTCCGGATTCGGCTGTCCGATGTCGTACGCGATTAACGCCATCCACGGGAAATCGAAGACTCCGGTTTTGTGCCCGCCGATCACCTTTTGCTGGGTGATGGGTCCGCACTTTGAATCTAACAGACGAAGATTTGGATGATTCGTTACATCTGGTGGAGAAGGAGTTTCCGAGTCTATTCTCGGAGTCGTCGTCGTTGTCGTTGTCGTTGTCGTCGTCGTCGTCGGTTCCTACAAAAGATTAATATTTAATATGGTAAATGATAGAGAAACGATGGCTAAAGAGTTAATTAATTTTTACACGAAAGAAAAATTTCAACACTTTCGTGAATATTGCATTATTTATGCAAGCATGCATCGCATTTTGCAATTCCAGAAAATTGTCATAGTTTTTTGTCGTATGCTATGAATGCAATAACATTATTGCATAACTGTGCGCATAATTGTTCAAATTACAATTGCATTTGCATTTATTGTTTAATATTAAAGATTGTCAAGATTGTGGAAATCAAGCATAGGAACTTTTTTGCGTTGTTTCGAGAATTTTGTTTTTAGATTAAGCAAAATTATAATTCTTATAAAAGCGTCGATTTGTCATTATGAATCTTGTTCATAGCGATGAAATAATTTGTGAATTTCAGATGAACGGATGTAGCTTCAGTAGAAGTTCTATGAGGTCAGTGAAATCAGGATAAGACGGAAAATCGAGGTCGCAGAGAAATCTGTTTTATGTTATTTTAAAATATCTAACGATTGGCAAAACGACGTATCCTCGTCACGTGAATAATGCAACAGGGACGTTTGAGGTATGTATAATTTGATATTACAGATTTTATATTACAGATTCGAAAAAAGAAAAAAAATAATAAAAACTTATTCGAAACGCAGTAACACAAATGCGTAAAACATCAATATCCTTAATGCAGATAAATGTCAACAAATAATCTTCTAATTTTCATCATTAATAATAAAATTTAATTTTATGCATTTACTTGAAAAGCTATAGCGTTATTAATAAATCAAAGGCAAACAGGAAAATATAAACTTTAATAGGAAATTGTGTAATATTTTGTGTGTGAGAAATTTTCCGTAATTGCGATTTCTAATTAGAATCTCGTTATTTTTCTTGATTCTTTTAATATATTATCTTTGTATAAATTTTTTATTATTTACGTTTATTTTAAATTGATTTTAAATAACATATTATACTTTGATAAATGTGAATTAATTTTACTGTTTAAGTATAGCTGGCACGAATTAAATTTAATTCAATTGTTTTATAAACGAATTAATTTGCTGTATTTTAAGTAATCTAACACCTCGTCGACAAATTAATATTTTTAAATTTAATTTACTAGGATGATATCCTCGTTCAAGCAACAAATCATCGTGTTATTGCCTTCGACGCCGCATTGCAAACTCTGCAACGTTTGGTTTCTAAGTCTCTCACGCTGGAGGATTTCCATGACGGGCGGACAATTGCGAATGTTAGTGCAAGAGGCGCGTTTATCCAAACACTCTGCAAACGTAAATTGTTGTTAATTAAACTAAATTATTAAACTGAGGATTATTAACTAAATTTATAAATTATTTGAATTAAATAGAATATCAAATATTGAAAACAATATTTAAAAAATCATATCCCACAATTAAAATCATATGTATTTAGCATAAATATGTTATTATTTAAATGTGCACTTTGCAATTTAAAAGAAGCACTCAGAACTTCAGAAAAAATTTATCACTATTTTGTTAAAAAAAAACGCACATTAAAATTTCTTTCAAGAAGCGCTTATTATGAATTAATAGACATGAAATCACTCACGTGCATTGATTGTTGTTAAAGCGAGGAAAAATACAAATAGACCCATAAGCGTCATGTTTATTTCTGTTATCACTGTATAGTTCTTCGCCGATTGATTTGTAAATCAATTTGTGTTATGTCTATTTCTTTTTTCTAATACTTTCTTCTCCTTTACAGAGCAAAGTAACGGTTTTGCGCTGAAGATTATCGTCGGGTGACACGCTTGGACGCGGAGAACTCACATTGGCGAATGCGACAGTCTCGCTTGCGATCCACGCCGATCTGTCGAGGCTGCGCGACGCTGTCATACACTGCATCACGAATCAACCCGGAACTCACACACGGTTAAATACAAGTTGGCCGAGTAAGCTTCTCCATTCACCGGTCGCAATAAATTTTCTCGAATGTGAAATATAGTGGGGATGATCGCTTGCAGGACTCATTAGTTGTCATTCACCATCGACTAAACTTGTAAAGCAGATTACACAAATATTTTCGATGAATTTTGACACAATTTTTTATTACAAAAAGTTTAGTAATTTTAATTAAATTTTGTTTATATTTAATTTTTATTGTCACTTTAATACATGAGATAACACAATGAGATAATTATCTATTTTTTAAATAGACATGTATTTGTTTTTATTAGCTGCTCTTAATGAAAATATAGAAGCTAAAGTAAAATTAATATCTTTCTTTTAGGAATAATACTAGTGTTGTCTGTGAATCGAAATAAAAAAGTCAGAAATCTTTTCTGAAAAAACAGGATCCAGGCGAAGCAGATAAAGGAAAGAAAGTAAAAGCAAAAGAAATAGCCAGTTGGACATTAGAATATCGCATTCCTGCATTTTTCGGCAATCTATTTATTGGAAACATATAATTTTTATCATGTAAGAGTTTATTAGAATGATTTAAAATTCGCTATACAATTAATACTCGCCATTTCCGTTTCTATCTTTAAGTGCACTTCTTTTTATTTTTATTTTTTAACTTGATAAACTTATGTCTTGTATTGCAGATACGTCACGATTTTTGCAATCTGTGGGAATTCCCGGTATTGTTGTTGCGAACGTCGAGCATGCACATATATTTGTATGCTGGATGTGCTTTATTATATGAGCAAAATCGGTCACTTTTGGCTAATGAGAAAAGTGCTAAGAAAATGCTATCACTTTTCTTTAAATTGACCGCTATTAACAGGAAATCTACTTGGTTCGTATTATTTTAAAAAAATTTATTTATTACCTACATTACATCATCGAACTCGTCAATGCGATCGATAATTAGAAATATACGCGGAAATTTGTCTTTGATTAGGTCTGCGTGACGTCTATAAAGCATGTTTTATAATGAAGGATTATTTCTACAAACAAAAAGTTAATGACGTATGATTTGTTGACGCAAGTCATGGCGTTCTTGAGTTTTTATCTTTTGTGTGTGTAACACAATACAATAATACACATTGTGTGTGCAACACAGTATAATAATATCACAAAGATTTGCTTTTTTTTCTTAAAATAATATAAAATTTTTTAAATCCTTAAAAACTATATTGAAATTATGTTTGCGTCACGAAAAATAGTATTAAAAATAGTAACAGTTAACTAATTTGGATTTTTTTTAATAATATATAACAATTTATTCTTTGCCTAATTATTTATATAAAAGTTTAATAGTGTATATTTAATGAATGAATTTTTTATTTG